ATCCTACACATGTTGTTTGTGCCGGCACCCCGAGCGAAGAGGTTTTTTTTTAGCTTGCTCTCTTTGTGAACTTGATATGGAAACGTATGAACCTGTATTGTACATGTGGTATTTTTTGCCATGAAAAGGTGAAGAAGAGCAAATGGATAGGTTCGTTAGCTAGGAAGCGAAGGAGAACGATGGAGCAAGGATGAAAAGACCATCCTCTGCTCGAGGCGCTGGTTTGTGCTGTGTTGAGCGATTGTCTGGATGGTACACCCAGCCAAAAGACCATCATTAGAGATAGTCGCCACTCATCCAATGGTACATGTCGCACAATGTTTTGCGCATAACGGCATGACCACAGTCCTCTCCCTAAAAAAACAACACAAAAAAAACACAGCTCTTCTCTTCCGTTCCTTTTCACTGTCTCCTTCTCCCAGTCAGTTGCGGTTGCGTCGGCTCCTGTCCTGCTTGAACGACCTAGGCCATTTCATCCAACATCAGACACGTTAAGCCTGTACAATGGATCACGGCGACTATATCACCGATATCGAGAGGTAAGTCAGAAACAGGGTACAGAAAAGTATGCTATCCGCCCCCGCGGATACCAGTCAATGGCGGCGAAAGAAGGAATACTCACCAATCCGCATATTGAATTAGCAGCATCCGAGCTCGCGACGATGTTCTCGCTTCTGCCTTGGCATCGCAACTTGATTCTACCTTGGAGATATCCTCTCTTTTAGGATCCAGCACATACCAGAAGGACTTGCAGCCGATTCGAGTCCGCACATCTTATGACTCAAAATTAGGACCTGACGGGAATACTCAGGAACCATCTGCAGCAAATGTCCAGCCTCCCTTCACAGGTAATACCCCAGCCCCTTTCCAATTATTTCCAGCACTGTTATGACATCTCTCGGTTACCAGTTAGCTTTGGTCCCGGACTGGAGAGGTATCATCTCAGCCGCTACAAGCTGCTGGGCAAGTAAAAGTGGACACTTCCTTGCCATTAAGCAGCTGCTGACCGAGAGAAATAACCGGATAACACCATGTAGTTTTACATAGCAGTCAAGATGGGGTTCTACTTATCTGGAAAGATTCTAACAAAGCTTTCACACGCTCTGTATGTCTAGAATCTTGCTCCACGGCTACCATCGCCCACCCTTACAACCCCGCCGCCAACTCCACCGACGTCGATATGCTGCCAGATATACATTACAAGATGGAGGGTATCATACTAGGAGAGAAGATAGGCCATGGAGGCCAAGCAGAGACCTTCAAGGCTAAGTATGAGATGGATGATGTGTTTGTCAAGAGGTTCCTGGATCCTAAACACGAGGATTGCAGGCGCGAGGTGGCCATCTTCAAGCAGGTTTTCAACAGACACATCGTTCAGTTCTACCATGTGGAAGGGGACTTGCTCGTAATGGAATACCTCGAGGGTGGCAGCCTATCTAGAGCTATATCGAACAATGCTGTCTCGGACTGGGAGCACAAGATACTGATTGCGAGGCAGGTCTCGTCAGGTCTGGCCTATCTCCACAGCCTGGACATCATCCACTGCGACATCAAAAGTGCCAACATCCTCCTCAGTAAGCACGGAGATGCCAAGATATGCGACTTCAGAAAGGCGCGCACGGTCGACCAGAGCGATGAGGGCGGTGGGGGCGGCACACTTGCATGGATGGCGCCCGAGCTGCTCCAGGACCCGCCCCAGTACACATCTAAGTCTGATGTTTATGCTCTAGGGATGGTCATGTGGGAGATGGCCGCCGGATGCACGCAGCCGTACCAAGGACACGATCCAGATAGCATAACACAGTGCATTAGGAACGGCTATACCGAAGATATCCCAGAGGACACACCCGAGGAGTATGCAGCCTGCATCCATGAGTGCTGGAAGCAGGAACCGGAGAAGAGACCGGCAGCAGAGGATGCGCTACCGGATATGCATGACACACCTCAGGACAACGATGTCGACGTTATTCGGATTCCGGAGGAGGATCAGCACGAGAGTCTGCGGTATCTGATGAAGGGTGTCAGAGAGGGCTCTCCGAATGCATACTACCAACTGGGATTGATATATTTGTATGGCAAAATTGTGTCCCAAGACGATACAAAGGCCGCAAAATACTTTCTGACGGCTGGTGAGCTGGGGAATGAGAAGGCTCAGTGCGATCTCGGCCACATGTACAACGAGGGGCGCGGCGTAAAGCAGGATTATGCCAAAGCTATGGAGTGGTACCTCAAGGCAAGCAAAGCTGGAGTCGTAGGCGCCAAATATAAGATCGGCCACATGTACCAGTGCGGCCTCGGCGTGGACAAAGACTATACCAAGGCTATGGAGTGGTATGTAAAGGTAAGCGACGCAGGAGATCTAGACGCCAACTTCAGTATCGGATACATGTACCATCATGGTCTTGGTGTGAAGCAGGACTTTTGTAAGGCGATGGATTGGTATCTCAAGTCAGGCGGTGGCGGATCGACAGATGCCAAGTTAAACATCGGTTACATGTACTATGAGGGTATCGGCATGGAACCGGACTATCCCAAGTCAGCGGAGTGGTTTCTCAAGGCGAAAGAAAGTGGGAGCATCCAGGCCCTATACTGCCTCGGTGACATGTACGCCAACGGACTAGGAGTGGAGAAAGACTTACTGATGGCCGTCGAGTGCTATCAGAAGGCATGCCAGGAAGACGAGAGCACCAACGATGTGGGACTGGACGACGACGACAAACAAGCTCAACTGAGGGCTATGGAGTGGTTTCAAAAGACATCTGCAGACGGATTTCTCCCAGCATATCATCTACTGGCAGAAGCATACTTCAATGGATTTGTGGTCAGCAAGGACGGCTCCGAGGCAGAGAAATGGGCCTGCAAAGCGGTCGAGGAAGCAGAGAAATGGGCAAAGACAAAAGCAGGGAAGGAGTTCCGCGAGACGGGAGGCACCAACGCATTCGAAAGCGCGGTCGAATGCTGCAAGAAGATTCTAAGGGATGTAGACAGGCAAAAAAGGATTGAAGAATAGATGACCTGAATGAATAAATAAATGCTCAAGCTCCCAAGGAGCAGTGCATGGGGCCATCAAAGATAGAGGGCACGCGCTACGCGACCAGCTCGTCAGTCAGCAAGACGATGGCGGCCCTGATATATCTGTGCACAACACGCTTCCTGTCCACCACATTTATGAAGACCACCGCGTTGACTGCCTTACGCACTTTGACGACCTTCCAAAGACAGGCCAGTTCGTCCCAGATGCCTGTTTAGGGACCATTAATGACCACGATAATTCGTCTTCACAAAAATATGACTCGGCACGATATCGCTACCACTCTGGCACTATCCATGCGAGTGTGCCGCCCTCACTGCCCTGACCGCTCTGACCGACTATGCGTGCCTTTCTAAAGTCGCATATCTTGGCATCTCCGCACTGGTCAAGGAGGATGTTGGCGCTTTTGTAAACCTGGGGGCCAAGGGAGAAACCCATTAAAAAGGATAAACGTGGTTTTCACAGGATACTCCACGACAACACGCCACGAACGCAAAGAGGCGTAACAAGTCCATCATCATCTCCGTCAAATGAAGCAAAGTGCTTTACAGGGTTTATTGAGAAAGAGTGAACAAACGAACAAAAGGCAAAGACACGTTCCTCTTTCCGCCTCCCTATCACGTACTAAAAAAAGATCACTGAGGAAGAATAGGTACGTAAAAGGTAAAAAGAAGAAGACCTCGAAGAAAGAGAGAGAAACGAACAAAGTGCGGTGTGCTGAGATGGGGATCTGTAGATTTCTGCTGATTGAATTGCCGACGAGACTCCCAGCCCCGCTTATTTATTTCATATTCAACAATGACAATCAACATAGTCTATGCTATAGCTGCAAAACATGGAATGCTAATGTAACGCGAGCATCAATATTGCCCTGGTCGGCCGCTCTGCGAAGCAACGTCATGCCCTTTGACTTGTTCGTACGAACACCTCTTCCCTCGAGATACAATTCGCCTAACCGGTATTGCGCATCGTGCTTCCCTTGATCGGCGGCCTTGCGAAACCATTTCACTGCCTCAGAGTCGCTCTGAGGGACGCCTTGGCCTTGAAGATAGAGCATACCGAGATCGTACTGTGCAGGTGCATAGTCCTGTTCGGCAGCCATCGAAATCCATTTGTGGGCCTCATCATAGTCTCGCTCGACACGGTCACCCGTCACATACATGTCTGCGAGGAAGCACTGCGCCTCGACATCCCCTCGTTTGGCAGCCTCGAGATACCATTTTATGGCTTCGTCGTTGCTTTGAGAGACGCCGCATCCACAGAGGTACATAAAAGCCAAGTGAGTACATGCTTTGGTATCTCCATCGTCAGCTGCCGTTTTAAGTGTCTTTCGGGCGAGGCGGTAATCCTGGGAAACCCCATTGCTACCGGTAAGAAATAAAAGCCCAAGACAAGTCTGTGCCGGGGCGTATCCTTGATCAGCGGCCTTCCGGTACCATTCTACAGACTTAGTGTAATCCTGTAGGATACCATCTCCAGTGCGGTACATCTCTGCCAACTGATACTGGGCCTTTGCGTGTCCCATGTTCGATGCCCTCCGGAAGCGCTCTGCGGCCTCTGCACGATTGCGCTTGACCCCATTCCCACTGTATTGCCGTAGTCCCTGATCATATTCATCGTCGGCCGATAGGCTATGCGCTGTCTCATCTGCACTATCTCCACCAGCATTGTTGTGGACTCCAGGGACCTGTAACGTATCCTCGATCTCGTCTGTAGTAGGCCTGTTGTTCGGATCCGCATCGATGCATCGGGTCATAAGCACCGTGTAGTCCGGAGGTGCGTTCTGATCCAGCATCTCCCTCATCACAATACCGAGCGCAAAGACGTCGGACTTGGCCGAGTATTTTGGGCTGCGACTTATCAGTTCCGGCGCAATATATCCTGCCGTCCCTTTTCGTCTGTATCTGGAGACAGAAACAGCAGAATCCATGACCTTAGCCATTCCAAAGTCGCATAGCCTGACCTCGTTGTGCTTCGTCAACAAAATATTGTCTCCCTTGATGTCTCTATGGATGATATCCATGCTATGAAGGTACCCCAGTCCCTGAGCCGCCTCCGCCGCAATCCTTATTTTGTTGTCCCAATCCAGTCTTGGTATGGCTTTCGTGAGACTGCCGCCTTCAGCATAGTCCGTTATAATGTAGGCATAGAGGTCATCCAGCTCCACGCCGTAGCACTGAATGATGTGTCTGTGTGCGAGCCGAGATACAATCTTTGCTTCCGTCTTGATAACGCTGTTGTCCCCGTTTCCTATTCGAAGCCTCTTCACGGCCATCATGGTTCCATGCCTGTTCCACTTGTAGACCTCGCCAAATGCGCCGTTTCCAACGAGCGTCTCAGGGCTAGGAGGCGGAACCTCGCCTAATTTGCCCCACGACTCGGGTAGGCTATTTACGAGAGTCCCTGACATTTGTGATAGTCGGTTAAATCGCTCTTTAAGAGGAGATAAATATGTCTGTTGGTACAGTACTCAAGAGCATTCATGTATAGTTTCTGAGACGTATTTTGCAAGCATGGAAGAGGGTTCATTGCCGGAACAGGATACACTTACTGTTAGAAAAAACTGGGTTCACAGGAGCGATGAAAGAGATAGGAGTAAGGTGTGAGGCCCTATATGGCAGCAGACACATAATACATGTTAGGGGCTCCAGTAATAGCTGTCGACGCCGGGAGCTACTGTTTTTACTTGGTCATCGACTTACCTAGTGAAAGAAGTGTGGGTGACTGCAAGTGCGCTCGATCGCAAGTGTAGGAGCGTATGTCAATGTATACGAGCGTGCATGTGCGTTTGGTTATGGGTGTTAGTGGGAGTGGAGTTGGGTGGTGTAGGGGCAGCGTGAGAGAAATTGGGGTAAAAAAAAAGAAATCAGAAATCATCTTGTATTTAAACATCCCCTGGACCAGAGAGTGGCGAACACGGTACCTGCTCCATGTTTATTAGCCAATACTGACAGGAACAGCATGTGCATAAATTGTCGTGTCTATTGTGCCATGGGTATACGTGCATATAAAATCAATAGCCTGAGGTGGACAGAGACTTGCGCTACTTTCGGCCTTTAGCTGGAGCGTTTTCTCCAGCTGAAGCAAAAAATGACGCCGATAAGCAGCACTCTGAAAGGGAACGACCGATCTCGACCTTCAAGTTCATCGTGCCCTGATTGGTTCCCTTGGTCAAAATCTTGACCGAATCTTCACGCTGCAGTAAATCCATCCATTCCTCGCCCTTGTTGTTCTATGATACATCATGAGGGTGACTGAGAATTCTGCGCCTAAGTCTGTACAAGAGTGCGATGAAGCTGTCCTGAGGCGTTCCGGTTTTAGAAAGAGGAGGATAGTCTGATATATGAGTTTTTTGCACAATCGCAGAAATAAGAGAGAAAGCAGGAAAGCATTTTCAATTTGTCTTTCGAGTCAGATCCGCCGATCTTCAGTCGCCAAAAGACAGGTCACATTCCCCGGGCCTACCTTTAGAGCCTGCCCAACAATTGCCACACCCTATCAATGTGTTAAAAGCTGAAGACTATTTGCTAAAAAAAAGGATATCGTCTCCGTCCCCTTCATGGCTGTCAACCGCCTCCCCCTTACAGGCAGTATAGTAGCGTCCGATCTGCAGCATCAAGATCTAGTGCGGGGCCAGGGCAGCATACGTTTGCATGATCGGCGAGTAACGCACCACAAAGATAGCGATCAGCGTTGCATTGCGCTGTAGATCCATCTCTTTGTGGCGGAAGATTGAAATGTATTATGCAATAGGAATTCACTTACTACAAGTTCCTTCCAATATGACTCGAGAGATTAGCTCAAGTTGAATGCGAGTGTGAGAGCAAAAACTGAAGGTAGAGTTGGAGCCGCAACTGGATCATATGTGTGCCAACGGTTACTGTTCATGGAGTGCGTTGGAGACTATACTATGCGACAATCGACTCGCGCCAAAGATATGCCTGCTGTCGGCGCGCTTCTAGCGGGACGAGAAAAAACACGAATACTTTCCGCATGTCTCTTTCCTTCTCTCTGATGCAAATCCTGACACCTTAAACAGGGAGTAAAAGACGCGAGCACTCGCCCCTTTGTACGTTTCTAGGATGTTTACTAATAATAGGGAGAATATGCTGCGTATTAGGGGATGGCATCTAAAAAAATAGCACAGCAGTTGCGGCGGGTTTAAAAATATAATGTTTCAGGTTCGTCAACAAGAACAGGGTCGTCTCCGAAAAAAGATGCTCATTTTTATGTGACTCTCGGTATGGTCGAAGATGATGCCGACCACTGAGACATTTAAAGCTGCGAGGCCTCAATGGCCCTTGTTGCGCACGGACTCTGGCTGAGAAACATGAGAGAAGCAATGAGAAAGAGAATGCCCGGTTCCATGCTTCTTGACAAGAAACCGGATGCGGCGTTTTCAGAGAGAAAAGAGGATCGTGCTCCTGTCCTCATTATTCTCATTCTCATACTTGTGGATGGATCTCAACAGTTGAAGAAATTTTAAAACACGGGGTGCATTATTTCGTACACCCACGTATTTTACCTTTTCCCTTCCCCCTCCCCCACTCATAGCAACGCATATTAGCGCATAGTAGCGCGAAGCAACGTATAGCAGCGCGTATGGTACTGCTGTGCTCTGCTTGGCCACTGAGTGTAGAGGCTCACTCCCACGACAACACAGTGTTTTAGGATGGTTACATAGATTAGCAGTGCTGTGACTCTCCCCTCCCTCCTTCTTACTCCCCCCTTCCCCCTTCCTCGTGCAACCGTTACCGAATTCCAATCTACATTCCTCGCCTCCCTCCAGATGGTACCCTATTTTCGCCCTCACTGTTGTAACCAGGGGTTCTTGTACCTACGGTTCGTGCTTTAGCCGATCCTGGCATTCTGTATAAAAAGGTCCCAGGATCAGCCCTTTTTTTTTTTTTTTATCCTCATCAAACCAACTCATCTTCTCACACTGCCAAAGTACAACACAGTACTCTCCTCTCTCTCTCTCTCACTCCTCTCACCTTATCACCCACGCAAGCCAACCATACAAAAATGAAGATTTCCGGTCTCTTCCCCAGCGCAGTTCTGCTCTTGGCCTCTGTCCTCACGGCTAACTCCATTCCAATTGACAAGGACCAATCCCCGGCACCAATCAACAGCACTTCCCCGGCCCCGACCAGCAGTACTTCCCCAGCTCCAAGCAACAGTACTATCCCGGTCCCAAGCAACAGTGCTATCCCGGCCCCAACCAACAACACTACCACTGTACCAAGGAACAGCACCTACACCATACTGAAGGCGTGCAAGAAGAAAGGTTATGCCGCTTTGACGTTTGAAAGCGGTCCTGGTAAATATACTGCAGACCTCTTGGAGAAGCTCGACGAGCTTGGAGTCAACGCCACGTTCTTTATCCGGTAGGTATTTGTCGCTTTCTTGTTATCCATCTATTTCCTGCTTGATAACCCATACTTACTAAAAATGTCTTTCGATTTCGAAATGTAGCGGTGACCAGGTTGCCAATAATTCTGCATTGCTCAGCAACATTACCGAGATGGGCCACCAGCTCGCGATCCACGCTTGGAGCGACGTCGACTTTGAGCAGTTGAGCGACAGCGATATTAGGTCCCAGATTTCCAACACTTCCGACATCATTTTCCAATACGCAGGTGTACGCCCTCGTTACGTCCGCGCCTCCGAGAGCCAGTGCGGAGAAGAAAACTGTCTCCCCATCATGCAAGAGCTCGGTCTGATCGCGACGGATGTCAATGTCGACACGAACGATGGAAAGTATAACAAGAAATCGGCTGACAAGTCAAAGGCAAAGCAAGATATCCTAAACCTTCTCAAGAACAAGAACAAGGGCTGGCCCTCGCTCATTGTCTTGCAGCATGAGTACCAGTTCACGATCGAGCAGCTTGTGGATTATGTGTACGAAGCTGCTTCGAAGTACAAGTTCGTGACCTTGGCAGAGTGCATCGGTCAACCCGCCTACCTGGATGACTCCACAGCTACGATTACCGCAACGGCGACATATAATTCGACGGCGACTGCCACGGTGCTTGCTTCTCCGACCGGTCTCTCTTCTGCTACCGTCACAACGAACGCTGCTGCCCAGTCAACAACAACTCAGAAAGTGAGCGCGGCTGGTGGAGCTGTTCAGGTCGCAGCCTGGACTTTGGCCTTGTCCGCTGTCATCGCCTTTGCCATGGTCTAAATGAGCTATTCCCTTCTTTTATGCGTATACATTTCACCTACATTTTTTATGACACCTTCCTTTACCATGCTTGTACAGTAATTCATGACACTCATAAGCATTTGATATAATAAATATTATCATCATTCTCTATCCTATATCATTCATTACAAAAAGATGCATGCCTTTGTAGTTGCAAACCTTGATGAGAACCGAAAAGAAAGAAGTGACTCAGGGTTTTTGCCTCCGCGCGTAGTTTTGTTAGCTCCCAATCTCTTTCTGTCAATCCCCTCCCATCTCTCTCTGTCTCTCTGACTGCCAAAGTGTAAAAAATATAAAATAAAATATAAAATAAAAAAGGAAAACTGAGACACGACGCGTCTCTCTTGCCTTGGCTACAACCAATCAAGGCGTGACATGCCTCTCCCCTGCCTTTCTCCCAGAGCGTGCCCTCCCCCTTTTCCTGTTTTGTCCTTTGAACCCAGATGACTATAAGAAGACCACGTTGTTCCCTGTCGTCACTAGAATCGGAATGTCATAAAAATAGATGTGATGCATGCCGAGTCAGCGTAAAATACTCGAATGCAGGGGTCGACAAGCGTCTTAGATCATCAAGCACAGCACCGAAACAGGGAAAAAAAATAGCTGTGTCGGGCCAATCACGTCCCTCCATCCTCACTCTTTCTCACAGACATTCCGCAATCTCTCTCTCTCACAGACAAAACAGGGGAGGGGAGGGTATTTTTGTGTCTATCAGAAACATAAACGTCCTGTCGGACTTTTTTCGTCAAGCAACCTCGCCTCCCGCCACTGCAACGACCCACTCTTTTTTTTTTTTTTAGGATAAAATGTTCCATACTGAGGACTCCTCGTGCAATGTAGTGCAGCATGCAATTAAAAAGAGACGCAATACTGTCTTCGAGAGTAGGTTTGCAGTGTCGCAGTATGTATGTATGTATGTACATGTCCGCATACATGTACTGTACAAACGTGTTTTAGTTAATCGATAGATGTCATATAGTGTAAGCGTGGTACACATATAACAATCTAAACATCAAACCCTGCTTGAACCCCCCTCCTCCCCCTTTGTGCAACCTTCATATTAATCCTAATCAAGTCTATATCCTCTCCCGCCTCCGTAAGCGGCGACTCTCTTTTTTTCTCGCTCTCTCACACTCTCTCTAAATCCAGGGGGGAGGAGGATCCTGTCCAACAGCAACTGATGTTTCGAGCTGGTCCTGGCACTTTTGATATAAAAAGATGGCCATCCACCCGTTCGCCAATACTGGCTCCTCACTTTTTTTTTTGCTTTCTTGTTTTCTCTTAAATCTAGGCAACCTTATCTCTCATTACAACTCTGTACTGTACAGCACTATCCTTATCTCTGGCCATCTTTCTTCTATATCCTTCCTTGTAAATCCTATCCTTGACATCAGAACATGAAATTCTCTGGAATCTTCTTCTACGCCACATTGGTCCTCGCCTCCGTCGCTACAGCTGCCCCGGACGCCATCCCAGTGTCATGCACGACAGCTCGCTGGGCTGCCTTGACGTTTGATATCTCTACCGGGAACAGAACCAATGACCTCTTGAACCAACTTGACATCAGCGGTACCAAGGCAACTTTCTTTGTTCGGTAAGTAACCCTCCCCTGCTGTGTGTTACCGATACAATTGGCCACTGGGAGGTCATTCCTTTTGACCACTTTCGCATGTTGACTGACTTGGAACATGTCCCTCTCTCCATTGATAAATAAATAAAAAGACCTAGTGATCTGACAGCCTCAAGACTCGCCTTGCTCAAGACTATTTCCGAATCTGGTCACGAACTCGCTATCCAGGTCCAAACTACCGGCATCAATCCATCCCAGCGAACCTCGGACCTCCTACAGGGGGTCCTCTCAGCCTTCCGTCTCCGTCCTCGTCTCGCGCGCATATCTTCAGGGTCCTGTAATGAGGCCTGTCAAGCGACCGTTCAAGAACTTGGGCTCATTCCTACGGGCTCAAACCTGGACCAGAACGCCTTCTTGGACATCAACAACATTGACAGTTACTTTACAGAAACCAACTCGCTTATCATCCGTCAACCCCAGGGTCCGAACTGGGCCCAGCAGTTGAAAACGACCGTTAGTGCGGCCCAGAAGCATGGCTATGCTTTCGTGACCCTCGCAGAGTGTGTTGGTGAGGCACCCTACGATAGCGGCAATCCTGCGGTGACCCCAACGACGGCGACGGTTACATTTACGACTACGACGACGATGACTACGACAGAGCCACCGGTGGCTACCATTACCTCTACCGTGAACGCGACGCCCACGACGATCGAGGTCGTGACAACGACAGAAACGACCACGGTATACATTCCGGTGACGACGGTGACGCTGAACGCGACAGTTTCGACGACGGTGCTGAACGCAACCACCTCGACGACATTGACCATGAACCAGACGACGACTGTGCTTAGCCCGACTCCACCTCCGCCCACGACTGTTTCAACGACGGATCTTCCCTCGACCGAGGCCACGACGACGGTCAGCGGCGCGGCGGTCCAGGTCACTGTCTCAGTTAACGAGGCTGGTGCGACTGTCCATGCAGCCGCTTGGACGATGCTCCTGGCTGTAATCATTGCCTTTGCAATGGCTTAGAAACAGAAAAATATAATACTCTCCCTCCCTTTGCGCGCGTCCCGAAATAGTGCTCGGCGTGTCTAGAAAGACGCAATTTTTATGACCTTTATTCCTTCCTTCCTTCCTTGCTTCGGACATTCACATCATACACATGTACTTCTACCATCGACAGATTATATAATAAAAAAAGCATACGAGCATGTAGACTGAACAGTATACACCAAAAAAAAATAAAAATAAAAAAAATAAAAAAAAGTATCAAAAGTGCCAAGTGAGCATGTCTTTCTAGAATAAGTGGCCGTAAACGAACTTTTAACGAATGACCTACACAACACCCTTCTCTTCCTCCTCCGAGATCATCAACGTCCTCACCCTCCATCCTCCATGCTGCTTCGCTCACTCAAGCGTATAATTTTTATCATCTACCGCCATCTGGGACACATGCTTCTTGTCCTTATACTCTCAACCTTCACCCGTTCCTCCCGTTCCTCTACTTCAGCTCTCTTTTTTTCGGTATTCCTTCCCTTGACAAACAAATATGTTCGTCCCTTAGCCAATACAACCGAATACGAAAAGAACAAGAGAAATAAAGCTGCTGTCGATCAGGGACCCGTCACACTGCCATGATGAAGAAGTTCGAAGGATAGGGAGGAAGGGTCTCTTCTTCCCCGGCAGTGAGGAAACTATAAAAGATTGAATTATTAGTTCTCGCCCGATGTGAAGATTCTAGTCATGAAACAGCATCCCGAGAGTATGTATGTTGTGGAAACCTCAACTGGTGGAGAAGAAACGAAACAAAAAAAAAGGAACAATAGTGTTTTTTAATCACTAAATCTATACTACACAAAAAAAAACAAGAGTGGTTTTCTGCAGAGTCAGAGAGACTGACCCAAACCCACGGCGCACGTCCTCGAGATTTTTTTTTTCTTCGTTTCATTTCTTAACTCATCCAGGACGCGTTCTCCTGAGGCACCCACTTGGTGGTGACCTTTCTTCTTGTCGAAAAGAACTCAACCCCGCCGTCTCCAGTGATGTCACAATGGTTTCCGAATCGACTCTTGTTCCACCCGCCGAACGAGAATGGCTCTCGGGGCACAGCAACGCCGATACTATGAAGCAATGAAAAAAATAAAAATAAAAATAAAAAAATAAAAAAAATATGAGTGCCACGGCATCAACATCGAAGCATGCACACACAAATACAACACAGGTCCTTGGCCCGCCCGAGTGTAGCCCAATATAAACTGACTGACTGACTGACTTACTTGACACCGCACATGCCGGCACTGAACCGCTTGATGAAATAATCCGCTGTTGCGCCCGAGTTTGTGTAGATACACGCCGCGTTCCCGTACGGGTTCGCGTTCTCGATCGCCAACGCCTCCTCCGCAGCCTCGACCGCCAGGATGGACAGCACCGGCCCAAAGATCTCATCGTGCAACGCCGCGTCCTCCTTGTTCGTATGCAAAATCACCGTCGGCCCCACCCAGAACCCTTCCTGATGCTCCTTGGTCCAGGGCCGTCCATCGACTAGTATCCTGGCCCCGGCGCTCGATTCGGCCTCGTTGATGTACCGCGTGATCTTCTCGACCGAGGCCCGGTCAATGACCGGTCCTACCTCTCCAGCGTGGCTGCCTGCACGGAGGGCTTCCGACTTGGCCACGATCTTGTCGATCAGCTCTTGTTGGTGTCCAATGGTCAGCAGCACCGTGGCAGCCATGCATCTCTGACCGCTGCAGCCACTGTACGAGTTGACGACGTCGGTCGAGGTCATTTCGATGTTGCAGTCTGGCGCCGAGATCATATGGTTCTATTTTGGAAGGGGGAAGAAGGGAGGGGAGGAGGGGGGACACACACATAAGGTTAAACATCAGATGTATTTCACCAATTTGCGGTTAACCACGGTTTTTGTAAATACCTTGGCGCCTCCAAGGGCCAAGACGCGCTTGTTCAGCCTATGACAGCGCTGCGAAACCATCTCGGCGATATGGGAGGTGCCGACGAATGTCACGGCTTTGACATCAGGGTGGTCAATCAAGGCATTGACAGCTGCATGTGAAGAAAAGCGATATACACATAACCATTAGAAAAAAAAAAAAGAAAAAAAAGAAAGGCGCATTATCGTTAAACAATTCCCTGAGTTGTGCCTTACGTTCAGCAGTGCCATTGATAAGGTTTACTACACCATCCGGCAAGCCTGCCTCCTTAAGAAGCTCCACTATCTTGGTCATTGTAAAGGGCACCTTCTCACTTGGCTTGAGAACCATGGTGTTTCCTAAAATCGGATCCAAAAAAAAAGGTGTGATTCCATGAGTCACTTTACCCTGGGGGTTGAATTGTACCCAGATCATGCTAAAAAGTATCACAAAAAAACAACATACCCATGGCAATAGCGATCGGCAGGGTCCACATAGGCACCATGACTGGGAAATTGAACGGCACTACCGAGGCAACTACACCAAGCGCTATTAAAAAAGAAAGAGACGCAGCAGCAATGCAAAATGATTAGGTTTTTCACCAGATATCTATCTCCACGATCCGATCGTTTCTCTTTTCTTTTCTCTACTTCCTGCTCGCTAATCATTGACTTACGAACGCGAGTATCATAACAGGTAATCCCTCTCGAGACCTCCAACATCTTGCCCTGTGCAACCTGTGGCAACGATAACGCGTACTCGACCGTTTCCTGTCCCTTAAGGACACTTGCCAGAGCCTCGGCCTTGTTCTTCCCATGCTCTAACACTACCATTTCTGCGAGCTGGTTCGCATGTTTGGTCAACAAGGAGTGGAACCGAATCAGAATCGCAGCCCGGTCCTTGATCGTGCGGTTGGACCAGGCAGGGAAGGCTGCTTGGGCTGCAGCAACGGCCTGGTTGACATCCTCAGCAGTCGAGAGTGGGACGTGGCCAATGACCTTGGCGTTGTAAGGGCTCGTGACTGCCAGATACTGCTGGGTGGTGGCGCCGGTGGCGACGGGGTCGACGAACTGGCCGTTGATCCAGTTGCGGATACGGGGCTGGTCCTCTGTGAACATTGTGGAATAAGAGGTAAAAGTGTGTGTGTGTATGTCAGGAATGGCAAGCAAGTGAAATGAAGGGAGTGTGAAAAAAATGAATGAGGAGCGCGAATGAGAATGAGAAAGAGAGCTGATGGAGTGCACACCCCCTTCCCTCTTGCCCTCCTTGCCAGGGCAATCAAGGGGCACATGTATGCTGTTCAGTGGTCGAGTGATCTCTCGTTCTAAGCGAAGAAGAGGGGGGGGGGGGGGAAGGATACTCTGTGTACTGCTTCCTGCGTGTCCCCAGTAAAGGGATCAGTGGTCCTGTTGTGCCCGTGCGAAGGAATCGCTGTACTTGTACGTGCATTGACCTGGTCGTACATGTATACATCTAGACCAAGTGAACTCTCCGTGTGGTTACAGAGGCCACACGGAAGTCCTGGAGGGGCAGATGACCCCTTGGGCAGCCAGCCAGTCGGAGTGGACTCTTGACGAACGCGTCCGGACGCGTGGGGAGTATTCTCTCGATCCAATCACAACCAGTGGAGCGGAAATTTTCTACCTTTACATCTCTAGCCTTTGTAACGGTCTCTTCTGTTTGTCGGACCAAGACATCAGAAACAAAACAATTGAAGCCTTTGAGTTGCTTTTTATAAAAACAATAACCCAGCCCGTAGACTGCTATCTCTTTCACACATACACACACATACACACACATACGCATACGCACACACACCCCCAAACAGATGATGTGTACCAGCTAATTTGTAACCTCTTTGGACCCATCCCTCAATGGCTATATATATACGTGTTTATGTCCAGATGAACTATCGCAAGCTGAAAGAGGAAGGAGCATTTATTATTTTTCATCTATACCAGGCCAACAGGTAGAAAATGCAGTATATAGAATGGACGGAGAGCACGCAGACAGATGCATGGTTCTATATTCATGTTCTGGTATAGAGAGACTTAACGAAGTTTGTGTCCAGTATGCATTCTTTCCTTCTCATCCAAGACTGAGAAGGGGGGGGATGGTCCTTCTCCTTCAACCGAACCGCCGTTTTTGATCGCCCAAGGTCGGTAGAGATGGATAACATCTGATAACAATTAAAAAAAATTCTCCAGGAATCGAGGCGGCATAAAAAAAGAAAAAAACGCGTCTCCTCCGTTAGGTAAGATACCAGCACCATTCGTACCCTTCGCTGGATAGAGCTCGGGCTCCAAGAAAGCATTTTTGGCGTGGGATAATAATAAAAAAAAAAAACGGCCTGGCGGCACCCGTCCTGAAAGATTAACAACTCCATGTCGGGTACCAGACCAATGGTCCCTGACAGAAGGGCTTTATTGCTACCCAGGTCAAACCACCAATTTCTGTTTATATTCCCTCTCCTCCTCCTCCCCCCCCCCTCCTCTCAGCGGTCTAGGATGCCAATTTTCAGGGAAATTGATCCGCAAATTAAAAAATTGGTAATGAAGCAAGTCCTCCCCCCCCTCCGAGGGTTCGGGAGCATGGATCGGGGGACTGATGCAGCCGTTCTATGAACTCAATGTATGCACGATTTTCAAATTGACTGGCCATGGAGGGAGATGAGAATTGAAGACGTGTTTAGTCATTGAGAGAGTATCATCGGGCAAGAGATGGAAGGAACATAAAAAATAAAGAAAGAGTCGGCTCTCAACAACAACAACAACAATAACAAGTTATATAAAAGGTTATTTTCAGCATGGAAATACATTCCTACTCATAGACTACACCACAACAGAACATACGACGCGCGCACATGGGAGTCGAGAGTCCATCCGAACCAGGCCAAACCTGGACAACAACAGGCCCGTCCCTGACAAACGGCGCTTCGAATCGCATGTGCCATGCGTATGTACCAGAGATATCCTTTGCTATATACGAATGTTCCGGTAAGCGTGTCCATACGGGGATTTTTTTTTGTGTATGTGCCTGTGTGTTTTTCTGTTTACAGGGCATATATAGCGTGAGGACAATTGACCAGGTAGGTTAAGGAGAGTTGAGGGAACGACATTGCTGGAGGAGGAAGAGTAGAGAATCGGGGTTGCTTCCCCAGACACTTCCCCCGCTGTTCCAAATGACTACTGTCAGTCCTTTGATGACGACTCCACGCGAAACAAGGGGTGTTGCGAATGAAAAACATACGCGTTGAATTGGATGAATAATATGAAAGAGATATAGACATCTGTATATGATCGGACATGGTAATCGTGCGTTGGAGGGAAAGATGATCCGTGGGTAGTGTATATAGCAAAGCGATAATCATTAAATAGAAAGCCCAAGGGCTACCTGCATCAGCAAAAAAGGATTAGCTACTACGAGATGAGCACACACCAGTCGAAACACTACGAGCGAGGGGGAAAGGAGCCCTGCGATCGTCGATCGCCTTTGTAGAGTATTAAATTCTTCCCCCTAGGAATGAAGATGAACAGGAGGGGTCGTTGATGCTCTGCGTTTGCGTTTGCTGTAAGCAAACACACAAACACGCCCCCATTCTTTCGATAATTTGTCGATGCTGCTGTTGCTGCTGCTGTTGATTTCGTTGCTGTTGTTGGGAGGGGGCATGGGGATGGCGTTGTTATCTCGCATTTTTAATATAAAAATCCAGCCCTTGCTCCTCCACCCCTCAATTCCATCTTTTTTTTTGTCCACCCCTCGAAAGAAGAGCAAAGAAACACCTGTCCAAGGATATCCGTTATTACTTTTTTAATATATACACAGGCGCACACACGGGTCTAGCCTGCCCTTTCTTCCCTTCCTCGGCGCCTATTTGCCAATCCGTACTCCGGACTCTTTTGCTCCTCCTTCTTTTCTCCAAATCCCCAATCCCTCATCCACATACCAATTGACATATAATCTTTTTTTTTTATTATTTCGCAGAAAACGGTACCTTTTCTTTCTTTCATTCAGGAACTCATATCGTTATTTTTAGGGAGTCATTACAGACTGCGACTGTTGCAACGGATATTTCTCAGCAAATAACAACTCTGCTCATCAGATCTCTTGTCATCAAACTCCATCTTTTCTTATTTCATTTTATTGGCGCAACCCCCTCCCCCCATCATCATCTCCATCTTTCTCATCTCTCTTTTCCTTCTGGTGTTCGTTTTTTACTTTATTTTATTTATAATTCTCTCTGTCGTTCTCATTTATTTCACACCCCCACTCATCCCAATAACCCGGTATTACCAAGCATCTCGCACTGCACACCATTGGCAGTAGCAGTAGCAGTAGCAACAGCAGCAGCTTCAACAACATTCCAACAAAGCTGTGTCTGTAGGAGACAGCGGGAAAGCATTGTGCACCGGAAGCCCACCACACCCTTCCCCCCTCTCACTCTCACTCTCACTCACGCTCGCATTCACACATCTCTCATTCTCTCACCCTCTCACATTCACACCCACACACACATAAAAAAAAAAAGTCTGCGGCATGGCCAACGAGCGGACCAACAATGACCGGACGCAGAGCGCACAGATCAAGAAAAACTCCCGTGCGGAGGAGTGGCTCAAGAATGCGGTCAAAGACAAACATGTGCGGATGATTCCCTTTTCAGAGATCAGCAAAGTCAAGTACAACGTTGCCAAGGGTGGCTCAGGGACGATCCATCTCGGGGCCTGGCGCAACATGCACATCGCCATCAAGGAACAACATAATACGAATGATCTCATCAAGGAGGTAAGGCTGCGGGTTCCAAAACCATCCATCACCTTGTAAATGCTTATGTAGCTTCTTCATCTCTTTTGTATGTGTGTGTGAGCACGCACACTCTTTCCTCGTTCCTGTTCTGATGAATCCCCCGTCCTCCTGGGACAAACGAGACGAGGCATTATTGGATATGTCTCCTGTCTATTTCCCCGAGACAGAAGCACAGGAACAAAGAGGCGAATAGTGGCTGTTCATTTTGTTTAACCGTAATAAGCATTAGCCGTTCAACATCTTGGGCACAGTGACAGCGAGTGGGGGGATGAAAGGGGGGACATTCATGAGAACGTGGAGAAGAAGAGGAGAGTCGAAGAGAGGAGAGGATCAAGGGAGGAGAGGGCAAGGGGTCTGCCATCCATCCTTCTACAGAAGAAGATCCGTCATCTTTTCTCCTTGGGCAGTTTGCTCCGAGACACCCCTCTCAGCATTGGAACCCTCAGTTCGACTCGAGATTAGGATCCGAGTCGACAATAGACCCTGGGTTCATCGCGTCCCCTATACTTTCCTCCCTTCCTAAGCATCCGCTGCCATTACTGTCCCCTAACCGACTCTGCTCTACTCTGTTTGGCTCTGCTGCCTTCCTCACACTAGCTCAAGATGCACAAGCAGGTCCACGACTCGAATTACATCGTCAAGTTCTTCGGCATCACGAAACATCCCCTGACCCACGACACCTGCATCGTGATGCAGTTCGCAGAAAACGGCTGTCTTCAGGACTATCTCGAGACCCAGAACATCGCCATCTCCTGGCTGACAAAGTACCGGCTCGCCTGGGAGGTCTCGAGCGGACTCGACTTTATCCACCGCGAAAACATCTTCCACACCGACCTGCACTCCCGCAACATCCTCATCGACACCCACGGAAAGGCGCTGATCACGGACTTTGGTCTTAGCAAATCCGTCAACAAAACGATCTACACGACCAAAGCTGGACTCTTTGGGGTTGTGCCCTATGTCGCTCCGGAGCGGATGCAGAACCCGACCTACACCTACAACGCCAAATGCGACATCTACAGTCTCGGCGTCATCTTCTGGGAACTCTCGAGCTGTGTCATACCCTTTGAACGACAGCTGCAGGATGTGATGCTGGCCGTCAACATCATCGCAGGAGTCCGCGAAAAGACTGTGCCCGGGACAGCGGTGGAGTATGAGATGCTCTTCAGGCGATGCTGGGATGGGTTACCCCAGAATAGACCCAGCATGGACATCGTCCTCTCTGAGCTTGTCGAGCTCTTGGCCGCTGAGCAGCTCAACCCCCGACCCGCCGCACCGAGACCTATCTCCCTTCAACCGCCTAGACCCCTCTCTAGCGAGTCCATGGTCGCCCCTAGTACCATCTGCCCTTACGACAACGACACAACCCTCCAGTCCTCGCCGGAAAATACCACGCCCATGCGGCCAGCCTCACCGCCTTCTCAGCGACCGGGAGCACACCAATCCTTTGCCCAGGGACTGGGACCGGGCGGTCAGGGAGTCCCTTCGGTACCCCCCGTCCGTCAGGATCGCACAGGAGCCCGGGTCTCGTTCGTTGGAGATCAACCACTCAAGGACACGAGGGCGAACGCCAACGACGCTAAGGCAAATAATAATCCCGCCAATCAAAAATTCAACAATAACCATATCAACAACGCACAGGCGATACTCAATGGACGTGCGGGACCAACTCCTGCGGATGCGCAAAGGATGGGCGGAGACGCATCCGTAGACCAGAGCAAGATCCCGTCGACCCCACAGCTCCTGCCACCGCTGCCCGCCTTCAAGGCGCTTGCCTTGACGACCCCGCCCAACGACATAAGCATCCAGACACCACCCACCAACGCCAAGAACTCGGGCTTGCCTGAAACCGCTTCATTGGCCCTCGCCAACGGTATCTCCATGGTGTCCGTGGTGAACAAGCTGAACCTGGGCTCCTTGAAGACCATCTCGACCATCTCCCCTCCCCCGCCTGGAGCCCCACCACCACCCCCCGCTAGCTCCGGAACGAACACCCCACGGGTGATCTCGCCCCCTGTAGGTCGTCCAAAGGTCATCTCGCCTCCCCAGATGCGAAACAACCAGGTGGTACCTCCCCCTCATCCTCATCCCCATCCTTCATCTGGCCATACCTCCAGGACTATTTCACCCCCTGTCGGTGCTCAGGGCAGACTGGTACCGCCGCCTCCACCTCCAGGAACCCCTCCTCCAGGAACGCCGCCGATCAAACCCAGTCCGTCGCCATCGCCGTCGTTGAACCCGACTCTTAAACCACCGACGGGACCACCACCACCATCGCCCTCCCTTACAGGAGCACCTGCGCCGCCCGCTCCGGCTTCAGCCCCAGGATCTTTTAAGCCTCCGACGGACTCGCCCCGGAACCCAGCCTCGCCTATCCATTATGTCCCCACGACAACCTACAGCCCCTCCGCATCCAAAGGAAAGACTATCCAGGACAAGAAGGCGAGCGGGAGTGAGACGAGGAAGGAGATGGAACGGAGCTCTTCCCCTTCGCCTGAGCCCCGACCGATGGTGACTCCTCCTCATCGTCAGGTCCCGATGGGATTCCCAGTGGTGACGCCTTTGGACCCGCATATGTTCCCGAAACGGAGCCCGGCTCTGGACCAACAGAGCCCCTCGATGTTGCCCTCGCCTCCACCCTCGATCGGGTCCGCAGCCGGGTCGGGCATGGGTATTTCGAACTCGGGCCAGAAGACGTCGCGCCCGATCGAGGTGAAGAATATTCAGCATCGGGCCAACAGTCCGGATCTGTCAAGGAAGGAGAATCACGATCTGGGGAACAGTCGATCGATCGAGTTGAGTAAGCCTGGGACAGAGAACGGCGCCATTATGAATAACAACGGAAACGGCAACAACGGAAACAGCAACAACGGCAACAACCGTGTAATGAATGGCAGCAGCCCTTCGCTCTCGCCTTCGGGACCACATGCATCTCCGCGCGTGGTCGCGCAGGGGTTCTTTCCTGTGGTCGATACCGTCCGTGCAGGTCTCTCAGCGACAACGACAACGGCAACAACGACAACGACAGCAGCAGCAGCAGCAGCAGCAGCGACAACGACAGCGACAGCAATAAAGCCCCGTTTCCAGTTCGACAACTTTTACAGTCTCTCGGATCCATACAAGGACATGAACGTGGATGTCTCGGCCGAGTTCTTCACCGCGATCACCCAGGGCGACACAGAAGCGATCGAGAGGATCCTGAAGGCCCAACCGTTCCTGATCCATGAGTCGATCGGGTTCTGGCCCCATCCGACCCCGATCCTTGTCGCGGCCCGGTCCAGACACGCGCTCGAGGCGATGAGGGTCCTCATCAAGAACGGCGCCGCCCTCGACCGGGGCGACCATAACGGGACCACGGTCCTGCACTTTGTGTGCGAACAGTACCCGAACCCGACCGAGGCCGTCATCTTCTTGACCAAGGCCGGCGCAGACTGTAACAGTCGGGACGGTAAGAAGCGCACGCCGTTGATGGTCCTGCTCCAGAACTCTCATCTGGTCTCGACCAAGGTCCTGATCGAGACCGCGAGGGTGCTCTTCAAATTCGGGGCCCAGACCAAGGTCGCGGACCATCAGCATCAGCGGACACCGTTGCACTATGCGATCCAGCACTGCAAGGAGCCCGCACCCGTGATCGAGCTGTTGTTAAAGAAGGGGGCGGACGCGAACGCGATGGACTCTAGAAAGTCGACGCCGCTGCACATGGTCCTGGAGCGGATGGACAACGAGGAGATTGTGCAGATGTTGTTGCTGTTCGGGGCGGATCCGGGCCTGAAGAACGGCAACAAGCGGAATGCGCTGTGTGTCGCGGCCGAGTACCTGAGGGTGATGAGCGCCTGGTTCCTGTTGGAGAACGACTTGATGTCGTCCGCGCCAGAGACCATCAAGAAGGCGAACGAACTGTGTTCCAAGGCGGACGGGCCCGATAAGAACTCGAAGCCGTTGTTCAAGAACCTGTTGTCGGATTGGCAGGGCAAGGAGGGCAAGGTGAGGAGGATCCAGTTGGCACAGGATTGTATCCTCAGGGTTCAGAGGACCCCGGATATGAAGACGATCGATCAGACACCTGTGGCGCTCGAGTTCTTGGAGAGCGCCGGCGTCCCGATCTATATGAATAATGATCAGGACATGAACTCGACCCTCAGCAACAACAACAACAACAACAACAACAACAGCAGCAGTAACAACAATAACAACAATAACAATAACACTAATAGTAATAATAATAATAACGGCGGCAGCAACAACAACAACAGCGGCAACAACAACAGCGTCAATGGCGGCAATACCAATACCAACAACAATAACAACAACGGTGCTACGGCCGTCAACGGGCCCTATGTCTCGCCGGTGGCCGGTGGTGCAGGTGGGACGCCAGGGATCCTGAAAAACGGACTCTTTATGGCGAACGACTCGACGGTGAAGAACAGCGGGATGGGGAACGGGAACGGGAATGGCTACCATCCGAACGGACATGTGCAGGTCAAGGAACTGAGGCTGGCGGAGGGGGTCGAGCCCTTGAAGCAGACGATGTTACCTGTCAAGTCGGTGCAGCAGCTGGAGAAGGAGCGGGAGGCGATCCGCAACCAGCTGTTATACACGAACAAGAACAACGCATTTGGACACTGAGGTCCTCATCTCTCCATCCACCCATCCTTTTTGATGAAATCGAACGAACGAACGAACGAACGAGCGAACGAACGAACGAGCGAACGAGCGAACAAGAAAAGAAAAAAGAAAAGAAAAGAAAGCCTCCCTCTCCTCTTCCTCTTCCTCGCTAATGTACATAATACCAATAAAATAAAATATGTATGAAAAGAAGAAGAAAAAACTTTTCCCATTTCTTTGTTTGTTTCCTTAACACACGCTGTACACTATGATTGCCGCATGACGGATAGGAGCATCGGTCGGGGTGGTATTTTTTATTATTATTATTATTATTAAAAGGCGTTCTCCTCGAGGAAGTGAGTGTTGTCGAAGGAGGACGAGTATCGGGTGGGAGTGTGTGCGTGTTGAGTTGAGGTGATAAAGAGTTATCGAGGGTGCCAGGACCCTTCTTATACCCATGGTTTTGGTTCCATATGATTCAGCCAACACACCACGCACAAGAAGCCAGACGGCTAGATCAACGACAACAGACTCTAGAGTGATCCTCCTCTTCTTTTTTTTTGTCGTCCCAGTTAGCCGGGGACACTGCCAAAGGCTGTTTAAACCATCAAGTGGAGAAGGCATATCTGTTGCTTGCGAGAACAGGGGACATTGCTTTTATTCGTCCACTCGAAGTAAAACAAAGGACATCATAAAGACTCTTCTTTCAATGCAAAGATAGATCATTATGCCCTGTAAAGAACTCGTCCACCCGAGCATGGTCCGACACATACTCTGCCCTCGCCTGATCTTCCTCCACCACCCCCTTCTTCGCCGCCACATGTGGCCGAGCAGGCGCACTCCCTCTGTCGGCCACCGGCGGTAGAAAGCTAGCCTGGATCCGATTGTAATGCGACTTGTCCAACGCAGCCCGACCCCAGGCTGTCGTGGCAAGCCCAAAGACCATCCTCCGCATCAGCTCCCCAGACCAGCCGTCCCGGATGAGCAAAGACCCGAACTGGCTGGAGATATCGACGGCCTGTTTGGCGCCGGCTGCCCTCAATTGGTAGTAGGTCCGAAAGACCTCGTGGATGTTGTCAAGGTTGGTGAAGGACGGCACGTCATAGAGGAGCGAGGCTAAGACGACGGCATCAAGCATGCATTCGCTTGCCCCCTTGCCGGTGAATGGTACAAACTATTTAAGAGACAAAAATAGGGTTAGCATTCATGTCGAGCTTATGTTCTTTAGAGTTATTGGTCCGTGATACGCAACACACACACACCTTATGACATGCTGTGGGGAGGAGAGATGGGGTGTGGATGGTCATGGATGGTCAGTTGAGGATCATCTACACATTACGCACTAGGAAGAAAAGGATATCAGCTCTTACCGTCTCCGATGAGCACCGTCCTGCCTCCGTACCAGGTCCTGAATATCCGCTCCTCCAGCATGACCTTCGAGATCAGCTGCCGCTCGCTGTTGTCGATCAGGTCCCCTACCGTGCCCCCATCGGGCCCTTGCAGATGGCGTACGGCCTTGCTCATTTCGTCTGTCGCGGAGAAGGAGCCAGAGATCAGAAGCCGTTTTCGTCCATCAGATTCATATACGCCGTTGAAATGGTCCACACACATCCAAGAAGAAAGAAAACAATCGATCCAGCTGTATCCCCTTACCTGTCGCATCAGGCCCCCAGTCTACACACTCCGAGTTGTTGCTAGTGATCGTCACCGGTACCTCCAATGTCTTTGTAACGAGCCAGCTGTACCTCTGTCCAGGAATGGGCATGAACCAGCACTGTGTGTGGGCACAAATAAAAACGTTAATTTCATCAATAGATTAGCATGAATCTCAACCCTTTACATCAATCAATCTACTTTTGTCGCCAACCAAAAGAAAAAAAAAAAAAAAAAAAAAAAAGCCGAGACCCCTTTTGGGTCCGACAAAAAAACCTGATTCCAGTTCCGTTTTTGACTTTTACCATGTACGGAGAGTTCTTGCCCAGGACCACCTTAAAGTGCGAGGAGCTCTTGCCCAGGTCCGGATGCTTCTTCGGACTCAACGGGTTTGTCACCCCCAGCAACGAGACCTGCCGATACTGTTGCTCCTCCTGATCGACCTTCGGTAACGTCCCCTCCTCCTTCAGTTGCCGGAACAGACTCTGCCGCACCGCACTGGACGACCCATCCGCCCCCACGAGGATGTCCGCATGGTAATACGTCCCGTCCGAACACCTGACCTTGACCTGATCCGCCCCCGTCTCGCTGTTGTGGACGTGTTGCAAGTTCACAAACCGTTTCCCAAGTTTCAGACGGTCTTTTGGAATCCGGGATAGCAGGATGTTGTATAGGTCTGGTCGTGAGATACATTGGTCGTAATATCCGAACCTATTCACCGCACGCACACACAACAAACAAACAAAACAGTCTTTTTCATAAGTGCCAGCAGTTGATGTTGAGGGGAAGGGGGGGGTTGTGTGTGCTCACCAAGCCCATGTCGATAATTATCTGTTTTGCTTTGTCTGCTTCCCTTTCCCCTGTCTTACCGTTGTTTATAGTCGATGACCCTGTCGCTGCAGTGGAGCCTGCCGACGACAGAGAGGTCGCTGCGATGGACCGTGATGTCTGCCAGAGGTATCGCCAGCCGCTCGATCTCCTCTAGGATGCCCAGCTGTTCCATCAGGGGGAGGACCATGGAACTGAGGACGATGATGCTGCCGATAGGTCGGATGAGCACACTCTGTTCGAGGATCAGATAATCGATCCCTGCGCGCTGGAGCAAAATCCCGAGGACGAGTCCTCCCAGTCCGCCTCCTATGATCAGAATTTGGGTTCTAGATTTCGCCATGGGCATAATGTATTATTTATATTTCCTTTTGTAAAAGCTGTCGTTGGCTGTTCTTTTTGTATGTGTGTGCAGTGAGAGGTGAAGGAAGTGGAGGAAACAGGAAGTGAGAAGATAGAGTTGCCGGGCTTTTTTTTTTTTTTTTTTTTTTTTTTCAAAGAGTCCAAATTGCAGCTTATGCAGATGTTTCTGCTTCTATGTTCTTTGGTGGAAAGAGAGAGTGAGAGTGAGAGAGGAAAGAGGTCTAGCGCAGGGAGCGATGAGATGGGCAATTGCAACAAAAGAGAGATGAGACGAGACGAGAATGAATGAATGTGAATGTGAATGTGAAAAAAGAACACATGCGGACAAGCGTCTGCGGACAATTGTTTAACAGCACGCCGCACGCGCATCGCATGGGACGAAATGCATGCAGACTGAACCATGCACACAGACTACACCTTGCTTTCCTTATTCGTTTTTTTTAGTTTGGGCGTTCAAATGTCGGCTGAACACCGACCATCCATCCCGCATTGGAGTGCTGCTGCTCTTCATTTTATTTTTTGATCTGTTTTGAAGGGGCCCTTTGTTTTTGCCAATGAACGATAATAAGATAAAAAGAGGAAACCAGTGAGCGACTACCAGAGGTAGTAACAAAGCAAAGCATCTGAACCAAGGAGAGATACCCTTCCTTCCTTCCCTTCCTTCCCTTCCCCCCCTGTGCTTACTGATCTTGGCTCTCAGAAAGAGCCAAGTTCAGTAAAGCAAAGTTGGAGCAAGCACTGTCTCTCAATCGCCATAGGCTTTTGCCCATGTAAGTAATCACATAATCAGAGGGGCCGGCTTGGCTAAGGCCAGGGTCAGGGCCCTCAGACCAAGGAACCTGAGCAAAAAAAAAAAAACGCTCAGACATGGCTCAAGAGGGATACATACCTCTCTCTACATGAGTACCGGACACATCGTCTCCTTCGAACCAATCCGGTTTTTTTTTGTTTTGCTCTATTTCAAAGCAAATAACACTCCGCATGAGGTTGTTGACTTGAGAACCAAAGTTCTACCCTGCCTGGGCATAGTCCCACACACACACGCGCGCGCGCGCGAGAGAGAGAGAGCGACCCCGCGTGTTTTCTCTCGACCCTTTTTTTCTTTTTCTTTTTCGCTGCGGACAGCACATCAGAACCTTTGAACAAAATGACAGATGGGGGAGGGGAAAGGGGGAAGTGTTATGCCTTGAAGAAAGACAGCTTCCAAAAAAACATCTCAACCATTTTGCATAGCCTCTTTTTTGGCTCATATATATTCATACATTCAGATACTATGGCTCAGAATCGAATGGGGGATAAACGTAGCAGTTTGTTGCTGTCGTTGTCATTCTTTCTCCCCCCCCCCCCTCCCTCTTTTTTTTTCCTTCGCTCTACACTTCTATGCTTGTACGCCGCGTGGGAGTGGGGGCAGGATCCCTCGGTCTCGGGGCTATGCTCCGCTGGGCCATAAGGACGACCCAGGCCGTCGCAAAAATCGCGGACAGCGCGAACATGCCTCCGGCGGACATGATCACCGGCAAGAAGTTGACCTCGGTCTTGGTCATCTCTAGGAGGTTTCCGCTGATGAACGATCCTCCGAGCAGCGCCGGACTCGAGGCCGTATAGACGATCCCGAGCACCCTGGCCACCTGTGCATGACCTAGGATCGCCAATAAAATAAAATAAAATAAAAAAGATATCCAAAGAAAAAGACGTATCGTCCAACGAATGAATGAATGAATGAATGAATGAATGAATGAATGAATAAACGAACAAACGAACAAACGGCCTGAAGCACCGGAGCACAGACGCGTTTCTAGAAGGATGTATGTACGTGCATATATATACGTGTGTGTATGCGTATGCGCGAAGAGAATTATACAAGATAGGGAAGGCCCCCACCATGATTATAATGTCTTTTTTTTTACCATAGTAATCCGCAATAATGACTGGCGTCACCGTGGACACTCCAGAGAACGCGGCCCCGTAGAGGACAGCGAAGAGAAGGAAGAGCAGGAAGGTCTTTGCAAAGGTCCAGAGGATGAGCACGGCAAACACGATGACCCAGATACAGCCCATCAGGACCCATTGCGGAGGAACCAGATCCGCAAGTATTCCGGAGGCGATCCTGGAAACAAAGGATGCAGCGTTGAACCAGGCGTTGATGGCAGCGCCCGCTTGTTTTGAGTTGCCGATGTGGGTGCTGTACACTACATGGAAATACCGATAAAAAAGAGGAGGGAGGGTTAGGATTTTATATCAGCGTCAACCCGTTTGCTTATTCTGCTCAGGGTGGTTGTACAAAGATGCTGCATCGTTTAGTCGAGGTTACGTTACACTCCATAAAGTAGACCGGCGTTAGGTAGGCCAATGAGAGACATAATTGGAAAAGAGCCAGCATCACAAACACCGTGTCTTTTGAATACGCAGGCATGGTGAAGCTGGACCCTATCTTCTTTGGATGTGCATTCTTCAGATCCTTCATTAACAACTTTTGTCTGCGTTCGGGCTTTTCGCGTTCGAAGAGCAATACACTTGCGATGCCACTAATTTATTTTTTTTAAGAAAAAATATCATTATTATCATCACCAACATGGAATACCAAACCCAACCAAAGCCATATATTTGAAAGGGGAAAGACGGCCTTACCAGACAACCAAACTATACATGGCGAGGACGCGTAAGGTCCAATGGATGCCAACATGGCCGGCCAAATACTGGGTCAACGGCGCCAGATAGAATCCGCCCAGACCTGCTCCGGAGGCGCCGATCCCCAGGGCCAGTCCACGCTTCTTCTTGAACCAATATGTGGGTGCGGCAATGGCCGAGAAATAGACGAGCGAGGCCCCGGTGCCAAATAATATCCCTTGTGATAGATAGAGATGCCAGATCTTTCATATGAACAATATAAAAAAAAATGAAGTTAGTATTTTACATGTAAAAAGAGAAAAGAGAGAGAGAGGAAAAGAGAGTGAGAGTGAGAGTGAGAGTGAGAGAGATAGTCTGTGTAGTACGTTGATCTTTTTTTTTTGATGCCGGCCAAGTGTTCTCTCTTTCTCTCTCTTTCATTCCCACTTCCTTAAGTCCCCCTCTTGTTACCTGTGTAGCGAAGGATGCCAGGATTAAAGCTACCGTCATAACCAAGGTCCCCACGAACGCAGTGGCCCGATATCCCCACCGCCCAGCCAGGGTGCCCGCCACCATCCCCATCAGATAGGTCACACAGGTCCCGGTCGTGCCAATCAACGCCACCGCGGATGGGCTCGCCTTCGGGAACGACTCCAAGTACTCCTGGACGAACACCCCAAAGATGAACTCTGTCGGCGCAAACGCGAACGTCTGGATCAGGACCGATCCCAGTACCACCGACCAGGCTTTCCACCCTCCGTCGGGAGCTTCTAAAGTCCCGTCGCCCTCGTCACATTCGCCTTGAGCGCTGTTGATGTAGTTATAGTTGTTGCTGTTGTGGTTGTTGCTGTTGTCGTTGCTGCTATTGTTATTATTATTATTATTGTTGCTGTTGTTGTTGTTGTTGTCGAATGGGCTGGGTCCATCGACCGGGCTGGGTTTCTTTGAACTGACCGGGCTCGCGGAGGAGAGTAATTCGGGACTGGGGCTTTTAGAAGAATGAACTGTGTGGAGGTCTGCGGGGTCAGGATTAACAAGGGTCGTAGTACTGATGTTAGCATGGATACTGCCGTTGTGGGAACCAGAGGCGGTGCTGAAAAGATAACCTTGGCCAGAGGGATCAAAGGGTGAATCGTGTGGGAGTGAAATCGTGGACGGAGGAGCTCCTCCACAGGAAGTGGTGCAACTTGTATCGGACAGCGTGTCGAGAGAGACGAGGGAGGATGTGTCCATCTCTACTGACAGATAGTTATTCGGCGGTTGAAGGAGATGATGATGATGATACGCGGCGCTACTTGTCTCCGTCTCAAGCGTTGGCATATGTACTTTAGCATCGGAGCTTTCTTCCTCTCCCGTTCTTGCTTTTACTCTTACTCTTACTCCTGCTCCTTCACTTGCGCTTACGCTTGCCCCTCTACCGGATCCACCGCATTCCCTGATCCCAGATACAGCGATCCGTTGAAAATCAGATTCGCACCCCTCCGCCGAACCTGCGATTTCCGCGACATTGTCGGTTTTATTCCGGCACTGCCTGTTATCGGTGACCGTGGAGCCCGCGGAGCCTGTGGAGCTGAGGTGGTCGTCATTCCCGCGACAATTTTCAAAATCCGTCGTCGTCGTCCCCTCTATCAAGTCCCGCGCTCTGCCCTTAAAACAGAGTCGCGCTTGATTTCGAATCCTCTCCCCTCCGGAGCTCTGGACTCTATCGCAACCCGAAGGGGCCTCGCGAATACGACGGGAGGTTTCAGGCCTGGTTCCTGTAGAGGCAGAGGCAGAGGTAGGAATAAAAGCATCTGCGGTTGCAGCGGGTTCAACATTTCTGATGTGCGCAACGGCGGCGATTGCCTTGACCTCCTTTGACTCCTCCTGCACATCTGTAAAGGGAAATTCTCCACCCTCCTTGCTATTATTTTGAATGCTCATGAGCGTGTGCGCGATTGTGTGGATGAAATGAACGAGAATTGAGTAGTTGTTCTATTTAAAACGGGAAGAGGGGGAGGAAGGCGATTTAGAGAAACGGAGAACATGCACAGCAGGATTCTCGGCGCTTTATATGGAGCCAGCCTTTTTTTTTTTTTTTTTTCTAGTAGAAGAGGTTATCTAGATGTCCATGTATCCAGGTGTTCAGGGCGGTAAGAAAGTAGTACGGTAATAAATACAATCCGGGTTGGCCCCCGAAAGAAGGGCGCACACTGGTTGCGATGGGATCAAAGCGTCTAACGTCTGTCAGCAATGTTGCGTCAATGATGCTGGTGCAGTAATAAAAAAAAAAAGGGAAGAGAGCCGACCATTTTCGACCCTTCCTAGGAAAAAAGATGAATTCTATTACTTGCGGGAACCTATCGTTTCGTCATTACATTAACGCGATAGTTTCCACACAGCCTATTCTGTAGTCTCTGGCCACCGAAAGGAATATAAACGCAGTTACGAATGCACTGTCAGCAGTTTCTCTTTTTAATGGTGTCATACCGGAATGAATCTAAAATACAATGTGCTATGGACAGGTGGAAAATGGGAGATGCAAGTGGTTTCATGATGAGGATGCTGTTTCTATATGAAGGGAGGGAGGGTGGAGGTATATGTGTCAAACGTGAACTGTACAGGCGGTGGAAAGAAGGGAGAGAGCAAGAAGGAGGGAGGGGGGGAATTCTCTCGGTCGATCAAAAACAACAGCTATCTGTTGATCTATAGATCTGCGACGACCGATCCCGCAGAGGAAGCAACCCCGATCCGCTTAGACTTCTTGTCCAACCTTCTGAAGAAAACCCAGGCAGAGACGCAGATCGCTCCCATAAGCAGAGTGCCACCTGCAGTCATGATCACCGGCAGATACGAGAGATTGGGCTTCGTGCCATCCAAAATCATTCCCGCAACAGGAGCACCGGCCAACATGCCGACTCCGCTGGCCGCGTACATGAACCCGATCACGGTCGAGAGCTGGTGCGCTCCAAAGGTCTCGGAGAGGACAAGGGGTACCAGAGACACGTAACCGCCGGCGAAGAAGCCGTAGAGGATCGCAAACAGGAGGTAGACCCCAAAAGACTTGGAAAATGTCCAGATGATCAAGACCGAACCCGCCGTCATCCAAGCACAGCAGCTAACGACCACGGTCTTGGGGAGACGGTCTGCAGCGTAACCGAGGACGATCCTGCCGAGGCAGGAGGCACCACTGGAAAGACCAGCGATCAAGGCACCGTCCTGGGCGGTCAACCCAATGAACAGACTGTAGGCTACAAATGAACCAGATGCAAATGCAAATAGCAAGAAAGGTCAGAACATCGGATCTGAGATGCTTGAAATAAATCAAGCGCACTCGCATTATCCATATGGAGAAAAAAAGGCTTACTCTGGAAGTAGTACATGGGAATGAGGAACCCAATCGAGGCCGTGAGTTCTGCAAAGGTCAAGGACAGGAACTGGGGGTTCTTGAACACCTTGAGCTCCGCAAAGAAGCCGGCCACGCCAGTAGGCTTCATTTTCTCAGGAGACAACTTCTCGTTGATCTGACCAATCTCCACGTCGGTCATCGCAGGTGAGGGTTCAGGGACCTTCTTACCATTCTCTCGCTCGGCGATCAAGAAACTGGCGCCGCCGCTATTGCCAAAGCAAAACAGTAAATGAGTAAAAAAAAAAAAAAAAAAAATCAAGTGGATAGTGTTAGTCTTTGCAGCAGTAACATATTATGATGAAAGAGGCGAGCGACATGGAGCATGGACTAACTGACTGATTACATACCAGACAATGACGCAGAAAAGCGCGAGGGCACGAAGTGTCCAGCCGACGCCGAGGGCATCAATCAATCCCTGGGTAGCAGGCGCAAGGCCCAGTCCACCGAGTCCGGTGCCGCTGACAGCCAGGCCGAGGGCGAGGCCACGCTTGGCGTCGAACCAGTGTGAGGGTGCACCGATCGCAGGGTAGTAGACCAGGGAGGCACCGATTCCAAAAAGCACACCCTGGGAAAGGTATAGTTGCCAGACCTGGGTCGCGAACGACGCCAGGAGCAACGCAACGGCCATCACAGCAGTGCCCAGAAGAGCGGTGAAGCGGTACCCAAATTTGTCGGCCGAGGCCCCGCTCACGAAGCCGGCAAAGTAAGTTGTGCTTGAGCCCAATGTCCCGATGAATGCAATGGAACCGTGGCTTGATGATGGGTAGAGTTCCAGGTAATGATTCTCGAACATGCTAAAGATGTACTCGGTAGGTGCGAAACAGAAACAGTGGATCAGGAAGCTCCCGAGGACGACAAGCCATGCACGGAGACCACCATCAGGCGCACGGTCCGAGATGTCGACCAGGGTGGGCGACTGACTGATCCCGATGAAGGAGGGTGCTGTGGACTTGACACATTTCTCGGCCGAGGACGATGGGGGGAGGAGTGTGTTGGTACGGGTGGTATAGATTGCGTGGGCAGGGGCGATCTCGCAGGACGTGCGAGGGGTCTCATCGACGTCGCGGCATGTCTTTGTGGTTGCCATTTTCGTGTGATTTAATTCCTTGAGGTATTACAACAGGTAGCGCATGCAGCTTTGTTGACAGAAATGGCTGTGCGTGTATGTACAAAAACAGATGGGATGCAACCGGATGAGGCCAAGGGAGAGAGGAAATGTATGAAGATCGAATGAAAAAAAAAGAAGAAAGGAATCTTCCTCCTTGGCGAGTGCGGGCTACCTTTTTATACTTTTTTTTTTCTTCCCCCGAGTTCCTAGGGCTTCCTTCTCTCGCGGCAGACATCACTCGAGACCCACCGGCTGGGCCTCAGACCGTGAAATGATCGAATGCCACAGAAAGAGTCAGAGACATGTGTGTGTTCTGAATAATCGTAATGAAACGCGGTCTGAGGCCCAGACGGGCTGAGCTGGCCTTGAATGTAGTTTCTATTCATACCGTGTGTGTGTGTATGTACCCGACTGATTGCCGTTAAGTGGGTGCATCCACTGCTGCCGCCAGAGATGCTTGCCCAAAAAGGAAGGTGCATTGTTTTGTCCCACGCATGGACAGCCCCTCCTCCCGGCACAGATTTATTTTTCAACCGCAGCCAGGAAGAGGATGCACTTCGGAGCGTGAACTCTCTTTCTTCGCTCGCTCGCTCGTTGCTGTCTCAGCCTGGTCTTGCCCGGGGTCATCAATCGACCCATCTCTATATTTCAACTGCAGCCGAATGAGGACCCTATTCTACCAATAGCCTTTATCCTTCGAGGACATGGTCCACTCTCACCGAAAAAAAACAAAAGAAAAAGGCCATGCAGATAGACTCCAAATGAGCATGGAACTTTGGCCACGTTGAAAGAAATCTGGGTCAGTAGGCTATTGGTGAGCAAAGCACCCTTCTTCTTACACCCACAAGTGCATGCATTGCCCAGGTTAGACTATCATGTGTTTTGAATAGCCGCCTGAAATAAATGCGTCGTCTAAAGTCCACTTTAAACCTCGCATCATAACTGGTTCATTTTGCATGCAAAGGGAACCAAAGCGAACCCAACTAGGTATATGTCCCAGAAAGCTGTAAACGTTGGGGTGACACTGTAAATGATAGGCCTCAAGTCGCTGCGACATCTAGCACCCAGATGGCGAAAATTCGGAAATCATTTCATCTTCTCGTAAAGTCCATATTCATTTGCGTTTGCAGATCGATTGCACAAAATGCAGTGTGTTCAACGCCCGTGCAGCGGGAACCCCCCGACGAGGTTTACATTGACAGGTGCAGATACACCGTCCTTGCTATGATAGAGTCAAAATCAGCAAACAATGGTACGGTGATCAATGAGTGATCCGACGACCGCGAGATAAGCACACTGCTGAGGAGGATAGCCAGGCTCTCTTACTGCTCTTGCAGACAACGGAATATGAATGTATACTTGAACAGCTGCTCCTGGCTCACGCCCAGACTGAGGATCTCGACGTGGAGAGAAAGATGCAGAGAGGGAAGCGTGGGCAGGAATGGAGTGGTTGCCCTTGCGGCGGTGTTCTCTTGACAACCACCTTTCTCCATTCTCACTCATCGTCCCCCTCAAGCTCGCAAAAACCCTACAACCTCAAAATGTGGTGTCGAAGACCGTAGACCCTTAATGTACCTCGAATGTAGAACCTTGTCTATTTTACAATCGACACAGTGTTTCTTGTACGCGATTCTTGTATACACCGAGTTACAAAGGGACAATTACTACAGTTTCAATAGCTATCGCGTTTCTTTTTTTTTTATTGGATCTTCCAACCATTTCGAGCTCTGGAATTTCTATCGAAATTCAGACTGGAAGTCCACTCCTCCTCCTGATGAATCCTTATCGGACCCAGAGTACAGAACAATTCAGGCTCAAATACGTCATAGAACGAACGCATCCTCGCAAGAAAGCATCTGAACTGTAGTGTGCTTGCTGACACACATTTATCTACATAGTCTATAGTCGCTTGGCGCCAGGATTTCCATCCCTTCTATGGGTGAGGCTGCTCGCTTGCGTCCTCCAGCTCGTCCTTGCCCTTGCCCTTGTCCCACGACGCTACTGCGCTACTGCTGTTGCTGCTACAGTCCCTGGCTTCTGTTTGTGGTCTTGCATCTCGCATCCAAGGGCAGTGCCCGTCCTTATCTGCTGGTTGAAGACAGAGCGGTCGCTGTTGATAGGGTAAATGGCTGCGAATGACGTTGCAAATGTTATGCCTTGCCATAATATCGCGGTGTATGAAAGTGTCGCAGATTGAACAGTATAGCCTACGGATCTTGACCTGTCCGAAACTACTCATTCGCCCCAACTACGATGTAGCCTAGGGGCCTGGATATAATTCATACTTCTCATATAGCTAACCTTCTACCCGGAGGTCAATCTCGCTGGTAAGCAAGTCTACTGCTCCTGCTCGCACTGCTTCTGGAACTTTGCTTGTAATTACGCGGTGGTACTTTTCCTTACAGGTGGCGATGAATTCGCCAGTGTTTTGCAGTCTCAAAGCCTCGGCATCATTCTGTTTCCGGCAGCCATGAACGTGGTTCATATAGCAGAGAAAGATCGAGCGAAAATCCTAGTGCATGTAAAGATCCTGTAAAACATATTCAGAGAAGTCCAACATTTGGAATAGACTTGTGTTGCGGTTGACTCCGACGCTGCTTCTATTACGATTGTGAAAATTGAAAGCCGGGTTGAAGGACTCTCTGACGAATACGTTAGATGGCTAGATTATCAGAGGAATCTGTCAAGTCTCTTCCCATCACCAAAAAGGTCTACAAAGATCAATTGAGGCATAAGGCGGCAATGTTCCCCCGTCCTCCAAGAGGGTCGACCATTCAACTTGAAGGTTCATGTGGGCTCGACCGCTTTTAGAACTGCCACATTTGTGGTCAACGTTCACCATCAATTGACCCAAGGCAAAAAAATAACAAACAATCAAACAAAAAGAGATCGACATTGACCAATTGAGGCATAAGGCGGCAATGTTCCCCCGTCCTCCAGGAAGACAGACCATTCAACTTGGAGGTTCATGTGGGACCGACCGCTTTTAGAACTACCACATCTGTGGTCAACATTCACCATCAACCAATCCAATGAGTGAATAACATAAGGGGAAGCACAAATTACACAACCAAGCGGGCAACCTCCTACCTTTGTCGCTGTGAAAAGAGATTTTGGATTAACGCGGTGCTGTATGGCTTTAAATATGAGCCAACTGGTTGCACTTCTAAGGAGATTCGCGTGGTGTGTGTGTGCGTGTGTGTGTGTGTGTGAAGGAGAAAACAGAGAGAAGACAAACAAGGGACAATGAATGATGATGGGGGCGTGAGAGCGGTGGCAATGGTAATTAATAAGGTCAAAGGAGTGTGATGCCAGAGGCGAGAAAAGCGAAGGCGCAGTCACTGCGCGCGCGCGCGTACGACGTCGCGATATTTATTTCCCGGTCGACAAGAAATAAAGAGATATGACTGTGCCTTTATTTTGCGCCGACCCTTTTTTGCCATCGTTTTGCATTTTCTTCTTCACCTTTGCCGCGATACCCCTTCCCTCGGCTTAATTCTTTCATCCCTCGGCTTAATTCTTTCATCCCTCGCCTTTTTCTTTCCATCCTTCGTCTCTTTTATCCCTCGCCTTCTGACTTCTTCCTTTTTTCTCGCCACATTTAATTCTCTTTTGATGCTTCACAACACTATGACCGACAACGACTTGACTCTATTCTGCATTGAGAATGGAGACTCTACGCCATTCTCTGTCGACATCGACCCATCAAAGACTGTTGATCATCTCAAGGATGCATAGAAAACCCCTCGATTTGATGATGTTGCCGCCGATGAGCTCACCCTCTGGCGCGTTTCGATTCCTCTTGCTCCACTTAAGGAGCGCAAGCCGATTGTCCTGAACAATATTGATTCCGCGACAGAACTCGACCCAACAGATGACCTCTCTGATGTCTTTACCCACAAACCACCAAAGAAAACAATTCAAATCATCGTCCAGCGACCACCACCAGGTAATGCCGCATTCTTTCCTCTCCACTGCACCATGCGCGTAAGCTTGTTATTGTACTAACCTAAATTCTCACGCTTAATTATCCAACACAGTCCATGCACCCGTCCCTGTTCGATTTCTTACCCCTGTTCCAGCCACTCCCTCGGATACTTCTCGTCCTAGAACGCCTTTGTCTGGTGAGTTCGGTCGTCAACTCTGTTTTTACGCCCATTTCTAATTGATTTATCTTTTCTCTCAACAGGGGACCTCAGAACCGACATCAAAAAGATCGCCTACCGATTCTTTGCAACCGGATCTCCAGCCTCTATCTTTCTGGACGCGTATGTGCGAGGAGAATTCAAGTTGCCAGTCACTACCGCCGGGATCAAGGGGCTACCCAAAGTACTGCTGCGAGGCGTTGTCGAAAGTCAGGATTCAGGACCAAGTCTTCTTTTTTTTGGATTTACCGAATCCTCCGTTAAAGGCTGGTGATCCTGTTCCTGAGAGGTTTCGGTCGAACGTTTTTTAAACTGGAAGGCATGCAGGCACAAGACCTCCCTGTATTTGGTGTCAGGTGCGCTCCTATCCTCAATGCATGACTTTGAAAGACTTGCTATGTTTACTCTGCTACTTCATGGACTAATGCGGAATATTTATGTCTATGACAAAGTCAATAAAAACATAAAACAATTTTACATAACTTCGATTCTCAAGTGAAGTGCTCTTATCTTCGGAACAAAGTGCGACTGAAAGGACTCGTGCAAAGAGGAAAGTTCCATCTTGGTCGAAAACTTACCACCCAGACCAACCCCATCACAACCTTGTTAGCTTCCTCTCTCTTTCTGCCGATCGATCCTCCGATCAACTTGAGTAGGTGATCCGTTATGAGCCTGTGCTCCGCATCCCTGGCCCATCTCGTGTCCCACCTATGCTTCCTGAACCGGCTGTAAAATTCATTCAGCTGTCCCTCTACTCTCTCCAGTTCCGTAACATAGCTCGCAAAGCTAGCTCCCTCACTGTGCAGTGGTGGCTGCTTAGTCTCGATGTTACTGATGGATTCTATTCCATCATCTGGAACGATGATTTTCTGCTTTTCCATTTATCTTCTGTGCTTGAACGTAGGCTGGTACACAGCCTTCTGCTTCACTGCGAGATTGTAATAGGTACGAGAACCAAAAGTAGGGGTTGTATCCTCGAAAGAACTGCTCATGTCGTCATCATCGTCCTTTCTTCCAGGTCCCGTTGTCGTACTGGCAGGATCATCGATCTCTGGTAGCAATGCGCTAATTCCAACTACACGGATTTGGCTGAGATCGAGACCCAGGACCTTGATTTGATCTGGCCCACATCTGCAAAGATCGATGACATCCTGCTGGGTCTTCACAATGTTTCGGACCTCGGTCAACTAATAGTCCACTCCGCCGACTGTGGATGTGATTCGAAGGGCAAGATATTCTGCGAGAATCGCCTGCATCTGAATGACTGTAATTCTTTTAACTTGAAGGTCGACAGATGGAGGCGGAAACCGTCTGTCCAAATGGGGCCTCGACGAACATAGCCGTGTCCCTCGTAGGTCATAGGATCGAATTTGGCCTGCCGAATGAGTTGAATGTGTTCTCGCATCATACTCAGGGCCATCACGAACGTCGATTCTTGCAATCTCTCGACCTTTTGCGTGGCTCACGCCTGTTGACGTTCGAAGGCATCTTCGTGATAAGGAACCCAGGAGCCTTCTGCCCAAGTCAATCGGTTAGGTTACCCTAGGTGGGAGCGCTGTTCTTGTTCTCAAAGTCCACCAGTATTAGTTCCTGAAGTTTTTTTCTTCAGCGCAGCGTTTTACCTAAACACGATACCAAACTCTTACTCAGAGAACGACATTAATGGCTGCTCTATGCCCATTAATGGGGTTGTCTGACGATAACTCTTGCTGGACTAGCTCAAAAGCATGAAATCTTCGATCGCTGGGATGTCTTGGTCTATCTCTGTACGTGATCCATCTAATATGAGACCCTTCGTCTTCAAAGTCCTTGGCTATTATAGACAGATCGCCAATGTTAGTATTGTCGTTCTTACAGTATGCTCCTTGAGTCGAGTGCAAGGTTTGACGCGGGGGTTTGGTAAGAGACTGGGCAGGGTTCACCTCACTTGCAGCCCCTGCCTGATGTGGAGCAGGGTGGCCGGTCGTGCGATATCTGTTGAAAGTCTGCGAAGACTTGTGCCGCCGAGCCTTAGTACCGGTTGACTCGTTGTCAAAGCCATTAAAGTTGATAGCGATCTCAATAAGCTAGTTAATTTTATGCATACCTTCATGCAGGTGGGGATTCTTACAAATCAAGGCAGTGTTTGACATTGCATACCTTCTCTCCGCCTCGCGTGCCTCTCGCACCTCCTTCTGCATTTGGGAGTACCGCTGAGAAAGACAGTCGAGCTGCTTCCAAAGGCTGTCATAGGTCATGGCAGCTTGAGCTGAGGACGAAAGGGGTGGGCCAATCTGCACAGGGTCCTCAAAGATCCACAAACGTCTCCTGGGTAGTATCCTTGCGCATGGCTTGATTGTTGCCAAGTAATGCTTCGTCATCGTCGCAGCCAAGGCGTTAGATTCTGCTATATGATGATCTGATTGATCTATTTACCTTCTCTATCCAGCCCTTCGATGATTTGTAATTAGTTGCACTTCCGAGAGAGAGGACGTTGCGGCTGTCGTTTTTTTTTTTTTTTTTTTTTTTTTTTTTTGATGTGACGCTAAGTACTGTAAACTGGTCGCATAGACGCTTGGAATGTTGTACACGAGGAGTTTCCTTTTAAGGTGGGTCGTTAAATGGTCTCGATGCTCTTGTACATGAGCATGTCGTCAGGCTTGCATTCAAGGCCTATCGTGAGATCTGCCTCGGTCGAGCATTCGACAATCGTCCACTGCTTCGTGTACATGTATACGGCAAAGGCGCTTTGAGCGTCTAGGGAGCAATAGAAGGCCGAGCCCAAGTGTTTTCTGATGTCGATGAACTGGTGTTTTCGCATGCGAAGCTTTTTATCCACGCGAACTTCGAGCATGCAGACATTTGTCGGCGCGCTCAACAGCTTCCTTGTGAAAGGTTCTCTCGGTACAGTTGAGTGGGTCCTTTTCCCTCCAAAGGAAGGCCATCCAGGTAAAGAATCAAGTTCGTCTGGGTCCCAAGCTTCAGTATCTCTCTCTCAACAATGCGGCGAGCATCGTCCGTAGGGTGCGAGGAATAGGCGCAGCGAACGGTGACATAAACAGACCCAAGGATATCGACTCGACTCACCGAATTGTGATCAATGGAGCTGGGATGTTGGATAAGTGGGCGGTTGATTGCTCCCATTGTGACGTCACTATTCTGAACTTCGAGTGGTGCAAGCAGTCTATACCTCGAAGTTCTCTTCGTATTTTTCACCTCCTTACACCTCCCCTCGGTTATCAAAGCAAAGCATTCTTTCTACACAGAGGCAGCCCACACTACTGCTCTATTCGATGGACAACCCTACACAGGCCCCCACCACCTTCAGCGCTCCACCCAATACGACTGTCACGGCTCGACAAAGGCTTTTGGCAGCATGTCCGTGCCTCAACGTCAAGCTGCACCTCGCTGCACAACCTGAGCAGGGCGTATCGATCGCAGGAAAAGAACTAAAGCTTGGACTGGCCGGTGTGTCTGTGGTAAGCTGCGTTCGGAGGCCGTGATCCCTGACCGCAGACGAGCATCCGTTGGCGGTTGTGGGGAGAGGCAGCTTTCGGGACTGATCCTAAACCCATTTCTATCGTCCTCGCTCGCTTTTCTCTTGTTCAGGAACAAAAAATCCTCTGCGGTCTCTCAATATCAAAGGATCTGGCCACGGCGCGGTGTATGAATTGCGATCAGGACGTTTATATCTTCAAGCCAAGTTCCACCTCGGTCAACTTGGAGACTACCTCCTTGGCCTTTTTGGCCAACTCCGTCTTGTTCTCACCCTCGAACGGCATTGTCGTGCCATCAGAAGCCGTCGTCACAGGGGAACGGATTGATGCGCTTGTCAATGATCCAAATTACTCCAAAGCCTTCCGACTCATCCTCGCACCAAAACCTGCTTCCATCGGATCAGGCGACCACCCGACTTCTTCATCAGCCACGCCTGCAGCACCCCAGCCAAACGATATCCCATACCGACCCTATCTAGACAGGGTGCGCTCGATTTTGGACAAGGAACTCGAGTTGAATCTGAACGCACAGCAACAGCGAACAGAGGCCAGGATTGAAGCGTACAAGTCGCAACAATTGCTGGCATTGCAAAAGTCGATGGAGAGCACGAGGCATGAAAAGGATCTTCTCTGGATCAAGATTCAGGAACGGGTCACGTCGCCGCCGCCTCCGGCACCCTCAACACCCAGCATTGGAGAGTCAGGAAGTGCAGGCGCTCAAGGGAGCGGATCCGCTGACGCCAATGGCGGACAGTATGCCTTCGACGTGCCTGGCACTTTGCCCATCCGACTCACAAGCGCCTCTCGGGTGGATGGGCCTCATGGCGCATTTCTGGACAGGAGAAAGGCATCGGAAACGGACGCGGCCATGTCGCTCCAGTTCAGAGAATTTGATCAGCAAATGGCCTCGAACAGTATGAGGCGACAGAGCCTTGTGCCTGTTGTGGTCCCGACACACGACGGGACGGACGATATCGCTGACATGACCTTGTCCAACACAGCGACGAATGCGACCACCTCTACGGCTCTTGACCAGCCTGCCTCGAGCTCCTCGAATTCGGGAACGTCGACCCCAACATCAAAATCGAAAAAGAAGGTGACCATCAGCGACGCAATTAAGAAGGTCTCAATCGTCGAGCCTGACGCAGGCAACTATGTGGATGGCAATGGTATATCTTTCAGTGCGATGGGTACTGGTTGTCCAGGACTTTATTGTGGTCAAAAATGGAAGAACTAACGCAGCTTTTGGATTATATAGATCAGAACAGTGATGAGGAGGATGGTGGAGACGAGGATGAAGGGGTGGTCTTTGATATGGACGAAGAGCTAGGATTCGACGGGGAAGGAGGAGAGGACGTCGAAGGAAACGAGGAAGGCAGCGAACAGGAAGACGGTATGGGTAGTGATGAAGACGATTATTCTACGCCCAGCAATAGCATCGCCATCAGCAACTCAGCCGGTCGTTCCTTGCCCAAATCCGGCATGGTCGTGGGCTCGCTCCGCGCAAACTATCTACGCCGTCAGAAGGGGCTTCAGCAACACAAGAGGTCACTCAACGAGGAAGAGCTTGATTTTGACGACGACGACGAGGATGATGATGATGATGATGATGATGACAACGCCCCTGCGCCACCCGCAGCAGCATTCCTCGGCACGTCCTTGCCGATCCAAATCCAACCACGCCCCGCCAATCCCCTACCCCCTCCTCCAGCACGTACTTCGGCCCTTGCCAGCTCCTTGGCGATGCCTCCAGGATCATCCCCAGCAGCCGCCATGCTCCAGCGGAGATTGTCTCGTGCATACGGACCGGATCTCTTGCCTGACAGCAGCAGCCAGGGCAATAACAATACCAACATCGCGCGCTCATCGACCTTGGCATTCGCAGGATCTTACACCGACGGATCATCCCTTGCGCCTCCAGCTCCTGGGGGCATCGCTGGATCTCTGATAATTGATCCACTTATGCTGCTTGAGGAAGAGCACGACAACGATGACCGTGAGGATCGTCTTCGAAAGCACCGACAGCCTTTCTCGTCCATCAACCACCGTCGCGATCTAGAGAGGAGTCAGCAGAGCCATAAGGAGCAGGACCCTACACCGGCACAGTTCAGGAACAATGGCGGTGCGATATCTTCGGTGTCGCAGCAGACGGATTTTGAGCCCCCACATCTGTATTCGGCAAGGACCTATGTCGGCTCGACCCCATGGGAGATGCCGACAAGGATCACAGTCAAGACTGGAGGCATACAGCGTGAGGGCACGAACCTGGACAAGCAGATCGCGCTAGAGATGGCGAAGGAGCTGGAGCAGGAACGACTCGAGAAGGAGAAGGAGGCACATGAAGCTGCGCTTTTGGACAGGAGTAGTGCAGTGCAACGTGGCGTCCATAAGATCGACGAGGAGGAGGAAGAGGAAGAGGAAGAGGAAGAAGAGGAGGAAGAGATACTAGGACGGAGGCGTCAGGGTCAGCGGCAGCAGGAGGCGGATGAATTACCGCCGCTGCATCCTCTCTCGACTGCAACAGCAAACGACATCGGTGATAGTTAGTTTCTGGAAGGCCTTCTTGGTCTGAAAGAAAAAAGTAAAATAAAATAACACACACTGCAAACAAAGCGTAATGAGTAACGATTGGATGGTTTTGGCCTGTGATATCCCGCCTTTTTTTTTCTTTCTTTTTTATTGTTCTACGAGGCTTAGTACTGTACATGTAAAGGGGAAGCACAAAAAAAAGAAAAAGAAAAAAAAAGTTGACCTTTCACCGCTGTCTCTTGACATGTCGTGGGGACGATTGGTGATCATCCAGTTTCCTCCGTGGGCTGCTGTGCTCTCGGTCATATCCATGGCCATTCGTGCTTCCGTTCTCGTACCCGTGGCCATGGCTATGTCCTCCATCCGTCTCGAAAGCCTCCTCATCAGGCCGATGCTTATGCTCCTTCTCTCCACGGTCATGCTCCCGATCTCGATCATGATCTCCGTCTCGATCTCCGTCGTGGTACCTGTCTCGTCCTCTGTCGTAGTCCTGGTCTCTATCGTCTCGTTTCCGGTCCTCGGCTACATGGTCAAGAGTCATCTCGTCCTTGTGATGGATATGCGATGTATCCTGCTTCACATCTACATGGGCGTGCGCAGAGCTGTTGTTTATGTCTTGATGTCCATGGCCATGGCCATGGCCGTGGCCGTGGCGATGGTGACGATGGCCTTGATGGTGATGATTATGGTGATGACGACGATGGCGATGGGGGTGCTTGTAATGCTGTGGTTCCTCAGGTTGTTGGTCGCTGGGCAGAAGCGGGAGGTAAAACGTTTCCTCCCCACCGTCCTCGCTATCCGAGTCGTTGAACGGGTTGATTTTTTCGATCGTCGTCACGTCAATGAGCACATCTTCGTCGTCGTGTTTTCGTTTGGACGCCTCTTCCTCAGGAACCTAGAGTGTGAGAAACATGGCGATAATCAGAATACTGTCGTTATAGTCACCACCTTGCTTTTCGAGGTCATTCTCTCACGATTTTGGCTTACAATGTCGAATTCGTCCTCGCGCTCTTCGTAGTCGATGTTCTCTTCCAGCTCTTTAAAATCAGGGGCGAATGCGCTCCAGTTCTCCTGGTAATTTGTCGCCCAGATATGAATCTTTCCGTAGCTTGACACTGATGCCACAATGGGTCTGATCGGATGCCACTAAAACGCCAGAGTATATAATATATGTATATAGTGTTAAAGACGTCCCTTTCACGTCTGTTGTTCGTACTGTTTGCCTCAGCCAGCACAACTTTCTCATTGATCGTAAAAGACTTACAGCCAGATCCTCCAATGGCTCTTTGGGACCTTCGAGAAACTTGACGAGGTTCCCTCCAATTTTATCCCAGATGTAGATATTGTGTTCAGCCTGATGTCCAGATCCTCCGATGACATAGTCAGCGTCGCTCGAAAAACAGCACTGATTCCATTGGATCCTGTTAACCAGATCCTGGAATTTGTGCAGTTGTTCCGGTGGACCGTCTTCCCTGACTGCAAAGAGTCGGATGATCCTGTCGTTTGCATTGACCAAAATCTCCCTGCAGAAGTCATGAGCGAATGGTGTCCTGATTAGTATCGCTGCTTTCGAAGAGAACAAAGGGTCCGAGGAAAATGTAACCCATGGAACTGGCAGAGACTTACTTTCCTCTCCTACTGAACTTTATACTTTTGATGGCGCTAGTTGTCGGTCGAATTTCATAGAGTAGCTAAGCGTGTTCAGGTTACGAGCAGGCAAAGAAATCGTCAGAGACTCTATTGTGTCGCAAACGTGAGCTCTACCACCGGAAAAAGAAAAAAAAAAACCGTCTATCCATGATGTTCCTTCCTTGTTCAGGCGTCGACGCAACTTACAGATCGCGTTTCCGTGTTGATGATACTGATCTGGCCACGATTCGATCCTGCATAAATCCTTTTCCCTTGCCTGTCGAATGTAACGACCAGCGTCCATTGTGTTTGTCCAGCGGCTACTGTTGTTGCTGGTGTTGGTGTCGAGTTTGAATTCTGTTCGGATGACCCCTCATCTTTAGGATCCATCAAAATAGGTGATCGTTTGATGCCGTTTGAAAAATCAACTAGCACAGGTTTCTCTTGATGTAGCGCAGCAATAAACAGCGAACTAATGGAACAAAACAGAAGGACAGTGAGTGGGTAAACGTCGCCAGTTGGTGGGGACGCGTATAGAGTAGCACGGATGAAAATAATGATCGATGAGAATGGCTGCGTACTTGTTTTTGGGATGGAACTGAGCGTTCAAGACAGGCGTATCAAAGCGGATGGTATGTTGCTTCGTTCCTGTCAGAAGATCCCATACAATACAACTCCAGTCCCTGGATGATGACAAAAGATATCGACCATTCCGTGACCAGCTAGCAATTGAATATAATGTTCAGGAGTTCAAGGGTAGAGGTCAGTAAAGAGGCGACTGTACAAGTCCATCCTATGCCTCCATTCTTGCTTTCCATATGTATCTGCACCACTGCAGTTTTACACGCCATATTAGCATGTTGACATACCTCAGGCTAGTTACTATTTTGACGTGCCCGATCAAAGAACGCGAGACGCCTCGTGTATCAAAGTCCCAGACGACAATAGTCCCGTCCGAGCATCCTGCAGCCAGAAGCGTACCCCGACGGTTAAACCTGACCGTAACAGCCAGTCCGCCCTCGAGTGTGTCCTCGATGACCTCTGGAAAATCTTGCTCAAATGGGTCTGTATCAAAGCGACAAAGAGAATGGCGATGGTTGGCAATCAGCTCAAAAAACTTTGTTCATGGAAAGAGTTGATCTGGACATCGCGAGATTCCTGACAACCCTTAGATTGGTTAGTGTGCGCACCTAGTAGTTCCAGATTCATCGTGTTTCAGAACGTCCAATGTGCTTCCCGCTGTTATTTCCGTGCTTTCTAAGGTTGTGGGGTCGCGTCCTATCTCGTTACAGCTGTGTGAAGGAGTGGGGTATACATGTGCAGACAAGACAAGACAAGACAAGACAAGACAGGACGGACGAACAAAACGAAGCGTTTTTTGAAACTGGTTCTGGGTAAACAGGGACCTTGCAATTATAGAAAAATTGCACTTGTGGAGCGGATTTATTGCTAAACCTTATTTTGTCATTAGAAATATATTAGCCTAAAAATCCCGATTTTCAAGCATCCAGCCCGGCTAGCTCAATCGGTAGAGCGTCAGACTCTTAATCTGAAGGCTGTGGGTTCGACCCCCACGTTGGGCGCTTTCCTTTTGCTTCCCGGTGTTTTGCAGTGGCGGGTGCCATTGCTTACGGTACGCAGGGCTCTTTTTTTTTTGGCCACTTCTACGGTAATTAGATGACATACAGCAGTGGCGGTAATCGTCGCGTAAAATGACGATGGCTGTGGTTTTTTTTTTTCCTTTTTGACGCGTCGTTCCTCGGACAAAAGATGAAGTGTGTGGGGTAAAAATAGGTCAACATGCGTGTATTACACGTGGAGTCTATCTTTGAGAGGGTTGTTTCAAAGCCCAAGGCTCAGGACCTTATTTCTCGCTGCCTGTGCGCCCTGTCCTTTCTACCGCCATCGCCTCCAGTGCCTCATTTCACATCTTTCATTCCCTCTCACCCATCCCCTCTTCATCATCTCCCATCAGTCCATCAAAGATGCAAGAGATGAAGGTTGGCCCTTCGACGGCAAAGGAACACTTGCTCCGCCCACAGAGTGGACAAAAGATGAAGCTGAAGGAAAAGTTTGTCCAGATATATGACATGTTCCTAAGAGTAAGCAGACCTTAAGGAGGCATTTCGCCCATCAACAAGAAGCATTCCATATCGTCGCGCGCAGCGCTGTTGTTTCTCGTCCTAGCGATTTCTCACACTCGCCCCTTTATTTTTTTCTAACGCGTTATTTAACTAGGGTCAGGACCCCGCTCAAGGAAGGGACCCAGACGTCTTTTGGGATGAACTGTTCTTGATCAAGGTACAGATTCAGCCTTGTACGGTTGGATGCAACGAATCAAAGGTATGGGAGATATTAATAGAAGAGTCATTTGTCCCTAGGTCAACGAAGAATACCTTTCTTCGAGTCTTGCACAGACCAGCGAAGACCAATTGCTTGCCATCAAAGATGGCATCAATGGTATCTTTTTACATGCAGTCCAAGCCATCAGGGATCCGTTGCCTCAGAGGCGCCTTCATGCCATGCAGGTAATGAGGTTTTCGTACGGGTTTAGGCTCGGATCAAATTTAGCTGCGCCATGATCTGGATTTGGCTGTGGACTTACTCACAAGACATCCAATCCATGTCCACATCCACATAGACGTTAACAATCGTTCTTGGAGAGATTTTTCGTAAAAAGTTTCATAACTGGAGCTTTGATGTCATTCATCTACTGGTATGCGGAAGACTCTTCCTTGGCCGTTGACAAGATGATCATTTCCCCAAGGCGTGCTTCTCATTATTCGTTTTTACCAACGGGAACGATAGACAGGGCTATCACATGCCGATCTTGTCTTCCGGACGCTGATTCAAGGCCTGAGCACCATCTTGGGAAGCGATGAACCATGTATGTTGATAGGCATGTGTTTCCAGGAGGATCACTTGGATGTTTACGAGAAAGATTGCCATTCCGACGGCCTTTCCTTTTTCTCTTTTAACATTGCAATACCTTTATAGTGAAGTTACAAGTGGTTGCTCTGCGACTCGCAATTGCTTTGGCGTGTGGCAACGATAATGTGAACAAGAACACTCTGAACGAGTACTTTATGCAAAAGGACATTTTCCCGTCCCTGATCAAGGTATTTTTCGTTCCTCGGCGCCGGTCATCCTCCTTGGTGGATAGCAAGGATGAATGATGTCCAATTAATCTTTCTCTGTTTGAAATACCTATAGTTCTTTGTCATGGTGGATTCCGTCGATCTGGCATTTGAAGCGATGGCCCTATTGGGTTTACTGGCGAACTACAACAAATATGAGATCCAGAACCCCTACCTGGCCAGCTTGGCGGCATTGAAGGATGAGGCTGTACTTCAAAAGATGTCTATGGTCATCGTCCAAGTATTCGACGGGATGCGGAAGTAAGTCAAAAAAAACGCCTCCAGTACCATTCACAGTTTATAGTTTGTATGGACACTAACGCGAAGCAACAATCCATAACTGGACATAGAGGATACACGGGAGTGATGGACGACGACGAGCTGTCAGCAGTATCGAAGCTCACCAGTGCTCTATCATACGTGACAGGCATGCTCTGGAACCCGAATGCACAGGATATCTCTGTCACGGATGCCTCATTCGCCTTGCTGTAAGCGCATCTTGTCTCAGCGTCATGCTCGGTTTCATCAAAGGATACCCACTAATGCTGTGTCATTTCGATTGTGCATTTAGTCCGGACGGCAGAGTTACGGTGCTTTTGATATTTTACGACCTCATTTATACCAACAAGCGATTCCAGCAAGTCTTTTTGAGCTACTCTACAACAGCTGCTAATTCACAGGACAAACAAGCGGAGCACCTCAACCTGGAGACTAGCGAAACAGGACTTGGGTCGTTCCTGTCATTCTCATCTTATCTCCTGCAACATAACCGCACACAGCGCTCAACACCGTATACCCATCTCTGTCTGATCATCATGTTGGTCCTGGTCGAGGATCCGACCACGTATCCACATCTGTGCAGCATCCCCCAATCACAGGATCCACCCTCTCTTCTTGTAACGCCTGCGGGCAACACTGTAAACTCAATGGTAACTGTTCGACTGTGTCGTCAACGACAGCCCGTCCTGCCCAAGGTCAAGCAGGCGAGACCCATGGCTGCGGTGCTTCTGGATGTCATATTGGGATTCTTGAAACACAATATGAAGAAAAAGATGCAAATTGACTGCTTCCGGTAAGCTCCCACGTGCGACGCTTCAAGTGGATCGAAGTGCCGAGAGACGCGAGCAGTGTTACTAACTTGGTTTAATCGCGTACTTTTTTTTTAGTATCGCGATCGCCATCATTTTTTCGCTCACAAGCCGGTTCAAAGCCCTTCGTGTTAGACTTCGTAAGTCGCTGCTTCCTTGGAGGTATTTAATATGGCACGGCAGTTATTTACTCAACACTAAAATACATGTCGTTGTCTTCTTCCTATAGCCTACCATTGGGTAGAGATGTGGAATACATTGCAGGGAGTCGTCAAATTCCTGCAATCAAACGGCAAAATCTTGCAGAACCATCCAGATGCTAGAGACTTGGTTGCAGAGGTATGGTCAACAGGATGGCACCCAATGTTGCTGTGGACTTTGAAACCGATACCACCCACACTCTATACTGATACGCTCCTTTCACTATTCTTTCGATAGACGATTGATCTTGTGAATTACTGTGTAACATTCGGGGATCTTATCATGCCGGATCCAGCAAGTCTTTACGCTCTCTACTATGAGATTGTGCGCTCAGGAATTGATCCCTACACGGATCTCACCAAACAATGTAAACCTCCCTTTCCCCCACCTCCCAATCGCTTCAGATCTGATCAAAGTCCATTCCCTAGCACTAACAATTAATCATTTGGAACCTAGTTTTCATTTCGGTTCAACCGCCGTTGCCGCCCCCACTGCCACACCACGATCTGACATCGCGCAACCGCCTCAACCTGGCTACTCCAGTCACCACGCCTCCTGAGTCAGCCCTGTCATCGCCATCGCCAGCATCGGCCTCAATCATGGGCTCCCCGCCACCTTCGCCGTTTCAATCCTATCGATCCGGATCTCCCCTCAACGCTGTTGGTGCTGTCTCCGCTCACCAGCGCCTGATTATCATCGATCTCTCGAATATTAACCAGGTCTACACCTTCTTCTTCACTCACCTCCTGACTTGGCGCGACGCAAACCCAACACGGAGTCTCGGTCCCGATCTGGTCTCGACTATCATTAAGAACCATTATCAGGACCTGACCCTGATCCCAATCCCCCTGGACTCGTTTTTAAGTCAGCGACAGAGCAATGTACCGCTTGGACTGAAAGGGTACAGTGGAAACAACGGAAGGGCGTCTCCTGCTCCTGCTGGCACCTCAAGCCCACACCCGGCCTGGGACGGGTACTCGGAAGTGCCAGCCAAGGTCCATTTCTTCCGACAGCTGACAAGGTGGGTCGTCGCAGACCTGCGGGCCATCTCGAAACAGAATGCTGCAGTTGCATCTGGAGCTGCACAGCCTACATCTACTACACCATGAACAAATAAAAACTATTATACGCGCACCCGTGTACGTTGTCGCTCTTTTTGTGCTTCCACCACCGCAATGTAAGGATACGTCTAGTTTATTACAAAGACTACCATGAACTGAAGTCTCCGAACCCTTTTGCGACCGTCTTCTTTTTCTTTGGCACTGAAGGGATGTCATTCAAATCCTCCACCTTTTCAGTCTCTCCTGCACTCTTCTTCGCAGTTGCAGCCGCCAAGTATTTGCCAACACCACCACCAACAGTGCCACCTCCCTCGACATCCCTCTTGATCGTTGGACCAAACCAGGTAGAGTGATCCAAGGGGTTCTCCTTCTTGACCGTCGTCCTTGCTTCTTCCTCGTACTTGCGTTTCCTCTCCAGTCGTTCTGTGAACGTCTGATAGGGATCCACAAAAACAGTTACGTCCTGCATGACAATTCCTGGTGGTGAAATCGGAATATCTGTGTCCTCGTCCGTGGGGACCAACTCCAGTTTGTCCAGCACATCCATGCCTCCGACAACCTTTCCAAATACTGTATGCTTGCCATCCAGATGCGTGCAGGGCTTAAAAGTAATGAAGCTATAAATTGGTTAAAGTGGTGCTCAAATGGTCAGTACTCTTCCGCCCCAGATACCAAAAATACAAGCCTTGGCAGTCAGGCAGCGACACCACGCCGCATTAAAGAAAACTTACAACTGCGAGGAATTTGTTCCGGGTCCTTTGTTGGCCATACTAAGGATCCCCCGTGCATTATGAGACAGCTTGGACTTGATCTCGTCCTTAAAATTCTCTTTCCAGTATGATTCACCACCGCGTCCAGTTCCTGTAGGATCGCCTCCCTGCAGCATAAAGTTCTTGATCTTGCGATGGAATTTGACATCCTTGTAGTATCCAGTCTTTGCAAGCATAATGAAATTGTAGCATGTCCGCGGTGTCTACAAAGAAGGGGAATGAAAAATCCATGTCAGTCGTTTTCCATAACAACAGTAACGACGCACTCATGAGTAATAAAAGACTGGTGTACCTGGTCGCAAAACAGCTCGATGTTGATTTTGCCAAAATTAGTGTTGATGCTTGCATATCCCTTGGCCTTGATCAACGGGAACATGTACTCTTCATGGCTCATCAAAGCGCGGTCGTCTGTCGTGGTCACACTGACGGCTGTCGAGGTCAGGGATGCACTGGTCTTTCCTGTTGTATACGCCGCTGCGTTATATGCGAGTCCCGGCTTGTTGGACATGGCTTCCATGGCCTTGTTGGTGGTCCTCCCTTGGGCCATAGCCACAACCTCCTTCTGTTTCTTCTCGACCGCTGCCTTTTCAATCTTCTCCATGTTCATCTGCGACAGAATCTTGCCCGTTGATCCTTGCTTGTTAATATTGTTGAGAGGGTCGCGCTTTTTCCTTTCAGCAGCTATTTAAAGCGATCGGGCGAATGAATTATAGAAAGGCCAGGATATTTGATAAATATTGATAATTTGATTTTTTTGGTAGCCAGAAAGATGCCTCGGTCAAATGTATCTAACCTTCATCAACTGCAGAGAGTTCATTCTTGACATAGTGAAATTCACTTAAATTCTTGTTCTTCAGGTTGTGGGGGTCCTAAGGTGAGAATCGACATGGACAGTATTAACATATATACCTATAATGGCCCTGCATAGCAATGGTTATAGATTGGGCCGATGCTGACCTGGATGGTGATAATTTCTTTGCGTGTGAATGGTTCGTCTGTCATGAGGTCCTTCCAGAACTTGGCCTTGATGTTGAGCCGTTCCACCGCCTCGTATGCAAATACATTTCCTGAAGGCTTGATCGCAACAATATGTGTGTTTTCATTGAAGACCCTCAGAGTGATCGGGCAATGGTATTCATCTATCCAAATGGCCGTGTATTTTGTTAGCTTCCATGCTTTGCAAAGTGCCCCTTTGGAGCCGGAAAGAGACGAAGGCCGATCATATAGGTACCATTGGCATTCTTGAAAAAATTCAACTTGATCAGGGATTTTGGGTCCAATTTCTCGCCTGTCACAGGATTCGCACCGTACTTTTTCAGATACGGCACGATGTTTCTATCAAAAGAGCAATGAGGAGAGTAAAGGTAGAGTTCGAAATAAGTATTTACGCCTTTCATAGTCCTTAACCATGATATCCACAAAAGAAAAAAGACCAAGGACTTACACGAGGTCAAAGACGATGCCATCCTCGGTGCAGACTGGATGCTGAAATGGCTGTAACGAGAGTGCACAGCAGTCGAAGGGCAATCGACGGAAGATCTGGGTATTTCTGCGTCCTCCTGCTCCTCCAAAGGTCATGCCTCCTTCCGAGAACTCATTACTCCACTCGGAGTGGGTAATATACATTTTGTCTACAAAAAACGAAGAGTAAGGCTGGTGAGACTTTACTGTATCCGTTCATATGTCCTGTTAGAGACCTGATGTCCAGTATTTGCCCCGCACCTGTTCCTTTCCCCATGGCGATGTGCTTGCAGATCGAATGGATGAGTGAAACGGCGGTGGTGGGGATGGTAGTGGTGGCGATGGTAGTGGTAATGGGAATGGCGCTTCAGCATCCACAACAGAGAACAATAACGGGCGTGACTGAGGAAGGGGATCTGAACTCAAAACGAAATGAATTATCCAAAGGATATTAGGAGCGCTGGTCTGTCCTCTTTCGCTTCTTCCTTCCCTCTTTCCGCTCCATTCCTTTTTTTTTACGCCCTCGCCCTCGTCCATCCCTCTGATCATCCCGAAGACCGACTCTTTTATTCTCTTTGGATGCGAGGATAGCGTGCTCGGAGACACTGCGCTCAACAAGACGACATACACCTCGTTCTCTCGCTCTTGCCCTACTCGGGCAGTCGTATTATCAAACAACCCTCAACCCTGCCTCAGAAACACTCAGCTCGGACCTAATGGAACAGCCCTCGAGCCTACCGGTAACAACTCGGCAGTGCCTCGCTATCACTTGTGCCACTTCTGTGGACCGACTGGCTAAATATCTTGATCCGCTGTGATAGATGACCAACGTGCTCATGTTGAGCTCGATCCTCTTGGTCTTCTTGTGCTTCCTGGTCCAGCTCTCGTACGAGAACTACGCCAACATGTTGTACCTGCACCATTCGCAATCACACCATCACCACCACCACCACCATCACCACCACCTTTACAACCGACAGTCACCGCTTCTCGGCCCAATGGATCCAGGTATGTGGGAAGAAAAGACCTGTGCAATTTGTTTTCAGTAGGCGACGCGTTTTTTTTTCTCGTTACTGCTCTGCGTTAAAGTTCCATACTTTGTGTTCCGAGCAACTGCGGTGCTTCTGTTTGGACGCGGGAATAGCATGCCGAACATGGGTGTTGTCGCGCGACTCTGTTCTTGACCTTCCCCACCACTTTTTTTTTTTTTTTTTTTTATTTGGTCTTTGTGTCGATCCGATTCGATTTCGTACGTGTGTTATTCCTGGCACTGATCCTGTATTTGTTGCTTTGTGTGTCTCGCGTAGCCTTGATAGGGAAACCGAAGAGATCGTGAAGCAAGGGACTTGACTCCGTGAGGATGTCTCCCCTTGGACAACAAAAAACAGAGAACACAGGCGGCAGTTAGGCCCTCTCACGGTCTCTCCTTGCCTCCTTCTTTTCGGTTGTAACATATCTTTCTTTTGCATTCAGACGAAAAACTACGTTTTCTCTCCCACCCCTCTCTTTCTCACTCTTCCCTTTCGTCCAGCTTGTTTTCTAGTCGCACAACAGTGACATCGCTATCTTTTTACACTGCATTCACCCGCCCTTATCACGTTCACTCCCCCATGTTTCTTGTATTTTTACCACAGCAAATCAAATAAAGAAAAAAATCGAAATCACAAACACTTTCGCGAATGGAAGCTGCGGTAAATACAGGCTACGGAAACGATTTCGCCATCCTTGGGAAAAAACTTGCGCAAAAGATGCATTGGCCAAAAGATAGTCTCGATGGTTGCAGCCAAAGTGACACAAGGAAACGATCAGTCCATCTGGTGGGGCGATGCAGGCACAATGGTAAGGGGCGTCTTCTGCGAGAACCCAAAGGAGATGCGTTTAATTCATTGACGCGCTCATGCTTGAGAAGAAGACATAAAGAAAAGCAAAGTCGCATGGCTCTTGCAAGAACAGGAGCCGGCTCTGATGTATGACGCTCATATGTCCCTTTTTCAGGATACGCCTGGAGATACTCCTGAAGATCAGAGCAACCGCAAAGAGGGGCGGAGGACAAGCTGGAATCATTCCCTCTCTGGTTTCTATGCGTGTCTTTCGGCTCCCTACGGATGGATGGATGGATGGATGACACAATTCCCTGGCTTCCCTCCCCTTTCAAGAACGATACCCAGAGCGAAAGGGTCTTCTGGAGCAACAAATCTCTATGGCGTCCCAGCAATAGCAAAAACACAGCTAAAGGTAGAATCTCGAATTCTCATCTCGTTGGCTCCCTGCTGCTACCGATTCGACCTACCATTAAGGGACCATCATAGTCGAATGGTGCAAACACAACTTTCTCGTTAGCAGCATCCATCAGTCGACACAGGAAAGAAAGTGGCCCTCAATACGCGTTGTTCTTCCACATAAATGTTCCTCTGCCTCCATGGTATTCGCCTTCTGTCTCCTTCTGTTCTCCCCCTCCTTCATTTCCGCTCTTGTAGTTTAATAACCCACTCTATGTGAACTGCATGGTCCCTAGGATGCCCTAACAGCAATCGTACTCCCGCCGCATTTTTTTTTTATCAAAGTCTTTCATATCTCAACGCGCATTTGTCTTTCTCCTCCTTGTCCTCCACAGCGAAAACATGATTCCGTGCTCCAGAATACGCATTCTCCGTTTCATTCGCATAGCCATCCTCGCAAATGCCATCGTCCTCATCCTTTTGACTTTGTCCACAGAGGCCACAGGATGTCAGCGCTACAACGGTGGTTCAAACTGTCCCGCACATGCACCGTGCTGTCAATTCGGATGGTGCTCGAATGCAGCATCCTTTTGCTCTCTTGCCTTGGGATGCCAACCCGAGAACTCGTTCGATATAAACAGCTGTCTTCCACTCCCTCAGTGTACTTCTTTCTTGGAGGTAAAGAGAAACAACAAGAAACGTTACCTGTTTGTTATTTTGTTATTTTGCAGCAAACATCCTTCCTACAAAAAGAAGTCTCAATCGTTCTTTTTGTGCTACGTGTTACTTGTCCTAGAATTTCGATAACCCGAGCTCCATGATCTCACGCACCAACTTTTCAGGAGACCCCTCGGAGGCGCCATGGACATCGGATTTCTTACCCAGCAACACGCGGATCGAGAACGGAAACTTAGTTCTGACGCTCGAGCCAGGAAACACTATCAACAAATTTGGGAACCGAGCTGGATTTGGGGCTACAGTGTCTAGTACAAGGTGACACAACCTAAGGAGCTCGTGTAGCAGCAAACAAAAAAAAAAGAAAGAAGGAAAGAAAAGCGACGCGTGCTAACATGAATTCATTCTCCTATTTTCTAGATGGATGCTCTATGGAACAGTGACAGCGAGGATCAAGTCTGGATCACCTAGTGGCGGAGTTATCTCCTCTTTTATCTACCGAAACGCGATGACTGGCGACGAAGTCGATTACGAATGGGTTGGCAAGCAGCCAAACGAAGTCCAGAGTAACTTTTACTGGGTATGCATATACAAGACTCAGCACCATTAATACCATACACACCCCGTACTGTTTACAATCCGACCCATCGTAACGTATATACCATCCTCTCCCTCTCTCTCTTTGTCTTGCAGCACACTCCGTCAGACATGGACCCCAAGGACATTGACTACTCCCACTCACATCGCGAGAACGTCGGGGTGGATCTATCACAAGAGTATCAGACCTATACTATTGAATGGCTCCCCGATCGCCTCACTTGGCTCATCAACAGTCAAGTCGTCCGCACAATCCTCCGCTCTGATGTCAACGGCACCAAATACCCATCGAGCCCCAGTCAAATTCAATTCAGTATCTGGGACGGGGGGCTCTCAGAACCAGACACGCGCGTCTGGGCAGGCGGACCCACGAACTGGAGTGAAAAGCGTCCCAAGTACGAGATGTATGTGGATTGGGTTGACATCAAATGTTACACACCCATTGATCCTGCAACGACACCATGGCCACCCAAGGATCAGGGCTTCCAGGAATTCGTGAACCCCTTGTCGCGGGACCCGACCTCACCATTGGCCAAGGAAGCGATTGTGCTAGGGGAAAACGCACCAAGGTTTTCGACAATGGAGAATGGTGGGTTGCATTGGGGAGAGTTCTATAACGAAGGCAGGAATCTTTTTGAAGAGAAGTCTGATAGCGAGAGGATCCGGCCCTGGACGGCCACAGTTATGGCTGTCATCGTGTCCTGTGTCCTTACATTAGGACTCATAGTATGAGTAGCAGAAATGGTCTCTCACTCTTGCAAAGGGTCCGGAGAGCATTCACATATGTATATTATATACCCTTCATAGATGGAAAATGTAATCCACAGGAAAGATGTTTTTATGGGAACAGCTATATTTTCGCGAATGATTGCTTGTATACGTCTGGAGCAAAAAAAAAAAAAAAAAGAGAAAGAGAGAAAGAGAGAAAGAGAGAAAGAGAGAAAGAGAGAAAGAGAGAAAGAGAGAAAGAGAGAAAGAGAGAAAGAGAGAAAGAGAGAAAGAGAGAAAGAGAGAAAGAGAGAAAGAGAGAAAGATAGAAAGAGAGAAAGAGAGAAAGATAGAAAGAGAGAAAGAGAGAAAAAATACAAACACGAACAAGAGCAAGAACAACAGAACAGATCTTTGTATTTATTCAGATTATTAATCTGACTCAGGCGTTGACTCTCTATCGTGCTGCAAATGATGATCTTCCGTACCCTCGACCTTCAGCGAGTCAACCAACCTTGCGGAGGATGGTTGGGGACGCATTTTTGCGCTGCATGCCTTCGAGATCACCTCATTGGCAACAAAGAGCGGCAGCTCTGTGATTAGCGCTGGCTGGTTGACATCCATGAAATGCACAGTATAGCGGAGCACATGCGAGATATTGAGCCAGCCAAGTCCATGTTCCGTGGGAATCAGTTGGTCGTTGTCAACACGGAGATCAAATTCGACCGGGTTAAAGCGACCAAAATCCATGTCACTGTCGTCGTTGGGGACCACGACTAAAGCGGAGACCAATCTTGAGGAGTTGACGGTGCAATGGGCTCCAGGGACGTTGCTGTTCACGCAGGTCGTAAAAGATAGTGTTCAAAAATGTTAGTGCCTGCGGAGGGAGACATTGGGTGCAGCCCAAATATGGTAGATTTGGGTCAGAGGGTGTGTGCAGAAATAAGGGAGGATGAGCTCTGAAGGGGAATGGACCTTGGTGATACATACGAAAGAAAAAGAAAATTGCGAGCAAACACACTCATCCGCCCAAATGATAAAAAAAAAAAAGAGACGGATGGTCAAGAAAAACGTGCACGGATAGAGTTGATCGATATTTTTGGGGTCTGTCTCATACAGCATCGTAGACCCAAAGCCCCTGCTCACTCATAGGTAACATGATATCATGCTCTTGCTATGCGTAGGCGTTGGACATGGCTGGGGCTAGCCTGGGCAGGACGGAAAAACTTTGTTGAATCCAGGGGAGTAGACACGGAATAGGAAAGAAAAAAAAATACAAGCAATCAAAAGGATCGATCCACTTACGCATTCTCCACAGAAGGGTGTTCTAGCCTCGTCACATAGTCGACTTCCTCGATCTGGACAATCGAACAATCCACCTCCTTGATCATGAACTCCTTGTTCCTCGTCTCGAGCTCAACCTTCGCCAACAGTCGATCCTGACCCAGCACAAGTCTTCCTGGTGCCGTCAATTTACTCTTGTACTGGCCAGAGCGATCCATCGATGCAGTCAGCGTGCTTTCACTCGTTGGGGCGATCGGACGACGGAGAATGAGGTCGTGCTTGACCACGCGTGTGGACGAAAAGAAGTAGCTGCGACGCAATGTAGCATGGATCTCATATTTCCAGTCGATATAGGGCGTATCCAGCTTGTTGATTAGCGTTGGTGGTAATTCATACGCTCGAGGGATGTCGATTCTAAAGGGAATGTATTGTTCGCCTGCGTCGATATGGATGATGCCTCGACCGTCCGTATCGTTGGCAGCGACCAAGTCTACGCTGCTGCTGACCAGAGGCTCTCGGACGATTGCGTGCTCTGGGGTATCGACATTCAGCATGGCTCCGACTATTATCAAGATAAGAAAAGGTGGAGGTGTCAGAAGCTCGTTATTTTTGAGCAATTGAATGATCCAGAACGAGGAATATCATTTTCACGTACTGTGGCCGTGGATCGCGATGGTGGCGATTCTGAAGGAATCCGCCCGACCGAGTTTCAAGGCGATGACACCACTGATTGTCTGTGCCTTGTGCTCAGCCATGTCCAGCTCCACGATGAAGGGCTGCTCTGTGTCGAGCTCAATATCGAAGGTGTATCCCATTGCGTCTATTAGGAGTGTTGTAGTAAGAAGGAAGAGTACGGGGGGATATTGATTGTTTACTTGATGTTGATGAAGAGAAGGATTAAGGGAGGAAGGAAGAAGAAAGTAAGAAAAAGATACCCATGCTTATATATCCCCCTCCCCTCCTTTCACCGCAGTGGACTTCCCGAGGGCAAACGTTATTGAATATTTTTGTTCTATTGACATGCATACAAAGCGATCACGGAGCTGAAGAACAACCGGGCCTTCACTAAAAATGGGTTTCCTGTCAGGGACTGACCGACATACCTGCATGCTAACGAATTCTTTTCTTTTCTATTTTGACAAGCGCCAGGGTATGCCGCTAAGCGAGAGCAGCCGTCATTTCCTCAATCTATACTCATGTCGAGAGCCGCGCGGCTCACATTTAAGAAGACCAGCAACAACCGGAATAGGGAAGACAGACCAAGTGTTCCGTCTCTTTTTTGTTTGTCTGTCTGTTTGAACATTCATGCACTCCTCGCGTGCCCTTGCACAAGAAGAAAAAAAAAAAAAAAGGCCGATCTGTCCTTCGACTTGGATCCTTGAATACCAAGGGGAGAAGTGGCAGGCATTGTGTCGACTACTGTATCGGTGTAAACAATGATGGATCAAGGAAGCACCAAGGCGCTAATGAGTGCTGAACCATGCAGCCGATGACGACAATTGGTGTGGTGTGTGTTGTCAGGGGCGGAACCAATATTGTTCCTGGTCTACTGGATGGATGCGGCCAAGCTGCATAGCCATGGACAACTATCCTCTTCTTCCTTCTGCCTTGGGCAAAGGAAAGATAGGGTTGTATTTTACGATCATCGGTCCAACTCCTGCATGCACACAAAGCGATACCTCAATTGCTTTATATGTCGATAACGGGGTGCATTGTCTACGACCCAGCTCTCGGTATAGAAAGCGGCACCATGAAGCTAGGGAGAATATCCCGGGAATTAAACACAGAGATTGCGCTCAGAATCAAAGCGGAATTTAGTTCCGCCTAGCCCATGCACATGGGCAGCTGGACAAACCATGTTCCTCTTCCCACAAGCGGACTAGAGGACACAGGTCAGGGTACACAACAGATACATTATCGTGTACATGTACATGAAATGAGAGAGCACTTTTCGCGCGTGGAAGAAGAGAGGACGCCAATGAGCCAAATTCTTTATATACAGCAGACGCCAGGGCTACCATCTCGCCACCCGCATGCACCTTTGTGTTCTCATTCTTGACGCTGGAACTGCTTCGTGATTGTAAACGATGCCAGGATAGACGAACAAGGGTGCTGAATTCGCGCAGCTTCAGGAGAATAAACAAGCGATTTTAATGTATGTGTAGTCTACTACAGGAAGCGCACAAAGGAATGCACCCATACTGCATCACCTCCTAGTCTGTGGCAAAAGTAGCCAACTGCGCTTCAGCTGATACCATTCGAGAAGTATGCGGCCTGCATCCGTGATTGTTGGAAGCAGAAAGCGGAGAAAAGACCAGCAGTAAGGGATGTATTGCCGAATGTGCATGACATAGCACGGGTCAGCGACGTCGACGACTCCAGAATCTCGCAGGAGAAACAGCACGAAAGTCTGTGGTATTTGATAAATGGTACCAGACAGGTCTGGGACTGATGTATTTAGCGACAATATGGCAGCACAGGCCTACTCAAAGGCCGCAGAGCACTTTCTGAAAGCCGGTGAACTGGGGAATACAGAAGCACATTTCTACGTTAGTGGCATGTACGAGAAGGGTCTCAGCATGGAACAGGATTATATCAAGGCTATGGAGTGGTATCTCAGGGCAAGCGATCGTGGGTTAGTACCTGAATATTTAATTAAAGTTTTGACGCGTCTGACTGGGTTGGACTTGTTTACACGAAGAGAAAATAAACACACGTCCCTCCTCTCTGCACACCCTCCTCATCTGCTTTCACTCCACCCATTGACCCATCCACCCATTCAGCTCAAGCACAATGTCAGGCAGATCTTCACGGCCAAGAAGGAAACCCCGCAAGGCGGTGAATATCAAGTGCGTGCACGCACTTATGACCAGCTTACACTTCTATTCCATAACTCAACAGATGCAGGTTTACGAGTAGCCCTGGGCTAACTTCCTTTCGTCTTCCCTAATACTTGCTTAGTAACGCGCATTATGTCGGATATGTTGAAGAGAACGAGTCCATCGAGGCAATCATGAAAAAGTTCGAGGAGCTGGCCCGCATGGAAGAAGAATTTGCAAAGTCCAAGGCTGTCGACAGTTCGTCTAGTGCTGGCGACGCAGCATTAGGATCAGGGTCAGGGTCAGGATCAGGATCAAGATCAGGAGAGATTGAATTGCCCACGGATACCGATGGCGAACTTCTCCTCGGGGTTGAAAAAGTGCAGAACAAACCAAACGAAGATTCAGGGTTTACGGATGAGCAGCTTCAGGAGATCTTTCGACGGACCTCGGGCTTCACTGTCCGGTCCATGCTCAGGGATACACCCGAGGATATTTATGAGGAGGATCTGTGGCAGGCCAATATTGCGGACGAAGACTATCTCTACGACTTTGAGGAGGAGGAGTAAGTCGTCCTTGTTTAGCGATTTCTTCAAGACCGCCTGCTGCAACCGATTTGGAGACCAATTCTAACAGCATGTGCTCTGATGTGGTTCTTTTTTATTATTATTATAATTTTAGCGACTACTTGATGGCGATGGACGACCACTTTTGGGATGAAGAAATTGGCATTTCGCGGAAGCGGGGTCGCAAGGAGAAGGAGCCACGTCCACCTCGGCCACCTAAGGAGCCCAAAATCAAGGGTGAACGGAGACGGGGCATGGCGGCCGATCGGGAGACGATTTTACAGAGATACAAAGTCATGCAGGTTCGTCTGCAGGACCGGAATGGCGTCTTTTATACTGTCAAGAAAAAGATCTCGACCATAGACCCAAGTCTACCGACCTATGTGCGTATCCCACCCGTACCTATTCCTCGATCGTGGATCCAACCAATGCTCACCTTGGAAAAGCAGAAGCTGCAAAGGGATATTTCTGGCTCTAGGTAAGACTACTCTGCCAAATTTTGCCTCTATTTCACATCGGGCCTGTCAAACGTCGATCTCATTACCGCTCGATGGATCATTAGATATGAGGAGACGACAAATATACTGGATATGGATCTGACGCAATTCGGGACGGACTATCAGGCCATCTATATGGATCCACCACTCTTGAGGGAGGGAGAAGAACCAGGACCCAACAAGATCACGATAGAGCAACTAGGAACTATTGACATCAATGCGATCTTACCTAAGGGATTCCTGTTTGTGTGGCTCGAAAAGAAATTCTTACCAGACATGGTGCAACTGGCAGAAAGGTGGAAGCTGCGCTATGTGGAGAATTTCTGTTGGATCAAGACCAACGTCAACAATCAGATTGTGTGCGAAAAGTCAGCCTACTTCAACTCTTCCAAGCTGTCATTGTTGATCTTCCGCAAGGTACGTTTTTGCACGCGAAAAAAGCCCCTCATTACGACGATCCTTTGTTTTGCGGGTCACTGAGACCACTTGAGTTGATTCTGAAAACAATTATTTAGGAAGGTGAAATCGATATCAGGCATCAGAGGAGTGCAGATTGTGTGTTTGACTTTATCAAACCCGGCAATCCTTCAGAGTTGTCAGAAGAGAAGCCCGCGTTTATGTATGATCTCATTGAGACGCTACTGCCACAAGCCGTGCATTCTGAAAGCAATCCCAACGGCGACAAAATGATGGAGCTGTAAGTTACAGGTTCATGGGTTCTGCCATGCTATGCTTCAACGCATGGATCGATGGATTACGGCGACACTAATTTGTTTTGTTGATATTACTTAATATAGGTGGGCCCGGAGAGGCACGCGGCGCAAGGGCTGGACCTCGATCTGTCAGTTGAAGGCATAGCGGTGTTGGAGAACCTTTTTCATACTTTACTAATAAAAACAACACCTCTACACAATAGAGTCATAGAATAGCAATCAAAGGTGTTTCTTGAGATATGTTCATACAGGCTGTTATGAATTCTTTGTGGCATTACCAAGCACAGATAGCCCACACTTCTGCAGATCCCCATTCGTTTCTCAATCCTCCATCGCACTGAATACCCCAGCCATTATCCACTGGCTTTGACGCCAACAGCCAGCTATGTCCACTTGGCTGGCTACATGCGCCTCCTCCACCAACCACGCGCTCGTGAGGAGCGCACAACACATATGCGGACGGGAAGCGATATGCCTTATGAGAGGCATATCGAGTGATGGTGCTTATTCCAAACGTTTGCCATGACCCTTCTCGGCACGAAAGGATTCGTCCGTTGATGTCCTGCCCAATCAGCCCTTTTGGAAAGCAATCCTGGGCCTCGTTGGCGATTCCGAGGATTTGAAGGTATTCATAGGTTATAATTCGGCCTGTGGCTATCAGGTTGCCATCGATCGATACCTCGCTGCTCAAAATTTCCTGCTTGTCCACAGGCGTGAACTTGAGCTGAACAGGTGCGCCAGAAACTGTGAACGCGAGTACAAGTACCAATGCGAGGGCTAGCATATGAATTCGTACCATTTTTACTTCTTTCCTAACAAAAAAAAAAAAGAAATAAGCTTGAGAGGTTATTTCTTAGCCGTTAAACGAGATAGTCTAGTCGGGCCAGTCATTAAAGACAGATAGACGTATTTGAGAGTGACAGTGTTTGCACTTATATTCGACAATTAGCCTTGAAAGTCATATTCCCATTATGCAGGGGCAGTCTATTGGCTAAGCTCGGGACCAGAAGATGCATGTAGCAAGCAAGGTGAAAGACAAGGACCTCACGAAGCACGATTGCATGATTGAACGTATACTTTTTTCAAGACGAACAGGACACGTGTGGTGCGTTTGCCAAGAATACGGCGAAGTTGAGGCGCCCTACTCTTTTTGCTTCAAATTTGACCCCGTCCAGGTTCACTGCTGCCTAGTTCGAGCATAGCACGGTATAATGTGTCATTTATTTGTGTTTGCTAATGATGAATCGTCGCGCTTTCGAACAGGTAGTACGCTCCGCAGATGGCTAGACTAGCGACAGCGGTGATAATGTTTAATTGAACAATGCAATAGACCAGAATGGTGATCACCCCGGGAGCTTGCTTCATGAGTCCCAGGGCTGGGGATTTGAACATTGTGTGTATAAAATAGCAGCCGCAGGAGGTTGCAGTCAAGAACATGGCTCCGTGAACCAGCTTGTGGGATTTGGCCCTGTTGGAAAAGTAGGCCATGACTAGAACTACTATTTCGATTTGGTGGCAACAGTTGAATAAGGTTAGCGCCACTAAATTGAAGGTTGGTGCGTGGAGAACCAATGCACATCCTCCGTCTTTGTTTCCTTCGTTCGAATCCTTCCAGGCCTTCAAAGAAGTTTTGACCCATGACGTGCCTCCAATTATAAACGACACATCAAAAAGATGCATCGCAGTTGGCTCACTAGTCCAGATCCAACCACGTTTAGCACCTCTCTGGGTTGTTACTTACCTGGAAAGATCTTGAGTATCTTTTGTACGATCAATTGTGTGCTGTAATCGTCTCCGGCCTGTCGATGAACCAGAATATCTATGATGATGAAGAGACAAGTGGTCGGAATCGAAAACAACACTCCCTCAGAGATATAGTCTCGACGCACACCCAAGATACTCTCATCCTGGTTACTCTCGCTGGCGTTGCTTGTGGTATGGATATGTTTGTCGGTGGGTATATGGATCTTTTCGAGGAGTCCCGATTCCTGGATGAGGCGCCATTTCTTTGAATCTGTATAGAGTTGGGATAGTGTTTAATTAACAATAAATGGTTAGACAAGTGAGAGGTGAGAGAGAGGACCTATGTATGGTGCGATGCCTATTCATGAACAGGCCGTTGTGTGCTGGACCACATACCCTCGATATCATCTAAGCACTCGCCTGTCCGCTCCTTGGAGTCCCTGGAAGGCCGATGTGAAGCTGTGGTGCTGCTCTTTGCGGCTGTGGTGGTTGCGCCAATGTTGCCTAATTGCTGCTTCGCCATGACTGGTATACGAACGTGGTTTTCAGAAAGAGAATGATTGAGCGAAGGAAGAAGAGAAGGAGCAAGCTGTTCAAACATCGGAGGGTTTGTTGACAAGGAAACACAGTCAGAAGTCCCAAAGCAGGGAAGACCAGCGGACCAAGCAGATTTTTGGGGTGATGATGATCAAATGGCTACATTCTGCACTTGACCTCATATTGCATTATAATAGACTGTAGTCAGTTGGTCTACTAGAGTAAAAACTAGACGCGTCTGCTGCTGTGTCTACGTTGGCCCCATAGTCAAAGCCCTGCAGATCAGGGCTGGCCAATCACAGCTGCTGCTCAGACTATCTAGATCATGCAGACCATGCATGGTAAAAGTCGTGTACTGGGGCTCAATTGCTTAAAGCGGGATCCTCGTGAGACTGTTTCCGTGCAAAAAATGTTGACTCGGTGGAATGCATTCCACCGTGCCAAAACCTTAAAAAGTCGCGGGGCGCACACACCACCCAGTGGCACTCAATTTTTATGTTCACTTGGTGGAAGACTCGAACAGGAGACCAGCAGGCAGGACTCTACTTTCGCTTGCCAATATTATTATTATTATTATCAGGGAATCGATACATGGAAGAGGAGCTGTTCCAGGAATTATCTGAATCAATGAGCCGCTAGAGCCGGTGCCTGGAAAGAAGAAAGAAAGAAAGTAAGCATTTTGCGGCTGGCTGCTTAACCAGTATACGTCAAAAAAGAAAAAAGAAAAAGGGAGTAGATCCTTTCCTTTGATTCTTTTTTTATTTGATAGAAAATCTCCGTTGATATATTGCTCTCCAGCCTTGCTCAGATGGATAAAGGAAAGAAGGAAAGCAATTGCTGGCCAAGCAAACCTGATGAAGCGGAGGATATGGAGTTCCCTTCCGATCCCATAAAATAAGGCCGAAGATGATCCAACAAGATTTTCCTAAAATGTAGCCCGTGTATAAAATAAAAAAATTCGCCCCGTTTTTGTATCTTTCTCCATTCCTCTCCTCTCCCTTCTCGTTTGCATCCCGATCATCATTCTCACTCCCTTTCTCATTCACGACAAGAAACACAACCATGTTCCGTTCACTCTCTACAACCGCCGCCGCCTTCGCAAAGCGTGCTGCTACCCCCGCTATCTCCACCCGCGTCTTGTCGGTACGTAGTGTGACGAACCAACTTCAGTGACAACTCAGAACCTTCGGTGTTTTCTGGGTGCACCTTTTGTTTTCTTCAGGAATAGTGGCGGATCGGAATACTCTATTGTCAGTTGGAGAGCCATATCCGCCTGAGAGGAATAGAAAACCTTGCATAAGCGCGCACGAAAAAACAATGACGATCTCCAATGTCTCTGGAAACACTTATGGGAAAATTTTCCACCTCAAAGACGACTCTAACAGACGCTTCATTTTATGTTTGTATGTGTATTATACAGCGTGGTATGGCCTTCCCTGCTGGTCAGAAGGAGGTAAGAAGTCGTTTTTTTGTCTTCTTCTGCGATGGACTCTGATTTGTTTGCAGGGGAATTAATTCTGTGTGTGTATTTCTGTTCGATAGCTTCTCAACAGACCCCTCAAGGAACAGGATCCCGAAATGTTTGATATTATTGAGCGCGAGAAGAAGAGGCAGCGCGAGTCCATCGTCTTGATTGCCTCTGAGGTAATTACGACCCCAAACATATTTCCGACATATGTCTAGTTCTGCAGGCGATCTAAACATGAGCTCCATATTTTGTATTTGAACATCGCCCATAGAACTTCACATCCCGCTCTGTCATGGGTGCCTTGGGTTCCATTCTTCAGAACAAGTACTCGGAGGGCTACCCTGGTGCCAGGTACGAATGATTGCTTCATTCAGCTTGTCAATTTTTATTGCACTGGTCATATTTCTCAACGTTCATTCGTCTTTATTGTCTAATAGATATTATGGTGGTAACGAGAACATTGACATGTCAGAGCTCCTCTGCCAGAAGCGTGCTCTCGAGGCCTTCGACTTGAACCCTGAGGAGTGGGGTGTCAACGTCCAGCCCTTGTCCGGTGCCCCCGCCAATCTCTATGTCTACGGAGCCCTCATGAAGCCCCACGATCGCCTCATGGGTCTCGATCTCCCCCACGGTGGACAGTAAGTCGCTCGTTTACAGCTGAGTATTTGCTCCCATGAAAACGTTCATTAGATCAGGATCCTTATCTCTAATTTCTCTGTCTACAGTCTGTCTCACGGTTACCAGATCCCCAACAAGAAGATCTCGATGGTCTCTGCGTACTTCGAGACATTCCCTTACCAGATCAGCCAGGAGACCGGCTTGATCGACTATGACGCCCTGGAAAAGAACTCAAAGCTGTACCGCCCCAAGATCATCATCGCCGGTGCCTCTGCCTACCCGCGTGAGATCGACTACGTGCGCATGCGCAAGATTGCTGACGGTTGCGGCGCTTACTTGATGTCGGACATGGCCCATATCTCTGGTCTGGTCGCCGCCAAGGTTTTGAAGTCACCCTTCCCTTACTCTGACATCGTCACGACCACAACTCACAAGTCCCTTCGTGGACCCCGCGGGGCCTTGATCTTTTACCGTAAGGGTATCCGTAGCACCGATAAAAACGGAAAGGTCACGAAGTACGACCTGGAGGGGCCCATCAACGCCTCAGTCTTCCCTGGTCACCAGGGTGGTCCCCACAACCACACGATTGGAGCCTTGGCTGTAGCGTTGAAGCAGACGAAGGACGCGACTTTCAAGGAGTACCAGGATCAGGTCTTGAAGAACAGCAAGGCCTTTGCGGACGCATTCAGCAAGCTGGGCTACAAGATGTCGTCGGGCGGCACGGACACACATTTGATCTTGGTCGATCTGCGTTCGAAGAGCATTGATGGCTCGCGTGTCGAGCGTGTGCTGGAGTTAGTCAACATTGCGTCAAACAAGAATACGGTCGCGGGCGACAAATCTGCGATGAACCCTGGCGGCATCCGTGTTGGTACTCCTGCGATGACCTCGCGTGGACTGGATGAGAAGGACTTTGAGCAGGTCGCAAGCTTTATTGATCGCGCGGTTAACATTGCGAAGGATCTTAAGGTCAAGTGCCCGGGCAAGATGATTGTGGAATTCAAGGAGTTTGTGGCCGATGGTAGCCAGTTCCCTGAGGTCCAGGCCTTGAAGGAGGAAGTCGCGGAGTTTGCACGCAAATTCCCTACGGTTGGATTCAGCGAGGACGAGATGGAGTACCGCGACTAAAGTCATGACGATCCTTCGTTCGAGTTAAACCAAAGCATCAACTGTACAAAAAATACCACAACGTCCATTCCATCGGAGTAGCTCCCTCCCAGCTTTAATACACCTTTGTTACTCTTCATTACTCCACTCCTCTTGCATTCTCGTTTATTTCTTTTTCGATACCTCTTTTCTGCTGATGGACTCCAGCAAAGGCGACAGGACAATAGTTCTTGATGACTGACGAGATATTGACGATGATACGATTCGACTTTATGACTTTTGAGTATTAGTACTTTCCTTGTCCGTTAGATATCAGTTCATCATTTTCAGTAAAGGCCTTTTTTCAAATACCCAAAGTGGCATCTTCACCTGCAGCTTGGCCACAGTGCCCTGGACAAAAGACCCATGCAATGTCATATTTCTCGCTGTTACTCAACATCCCTCCCTTGTATCTTCACTGCTCGTTGTGTCCTGTGTAGGTATTCAACAACGCTGGATTTATTTTTCGTTTTCTTCTGCGAAAAAGTTCTTAGCATACAACACTATATGGCTGGCTCAATGCGATCCAATATAGCGACAGACAGTAGCCCATAAAGTTCCTAGCTATCGCCGACTGCCTCTCTCGTCCCTCGAGCTAGGCTACTTGTTCCATGTGTTTTTTTTTAATCCCACATTTGCTTGCCCCGCTTCTTTAGTGTGACCTTCTCCTGATGCTTATCGATCCGCTTCTCGTCCTTTTCAGAGTTCATCAACCCACGTTCCAGCGACTTTCCCTTGCGTATCTTGGCCTTTGTGCTCATCGGCTTCTTCTTGATCGTCTTTTTTGGCTTGTCACTATACGAAAAAAAAAAGATGATTTTATCAGCGACCTTCGAACTTGACAGGAAGATATGAAGATACACAAAGACACAGAAAAAAAGAAAGAAGACTTACACTACTACTTGTTTACGAATTTTTGCCAACTCGAGCTCTTTAGCGACCTTCTCCTTCATCGACTGTGGTTCTACGATACATTTTTCGGTATAGAGGACAATATTTGTTAACGCTTTTTAAACTGGACTATTCCCGCTGACTATTCCAAACAGACTCCATGGAACCCCTTTCCCTGAGGCAATATTTCCTGAAGCAATCCATTACCTTGCTCGCCCGGCACCAGCTTCCGCTTATTATGTGGCGCATACTTTGTTTGATGGATGTCTGTGATACATTTTCGGCAGTAGCAAAGAAAATAAAACGAACAATGATCAGCAGATGGCATGACTTTTTTTCTAAAAGCTGAACTCATTGCGCGCAAGGATTTTGTTCCAGCTTCCTCATCCTCGTATTTCCAGTACTTGGTCGTGTCTTTCCCATGGTGTCTTGTATGTATTATGTGTGTTCAAAGTAATGAAAGGTCGAAGCAGCCAAAAAAAAAAAAAAAAAAAAAAAGTGCTGGTGTTTATTTGGTATCAACAGTCACCAGTGAGGTATCCCTTATTCCAGGAACGAGTGCACGCGCACCCGTTTGGGAGAGATCATCATCACCATATCGTCTTCATTCTCCTCTTCTTCTTCTTCTTCTGCGAACTGGCCCTCGTACAGACGGAAAGCTGGAGACGCTGATCCTAGCCTCTGTTTGAGGGAATGCCGCCGCTTCGTGGGTGTATTCTCCCGCGATTTGTATGATGAAGAGATGCGTCGTGCTGCGGTGTTGACTTCCGCGATCGAGGGTCGGTTCTCCTTATCATCCTGATCGAGATCGCCGTCAATTGCCTGATCCGACCCCTTATCATCCATCAGCGCAGTGCTCATCGGGGCTTCTTCCGGTACTTCATATGATGAGGGATCGATGTTGCTCTCTTCGAGTTCTTGAGCAATGATACTGTTGTGTTCCTCCTCTACTTCCTCATCTGCTACCTCCTCTGCCTCCTCCTCTTCGTCATCATCCAGTGAGCCCGAGCCTTCGCCCAGCAAACGCAAGAGTTCCGCTTGTTCAGCATCCTCCTCGATCTGTTTCTCACTCCTGCTCTGTTGAGCTGATGCCTCTGTCTTATCTTCGCTGTCCATGGCTGATGTGCTCTCAGAGTACGTAGTCGTGACAAGTGCAACGGACCCAGACTTGAACTGCTCCTGTTTAAAATCGAACAAAGAGATGGTCCTCCGCCGCGTCTTGCCATCTACGCCTATGGCAACCTCCTTCTCGTCCATCGTGCCATCGCGACCCTCTGCATTCTGGCTGTGGCTCCGAATGGCAATTGTTCTCTTTTGTGGAAAGATATCGGACCGTCTGCGTCGAGACCTGATCTCGTCCAACGATTTAGCCGGCGACAAAAGAGAGTGCTCTTTTGCAAATGAGAAATCCTTTGACTTTGGCGATGACTCGCGAGGGTATCCCATCAGAATCGTCAATACATCTTGATGAGATGCAATGCGCCGCTTTGGAGTGATAGCTGGTTCTGGAGATTCAGAAATACCGCGCTTCACAGATGTCCTGTCCAGATCAATGGAATCCGCCTCCTTTTTTACGGCCTCGTTTGTATCGTCCTCTGTCGCTACTAAACGCTGTTGCACATCAAGAGTCTCCGCATTCTTCTCGGGGGCCTCGAGAGCTTCACTCGATTCTATAGTTTCCGGTTCATCTTCGTTATTGTCTTTATGTGAATCCACAGCAGCAAATTCATCCATCAGAGATCGTTGCAGCAATGGTCGTTGGTGGGATGACCTGGTGGGGGACATGACATAGTCTCGGAAACCAGCGAATCCTGCAAAGCATGATTCCACGACTTTTTGAGGCGTCCTGAAGACGCCACGGAAACCAGAAAAGATGGGACTTTGATTCGGGTCCACCATGACCGTTGCCGGTGCACTCGACCGTCGCTTCAGGTCACCCTTATCTGTCTTTTCCTGATCCACTCGCCAATCTTCAACATCCTGATGATCATGTTCTTCTTGGGCCCCATCCATCTGTCCTCGACCATTTTCGTCAAACAAGGGCAGCTTTACTGGAGGTCGAGTGGGCGTCGTTGGTAAAGAGTCCGAGTTCTCGCGACTTATTGTCGGAGTGCTTGGCCCCTGGAGCAAGTCAGCCAGTCCATGTATCTTTTGAGCCGAGAGTTGCAAAAGTGCAAGTCGCGATGCTGAACCTGGCGTAGATTGAAAAGGTGTTGATGGTCGCTGTTGAACTGGCGTAGCAGATTTGTCGGAGAGTCGACGGGTTGGAGTTACAGGAAGACAAATGTCATCCTCAATTGAAGGTAAAGGCGTGAGCGCCTTCCACAGGCCATCTTCGCTGCTGCTTCCACTGCTACTGTCACTAGAAGTGCCGCTGTCCTCGATGGTCTCGTCCTGACCTTGTTCTCTATCCTCTCTCACATTATCAGCCTCGACATCTAGGGGACTGTTCTGAGCATCGTCGATGAGCTGTACATCCTGGGCTACGCTCTTCGAAGCCTCGTCCTGATAATCGAGCGCAACTGGATCAGCCACACACGTTCCTGAGGCGTCAGCAGAAATCTCTTTCTCATTCTCAAAATTCATCTCAACAAACTGCGGCTTCTTGGGGATATCCTCGTCGAGTTCAAACAACTTAAGCGGTGCAGGTTTCTTCAGATCATGGAATATAGCTGTACGGCCGCCTATCCTCGTGGGTGTCAGAATGGGCTTGGGTGTTGGTGTGAGAGCACTCAGCTTGGAAAGTAGAGAAGGTGTGGAAATGCCCCGCCGTCTTGGTGTCTCTGGGCCCTGCTGCTGACCGCGTTTGATGGGAGTCGAAGGAGGTTCAGCCTTGTCGAAAACCTCGGGACTAAGTGCTGGACCGAACGAGACCTTCTTCGGCGTTCGTGCCATGTCGCCCTCCTCCAAGTCTAAATGCGCCTTGCGTTTCTGTTTTGTTGGTGTGTGCAATCCTGGCTCATCATCATCATCATCGTCGTCATCATCATCGAGTTCCCGTACAATTAATGGCGGCGATAGCGATGAGTTGGCGCATGTTGGGTTCAGGACGGACGGCTCATCAATCATGGTGAATATCTTCCTTGGTGTGGCTGTTTTCATTGGTGATTTTGACAAGAATGCTGGAAACGGAACAGGCTTTGGAGAGACAAGCAGACTGGAGAGTTTCGCTGCTCTGTTGGGCGTGAAGAGCCCGAGAGTCGATTCCAGGGCGGCCCCACTCCGCGCGGTGTCTCTTTTGGGTGTTGACAAGCTCCTTCTAGCGGTCGGCGAGGGCATCTCGGCCAGCGCCAGAATATCCCGGTCGATTGTCGACTGAATGCTACTGATCTGTCGGCCTGGTGTATTGCTGCTGGTCAACTGTAAAGATGTACGAGGGATTGGCTGTTTTAGACACGACAGGATAAAAGCGCACGAGGTCAGAATTCTGTTGGCTAGCATGAGATAGGATGAAATAGCGGTTTCGTTGTCTTCACGTGCACTCACCGCGGCACTCTCGAATCTGAACTTCCGTCCTGCAATGGTCATCACGTCGTTATGCTGGATGGGCCGGGCAGTATCGTGGACAAGAACATTATTCAATAGCGTTCCATTGGTTGAAGTGTCCTTGAGCCACACCTGATACAAAAGTTGCAGGGAAATTAGTAGATTGAATAAACAGGAAGGCGCTTTATGTAGGTCTTAGAAAAGACGTCCCTGGGCACAAAGAGCTGAACACGTACTTCGCCATCATCCCTCCGAATAAGTTTGCAGTGAATCTCTGAAGCTGTATCGATCTGGACTCGAACGTCGTTCGTGCTGTTCCTGCCAAAGGAGCAATATGACTTGTCGATCGGGTATCGATAGTATTCACTCTCATCCATCTTCCTGAGTCCTACAATGTAGCCCCAAACCAACTTAAGTACCGTCTTGGACTTTGGTGTTGTCGGGGGAACAAGTTTCCTTGGAGATGACCGGCTGCCGCTGCTACTGTTGCCATTGCTGTTGGTATTTTGGGTACCGTAGAGTGCGCTGAGCCGAGCTGATTTTCGCGACGAGGGGCTACTATTGATGTCTTGTGGTGATGTAGGTATTTCTGTGCTTTCTGCGCTTTCTGTGCTTTTGTCTGAGGTTGCGTTTGGTGAGGAAGAAGAGGCAACAACGAATGGATTTGATAAGGAGGAGACAGTCGTAGATTCCGAAGCAGGCTTCACTGGAGTAGTAGCAGTTGTTGTGGAACCAGCAGTTGGTGTAAAGTTGTGAAAGGACTTGACGGGCGTTCCAAAGGGGGAGGCTTGGAGAGCACTCTTGCGCAAGAGCCTCCTCTTCGGTGTTTCTGACATGACGAGTCCTTGTTCTGGTAAAATCGAGTGGGGAAGCGTGTGAAGGGGTTGGAGTCGCGTGGTGGTCGTCGGGAGCAAAGGAGATGAGGAGCGATGAACAAGACGGAATTATGCAAACAAAAGACCCTTGTTTACTCCAGGGACACAAAGCGCGATTGAGGGGAATAGTCATGTGACACACTCGGACCTGAGCTGTTCCTGAAGCAACTGACCGACACTTGCACTTGAACAAGGAGAGTATATTTTTTTACACGAAGGGCTGAGTAGAGAGCAGCTGTATATATAGGGTATAGATACAATTATATGCGTAACACTTTGACGCGTTAGGCAAGGATAATGGACGCGAATCCGCTCGCGTACGCCATGAAAATGACGAGCAACACCACAAGTTTGACCCGCGTCGAGTTCAGTTCCTCAATAAACAACTCGATAGCCATCCTCCACGCCTCCTCATAGTCCTCCAGGTAGTTCATCTCCATCGTTGATGTATTCTTCTTTGGCACCTCGACTTCTTGCCTCAGGAGCAAGCCATCCTTGACTGTATCGACGTCAGTCCCAGCAAGATCCGAGGACGCCTCAACAAATTCTGCCTCATCGCTATCGTGCCCTTGGTCATCCTGCACCGAAACCTCGCCTACACTCGATTCCTGCTCTCCTACTTCCGCTGTTACGATCTTCTTCTTGGCGTCTTCCCCGATTGCTGTTACAGTGATATTCGAATCCTGCGACCCAGCGAGCGGGCTAGCCGTTGAAGAGACCGACTTCTTCTTCGAGCCCTTCCTGAGACGACTTATTGGAGTTCGGTTCTCGGAATTGTCCACGACATCAGGAGAAAACGTAACACGACGCGTTCCGCCAATTGAACTAGCCGAATTGCTGTGCTTGAGGCTGCTGACTGGTTCCAGCAAACACATCGTCTTTGCTGGCATGGGCAAAGGCGAAGACAAGGGCGAGCTCATGGTTTCCAGTGAAGTGACTTCTTCTATAACGCCTGTCTTCGTTTCTTCCGTGGGTTGATGAGTAAGGCAGTCGCCTCCAAGTCCCCTCAGCGATACCGAGGTGGCGTCAGACGCCTCTGTAAATGCGTTAGCCGTCGAGATGAGCGCCTTTGGTGATTCAGGATGCGAAGGAATTATGGCCGCAGACTGCAAGATAGGTTTCGGCAACTTTTCGTTGTCACTCGAGCCTGCAGGGACGTTCCCAGTTGGTGAAGCTGGTGCAACGTCTTCCTTAGTCTTTCGTGCGTTATTGATAGGTTCCACAGGATGGTGAGGAATGTGAAATGGGCCGAGGGTTGGACTGGACATTGGCGATGTGACCCGTGCCGGAACAGAAATAGGTGCTAAAGTCATCGAAGGTGACATAATTGTTGGGCTGGACGCGACTGTAGAACATATAGGCGTGCTAGGAGTCGAAGCTGAGGAAGACGGCGATGGTTCTGCTTTGCGTTTGCCAAACGTGGGGGATGGCAAGGATGTGTTGATAGGAAGCGGTGGTGCGTTAGCCTGAGGAAGATACGGGGCGATGGGAACGGAGTAGCGACTGAGTGAGCTAGAGCGACGTGGAAGTGAGGGCGGAGGAGCACCTGTAGACACGCTGCCCAGACTACGGGGTGTGCGGCTCCTAGAGCGACTCCTCTCGGACTCCGGAGAGGCCTTGGGTGCCGTAGAAGCCTGTGGTAGTTCATCAGGTCGATCAGAAGAAGAAGAAGCAATAACAAGATTAGGGTTAAAGGCACTTAAGGTTGTGTAGCTGGCGCTTCTCCTCTTACGACTGATGGACAACGGAGCCCCATGCGGTCGTAGGTCGGATCCGCCACCAGCGTCTGCAGAAGAACCATCGTCTACCTGTTCAGCGTTTTGTTTCTGATCATTACTCTTTAGATGGCTCGACGACTTTCGCAGTGACGGACCGCCGTACGTGGGTGTTGAGGATTCATACACCCGACTATCCCTTGTCCGCCTTGGCACCAACGAGTCTCGCGCATGTTGATCCGACTTGTCCTCGTCGTCGGCATTGTCGTCGCCTTGTGGCCGTTGCAGCGACTGTTGCTTGGAGGGGTTGCCATCATTCTGTCCTTTCCTGGTCACTTGGGCGATGATGCTCTGGCCTTCATGATCTAGTGTCGTGAAGACGCGAACACCGCCGAAATCTGGAGCCAGCTCGACGCGCACGGTTGGATCATCGGGCTTGATGAAGAAGTCATAGCCCTCTCTGTACACCTTCCTTCCGACTCGGACTTCCGTCCAGCCAGGAGAGGTCTTGTAGCAGAGCTCAAAGTGTCCAGTCTTGGGGTCGAACGTGTCAAAGAGGCGGCTTCCTGAAATATGGGAGGCGTATGGCGGGTACCCTGTCTTGTTGATGAATTGATTCAAACGAGCGACGGCTGTCATCATACTAGCCGTCACCGACTTGATAACTGAATTCGGCAGCGTTCCTCGGATATCAATTTGGATCACAAACGTAACATTGACGGAAACTGTGTTGCCTTGACCATCAAAGATTGGTCGCAATGACCAGCCAGAAAGTTCGAGGAGAGCACGAATGCGGCCAGGGTCTTCAGGAATCGTAGAGTCAAGAACTGACGTCGAAACGTTGTATAGCGCCGACGTCTGGGGGTCGCGATCAATGATGGTGACTCCTGCGAGGTCTCGACCACTATAGTCGCAATTTTGATGGCAAACAAAGGTTTGAAACTAGCTTATATGGGCGCAGTTGTTCACATGTAACACACGAAGGAATAAACTTACGTCAAGGAACCAATGCCCCGAAGGGTGACATGAAAGAGATATTCGTTCGCATTGAAGGTCTCCGCAATCGACATGTTCTCAAAACGCTCGTCCCAGATCTGCCGACAGCCTGCGGACTCGATCACGGCGTTGATCTGCTCGACAGTCCAACCTCCTGAGATGATTCCTTCACCTCGAAGCATGGGAAGTCCTGCACCTGAAATAATTCTACTGTAGCTCTTAAAAGTACCATCGCTCGACACAACTCTCCAGCGGTCCTCAGGACTAGCAGCCAACACCTTAAACATGGCTAACGCCTTGCGAGCTGTCTCAGAATGGCGGTGCGGAAGAACCAACATTGGCGTGAGTTGTGTCGACGACCGGTTGGAATCCAGACTAAAGGCAGTCGAACTTCTCTTCATTGCGTTGGAAAGCTGGCCGATAGGTGTTGATGCTCTGTTTAGTCCATGGAGGGTGATGTGGGGGTTCCCGCGGATGGGCATGATCTGGCTGTGGCGGGGCGCAAATGAGGAGCTTCGACTGATCAAAGTGCTGTGGCGACGAGCCTCCATGATGTCCGAGGGTGACCGCATACCAAATGCTGCAAATGCCATCGAGCTCGGCCGTGCAGGCAGGGCAGTATCCAGAGGGACATGTTGTTTTGGTGCTCGTGGAACAACCTTGACTTTGGGCGTGATAGAGGCGTCTGAATCGGATGTTGCGTCCTTGCCATCGATCGATGTAGTAGGCGTTAGAGGAGGCGTAGCCGGGGTCACAACATGCGGCGGGTTTGACCGTGTTATGGTTGATGATGCAGCATTCCTAGGTCTGGAACTGGATCGCGATTCTATCCTTTGGGGCGGTGTCATTGAAGATCCTCCATAGATCTCCTGTTGATGCCGGGTATCTGATTCTATAGATGCTGTCCTGGCGACCTGTGGAGGCAATAGTGGTCTGCCTTGTTCGTAACCAGGAGCCGATTTGTGCGCGATTTGAGATGAATGCGACCGTGGCTCGTCATAGGATTCCACGGATGTCTCATCCTCGTGCCGAAGTGTGCCCCCCACGATGCCACCCTTGCCAAACAGCTGCGAGTCGCCAAAAAGTGCCGTATCTCCGATGGCGGCATTGTTCTCTACGAACTCTGGCGTGAAGATCGAAGGAGCGAGAGACTGATTCGATATAAGACTGGGAGCAACAGGATTCATGGAGTTCCAGGCAGGCGAGTTGTCCTTGGCTACTGCCATATCTAATCGAATGTCTTCATCCTCCGAGTCGTCTCTGTCGTCTAGCCGCTCTACATCCTTTTCCGGGTCAAAAGGTCCAAGAGGCGAGAGGAATGCTGATCCGGACTGCACCTTTTCCTCAGCCTCCTGCTCCGCAAAAGTGAACCGGTCAGGTTTAAGAGGCTCACTAAGGCTGCGGTGTCGGTTGGCAATTTTTGAGACAAGGGTGGACATGACCATAGGTGCGCCGTTCTTTTTCAGATGCGTCTCGATAGTGGTGATAACAAGTGGCCGCTTTGCGAGCGCTCTTCGTGCGATGAATTTTGGAAGCCTGCTCAGTAAGTCTGTCTGAATTACATAGGTAATCTTGCTGATTGGCGGGTTGGAGGGCAGAGGCTGGATTATCCATCCTGCGACAAAGATATCAGCTCGGACTTTGCCTGATATCCGGGGGATTTTGCTGGACTCCACAGAACACGAAGCGAAGTAAATAGTCCCGTCGCGCTCCATTTCTATCCTCTCTACCATGGATATATCCCGTGTTCTATGAGAGAGCAGGTACATGTTAAACAACAGTTCAAAAGCGCGGTTCTCCAACACTTGATTGCGGAAGGACATGTATACATACTTTGATGAAAGTGTACTCTTCATAACCATGTACATGAGATTAGTCGCATCGTCGTAAGATTCCACGCAGCTTAGCTCATCATACCAATCACTAAAGTAGATGAATAAAAAAAGGATATCCAGGTTGGTTAGAAAATTGTCAACATAATTACTAATTTCTATTTCTGTGTCCTGTGTCCTGTGTCCTGTGTCGATACTTACTCCCACAGCTTCCGTACGCCTACTACCGAAAAGACGTCCTGTGCCCGATAGCCACGAACGACATGCTCTCCCTTAAATGTGGGATGTTTGTCTCCATTGTTTGTGGACTGATAGACTAGGCAGCCGGATTTGTGCTTGAGGAGTTTCTTCCAGCCAGTTGGTTTTGAGGCTGCCTTGAGGAGTTTGATTGCCTGGATGGCCTGATCGATATGATATTCCTTTGTCCATTTTCGTGGGTCGGGTGTATAAAATTGGGATTGCTTGTGCTTCTCTGCACAGTCGGATTCATCCCCACTTAGATTGTCGAGTCCTGGCCCAATCTTTCCGCTTGTATTACGGTGGTGCTGCTCAATCCACTCCAGATTTTCATCTGCAAGCATCAACTCTGACCGACTTGGTCCCTTCATGGCTAAATATTAATTGAAGGCCCCTTGGAGACCTCGAGGCAGAAGAAGGAGCCGAAAGGGACTGAGGAAAGAGGGCAGCTGGAGAGAATGACGGAAAGAAGACGTACTAGAGAAAGTGCCGCCAAAAATATATAGTAATGAGCACCAATGGCCGAAGAATCGTATTTATATCGAGGTTTTGGTAAACAAGAACTCTGCTTACAATAGACAACGGCAACAACGCGGATATTCCGGTCAATTGCTTTAGCTGTGTTCTGTCAGTTGTTGCGGGGAAGATGGGCTTAAAAAAGGGGAGGGAACAGCGCCAATTTGCTTTGGAAGGACAGTGCACGGAGAATATAGTAAAGTAAGAGGGAGACACCGAGGGGTACGAACACTAGTTGATGCGAGAGGAAGAGAGCGAGAGAGGAAGAGAGCGAGAGAGGAATAGTGGATGTGGAGAATAAAGGAATACAGGTAAGAGAAAGTTAAGGGAGAAGGGCAAAGAGATAGGCCAAAACAAGGAAAAGAAGCCTGGTCAAGAGGGAATGGCGAGATGAGAAAGACGAGCCAGGCTGAAAGGGCACAGTGGATGGACGTTAGAGAATGTGTGGGGAGGGATGCTGACTTTTTAAAGCAGTCCAGGAGTGAATAGGATGAGAGGAAAGAAGGTAGTGTACAGGCGCTACAGAGTGGGATGAGGAATGAAGAATAAGTGATGAAGAGGTGGATGTGTTTGTGGAGAAGAGGAAGGAAAAAAAGAGTAAAGTGCCAGGAACAGGTCTAGGAAGCTGCCAATCCCCCTCGTTTTTCTTAAATCTTTTTACAGCGATCCTCGGATCGCCAGTCATCAAATTCAGTGCTTCTTTATGGTTTCCAACTATCCATCCACATCAGTGTTAGTGTCTGCATGTACTGTAGTGCGTACAATGTAGTGCCATTGAAGGCCTATCCATTCGTCTCCCCCTCTCTCGCTCTCCTTCTCCTTGTAAGAGTCAGTTGCTAGACTAATGTTGGGTGCAATGGTGGCGAGTGCTCAGTCGCGTCTTCCCAGTTATACGTTTCTCCTCCTCTTCAAAGCACCCACGACACTTCAAAGCACCCGCGACACTTCAAAGCACCCACGACACTTCAAAGCACCCACGACACTTCAAAGCATCCACGACACTTCAAAGCACCCGCGACACTTCAAATGCATTTGACGAATGATACTGTTCCTGCATCCCTGTGCTCCTGCTTATTTACGTGTGCCATTTAGGCCTGCACCTTTGCTTTCTTTTCAATTGCATTTACACCCCTGCGTACACTCCCTGGTTTCCATTTCTGAGCATCTTTTTTTTAATCTTTTTCAGTCGCAGTGTGGGCGTGGGTGTGTACTGTCGGTTGTTTTATTTGATTTAATAACCATCTTACTATTACTTGTTGGGTTCCCATTTGAATCCCTCGTCAGCAGCCTGAATAGGATTTGGACTGAGAGCGCCTTGCAACTGAGCCTGAACACAAAAACGAGAAATAAATATGAGCGGTAGATAGTCTATTCAAACGACGGCTTTTGCTGCTGTCCGTTGTCTACTGTAGGGCAAGGGGCGGCCTTTCAGTTTACCCCTTGTCAGCTACATTGTCTGATGAAATCCTTAGCCTAGCCCTCCCCGTACTCTCTGCTTTGGCGGCAACCGATCGTCACACCGGTCGGTCTAGCATGGACACGTAGAAGAAAATTTGTCAGGTCCACATTTTGCCACGTCCAGGAACCGTATCGCGTCGCGACTCAACTTCACCCGTGGTGGCTGTGATCCGGCTTCGATTTCTGATCTACGTACAAGCTAAAGCAGTAGTGCATACGTGGCACAACCCGGGCAAAGATGAGCGGCACTTCATTGCATCCCTCCTTCGTTCAGTCATCCTTTTTTATCTTCTGTTCAACATACCCTGGGAGGCAGAAACAGGTCCCCTTTCTCGATTGGCACACGAACGACATACTCCCATCTTCTCCCTTGCACCTTGTCAGCCGACTCTCCGCAAACCAGAACTGTTTGTCATCTTTCTAGCGAATGACCGAAGGCTCGACATCTTCTATGCCGCTCAAGGTACAGGACGCCCTGGAGTCAACGGCGGTGGCGGTGGCGGCAATATCAGCGACAGCATCAACTCCATCGTCCTCGGCCGTCTCCTCAACTCTTGGAAGCAGGCTTGCAACACATAAACCCTCGTTAGTCCCTCGCACAGAGGATACAGCTGCTCCGGGATATGAGCTCCAGTGGTCACATCTCATTCACGCCGAAATCATCTCTGTCACAAGTGCCATGCGACGAAACTCGCGTTGGTCCGGAATGAGCGTCAGCGGTTTGAGTATGGGTAGTTTGGGTATGAATATGGGTCTTCGTGGACGCGAGAATCAAAAAGAAGGCACTTATCGCAATCAGGTATGTACAGGGCCAAGAACGATCTGTACGCCCCTACTGAGGCGTACCAATGTTAATGTCTCCCCTCTCGATACTGTATCTTTAGGAGAGTCCTCTCATGGTTGGCTTCAATGATCTACGATCGCGCCTCGCTACAACTATAGGTAAGGGATAAGGTATCGATCGCTGTGGTTGTTTTTACGCATTTTGGACTCGGTATGTTCTGACCAAGTTCGAATTTGTTTGCCTTTGTAGCTGTTCAAGACATGGATGCGGTTGCATTGCTGGACCCTTTTCTGGAGGTGATTCAGTCCGGCGACACGAACGGACCCATCACAGGCGCAGCACTTAGCTCAGTCGAAAAGTTCCTCTTGTACAAGATTATTGGTATGTGAATCGAAAATTCTACGGCAGTATATCTGCAAAAAGTGGAATGGAAAAGATTATTGACCCTTGCATTCGATTATCTATTCACTCGTCAACCACAATAGACCAGGACTCACCTAATGTGGCGCATGCAATGCAGCGGTTGGCGGTGGCAGCAACCCATTGCAAGTTCGTGGCGAGTGATTCGGTCTCGGACGAGATCGTTCTTTTGAAGATCCTCCAGGTTCTGCGTATAGCCTTGACAAGCGGCCCTGGAGACTTTTTGAGCGATGAATCTGTATGCTCTATGATTGAAACAGGACTTAGCATGTGTTGTCAACTCCAACTCAGTGGTACGTATTAAGCGCTGAACACTATGCTCGAGCCATGTCAATTATATCAAGCCATGTTGACTCCTGATTTATTCAACTCCCTTATAGAAATGCTACGAAAATCTGCTGAGCACACCATGGCGGTCATCACAAAGACAATGTTTGAAAGGTAAGCTACTTTGCGCCGCATTCGAGGCAATACTGGTAGTATATATCGAGCTTATATCTCATTCATGCAACAACTATAGGCTTCGAACCATTACCGCTCCAGTCGAAACGATTGATAAAGAATCAGAGGATCCTGTGGAGAATGAGACCATTCTTGTGCAAGCCGCCAATATTCAAGAGGACGCGGAGCATGTCAACCTTACAATTAACCACAATCCTCCTACGGTCGAGACTGAGGCCGAGGCAGTTTTATCCAAAGCGCAAGAGCTCGCCAGCGACAAAAAAGGAGCTCAGGAGGCTGAGAAGACGGTGAAGGACGACTTAATTCTGAGCAACGATCAGGGATTAGTGGAGATACTGCTGGAGACAGCTCGTAAGTCTCTATACTCCAAAAGCGCTGAAAATTAACATCGTGCTCTGGGTTTCAACTTACAGAATTGGTCTATTCTTCCTCATTACGCTAGCACCAAAATCCTATGGCCTTCCTTCGATCCGTGAGCTCTTGCGAGTGCTAATTTCACTTTTGAATCCACACGATCAACAGCATACGGATCGCATGCGCCTGATGGCCCTAAGCATTTTGGATGTTGCGTTGGAAGTCGGTGGAAAAAGCATCACCAAGTTTCCCGCACTCATGTCGCTCGCAGCGGATGACATGTGCAAATATCTCTTCCAGGTATGAGACGCGGAGTATGATACATGGTATTGCATGAAAGGTGTATCGGTCGGCCATCCTAATTATAATCCTATTTCTACTTTCCTTGTTAGTTGGCGAGGACGGACAACATTCCAATCTTGACGTTGGCGCTGCGAGTGATCTCGACTGTTTTCGACACTATGAAATCCCATTTGAAGTTGCAGCAGGAGCTCTTTCTTTCGTTCTTGTTAGAACGCCTGAGCCCGCCTGCTTTCGCGCTGAAGCCTTTGCCATACAATCCCGATTTTGGTGAGCCTCTTCGACCCACAGTTGCCACTCCAGAACCCGACAACAATTCGCGCGCTGGATCACCAAGTCCCTCTGTTAAAAGTTCGAAGGGGGAGAAGCCGGACACGACTGTTGCGCATGGAGAAGTTCGAGAATTGCTTTTGGAGTGCTTAAGTCAGTTTGCTCGTGCACCGACATTCATGGTTGATCTCTGGGTCAACTACGACTGTGGACTGGACTGCGGTGACATGTTCCAGGATATGATCAAGTTTTTGACTAGGGTAAGCGCAAGGTCCCAATCATGAGAGGATTGACATGTTTAGCATGGTTGTGCTACGATCTAACACGTGTGCTGCGACAATAGAATGCATTTCCCGACTCGACAACATACTCCGCCAGTAGCTCGCATATGCTCTGCATGGACTCCTTGCTGCTCTTTATCAACCACATGGTGGACCGTTTGTCGACTCCAAAGGTAAAGGCCTCGGCGTATGGTGCCGATATCGAAACGCCACTTTCTTTTTTGATGCCGTTCTAATATGCGATTATACTGCGAATTAGGATGAAGCAAAAGCCCTTGAAAAGGGTTTGGAGAGCTATGACACACTTCGTGAGCGAAGACTGCAGAAAGAAATTTTGGTCAAGGGCGCAGCCAAGTTTGATGAAAATCCTAAGGCGGGCCTTGCGTATTTGGAAGGTAACGTTCAGAAAAACAGCAGAGCCTGTCTTTTTTTTTTTTTTTTTTTTTTCGCTGAATTTCTGTTTAATTTACGGTGTTTAGCTCACAAGATGATCTCGAGTTTGAATGATCCTGTGGGCGTGGCCCATTTCCTCAAAACGAGCACGCGCCTGAGCAAGAGATTGCTTGGCGAATACCTTGCCAAGCCTGCCAACTCCGAAGTTTTGAAGGCGTTTATCCAGCTCTTTGATTTCCATGGGGTAAGCTCGAATGTTGTGAATTCGTATATCTACCAATGCCTCATATATTATGATGTACTCTGACGTCTGTATCCCCAATTAGAAACGCCTTGATGAGTCGCTTCGCGAGCTTTTGGAGACATTCCGGCTGCCCGGTGAATCACAGCAGATTGAAAGGGTCATGGAGTTGTTTGCTGCGACCTACTTTGCCACCAAGCCGAAGGCTATTGCCTCTCAAGACGCCGCGTTCATTCTCGGGTATGCAGTTGTGATGTTGAACACGGATCAACACAACCGTGGCGTCAAAGGGCGCATGTCTCTCGAGCAGTTCAGCAAGAACTTGAGAGGAGTCAACAACGGAGAGAACTTTCCACCAGAGTACCTGGCAGAGATCTACGAGGCCATCCGGAAACGCGAGATTGTGTTGCCGCAAGAACATGAGGGACAGCTTGGATTCAACTATGCTTGGAAGGAACTCTTACGCAGAGCTGAGACTACTGGGCCGCTTGTCATTTCCAGTACATCGATGTACGACAAGGAGCTCTTCATATCATCATGGAAGCCCATCATGTCTGCCATCTCCTATGGTAAGTAGGAAAGAATTTGTCAAAGATACGAATTTCGGATTTAGAATCGATACTAAGTGCTTTTGCTCATATATATTGTTTCGATAGCGTTCAACACGGCGCAAGATGATGCAACGCTGCAAAAGTCGCTAACCGGCTATTACCAGTGTGCCATTTTGGCGGCCCATTACCAGCTCCCCGAGATTTTTGACCGTGTGACAATGTCGTTAGCAAGGATGACCGGATTGCTGGACACTCCGCACAACCCGGCCGACAATCGCGACGTCGTCGTAGACGGCACCGCAATCACCGTCAGCGACCTCGCAGTGCAATTTGGAAAGAGTTACAAAGGACAATTGGCCGCGGTGGTGGCGTTCGGAGTGGCGAATGAGCACGGCAACATGATACGTGCTGGATGGAAGCCTATTTTGGAAATCATCAAGAACCTGTTTATCAATAACCTTCTTCCAGGATCGATGTTGGAGGTGGAGGACTTTTTGGCAGGAACCACAATGATCCTTTTGAAGGCGCCCGTCGTACCCGAGGTCAAGGATAAAGTCCGGCAGGACAGTTCACTGCTCTCGACTCTTTCTTCGTACCTGCTGTCCTCTTCCTATTCATACGAGACCGCTCGTGAGGAGCCGACGCCAGAGGAAATTGAATCAACGCGCTGCACTGCTGACTGCGTTGCTGCCTGTCGTCTGGAAGAGTTGTTCACGGACATTCGATTGCTGGAAGACCTGCCTCTTACCCAGCTTATGGAGGCAATCAAGTTTGTGGCAGATGGAAACTCAGTCACCAAGGCAACGAAGTCACCTACCCCCTCCAAGCTGTACAACCCAGCCAGCGTGTTCTTTTTGGAACTTATGATCAGTCTGACCGTTCAGAACCGATATCGTGTCCAGGCGCTGTGGCCCATTGTGTTTGAGCATTTGAGCGACATCATTCGTGAGGCTGGATTACAGAGTGTGCTGCTCGTCGAGCGTGCGGTCGTGGGCCTGCTGAGGCTTTGTATCCGCTTGGCGCACAACGACGACATGTCAAAGCAGGTATTGGATGCTCTGGACCTGCTGTTGGGCCTTCCTATTGACGTCGTGCCAGAGGTAGCGGAGCAAATGATGGCGGGCGTTTTAACCTTACTCAAGGCCGATACCTCCTGCGTCCGACCCAACTTGAACTGGGATGTCCTTTTCGCGCTGCTATCGTCGACTTCCAACCATCCAGAGGCAGCCAAGTACTCTTTTGAGGCAATCAGCATGTTTGTAGCCGAGAACGGCGGAGGGAATGTGAGCGTAGAGAACTATGCCGACTGCGTAGACCTGCTGATCCGTTTCGCCGCTGCAGGTGCTGTTGGGGCAGAGAGTGTGATGAGACAGGAGAGTGGCCAACGAGGGGGCAAGAGCCAGATGTCTAAAGCTCAGGCCAGCGCTGTCGAGCGGGCTAAGAAGGCGGTGGAAATGTTATACAAGTTGCACAGCCAGGCACCCCGATTGATTTCGCAATCCAAAATGAGCGCCGACTTGACTTGGTCCGCGTATTGGTTCCCGATTCTAGTTGGCCTGACGCAGCAGTGTTCGAATCCGTGCCGGGATGTCCGAAACCATGCGATGATCTACCTTCAGCGAGCATTGCTTTTGCCTGAGATTGTGACAGATAGGATCCCAGAGTGGGTGGTTGTGTTTGACAAGGTCTTGTTTAAATTGCTGGAGGATCTTTTGAGAGCCGAAATTGTGCAGCAGGATCCTGCCGGTTTTGAGGAGACGCGAAGCAAGGCATGCGCGATTGTATGCAAGACATTCTTGCATTATTACTTCCGGTTGTTGGAGTGGGAAGGATTGCAAGCACTTTGGATGAACGTACTAGATTACATGGACGCATTCATGCAGACAGCGCAGAGCGACCAATTGGTACGTATTGAGTGTCATGGACCTGGTGCTCTTAATTATGCACACGATGGCGAAATGTTCATCCAACGGATCCTGTCTTACTCCCTTCTCCAATTTAGTACGAGGCCGTACCAGAGTCGCTCAAGAACTGCTTATTGGTCATGTCTACTTCAGAAACGTTTTCAGAAGCAACTGCCAACAGCCCAGACAGCTTGTGGAATGTGACCTGGAATAGGATCAACAAATTCCTCCCTAATCTCAAGGCCGAGATCTTTCCACCCCAAGTGACAGAAGGTGGATCATCTTATGCGGCGTTAATGATGGGAGTCGGTAAGAACATCTTCTCTGTCGTCGGTGCAACAGAGTATCCAGCTTCCTCTCCACCTACATCAACACCAGAAGTGTCGGCAAGCGGTAGCGCCGCGGACGTTAGCACAGGAGTAGATCAAGTGGAGAATCTTCATCACTACGAACAAGCAGCACAGTCGTTGGATTATTACCCCAGAGAACAAGCAGCTGCAGCTGCAGCTGCAGTTATTGAGGACTCGGGTCTGTTGTAATATTGTAATATGAATGAATAAACCACGCGTTCCCTAGACTAGCGTACCTGTTGTGCCATCCTGCACGTGACACCCGAGAACCAGCTCGAATAAGGAGGAATTAGTTTCGACAATTTTCATTACTCTTCATCATTGAATCATTGAAACCTCAAGACCCTACAACATGACCGCTGGAAAGGTGCTCAGCTCGCTCGAAAGTAGTGTTTTGACACAACTGTCTATACATGTGAAAGTTCTCTTTGCTTACGTTTATCATGCCTGAGCGACTCGAGTAGCCCATCACCTGCCGTGCTGCTGTCGCCTGGGAAGCCGGCAAGCCCTTGAGTATGCAATAATTCGTTTTCGCGTCTGATGCCGATAATGCCAGAGAACATTTAGGGATCGCCTCCTTGTTTTCTTCAACTCAGTTGCTTTTTTACACTGCGACTATTAAACAACTAGCACTCGAAACTGTTGAAGTTGCCCCACCCAAGGCTGGGGAAGTTCGTATCAAGATTGTTGCTACCGGAGTGTATGTGCCATTCTTTAGCTTGCTATCGTACTGATAACGATGTATCGGAGGCGTTGGATGTGGAACTGACGAGACATCGACTCTTTTAGTTGCCACACAGATGCCTATACCCTCTCAGGATCTGGTAAGGAAGGAACTCATTGAGTAGTATTCCAATGATCGTCTGAGAGCAAGAATCTAAACTCCCTTGCCATTAGATCCCGAGGGGCTCTTCCCTGTCATTTTTGGGCATGAGGGAGGTGGAATCGTTGAGTCGGTCGGCGAGGGGGTGACCAGTGTCCAGCCTGGCGATCATGTCATCCCTCTATACACTGCTGAGTGCCGTGAGTGCAAGTTCTGCAAGAGCGGCAAGACTAATCTCTGCGGAAAAGTCCGCGAGACCCAGGTAACTGGCGTGTACTTGGCGTGTACTTTGCTTTTATGTTTGTGCATAAATAGTAGCGTAGCTCATATGACAATGGAGCGGGTAACTAGCCTCTATTTTCTTTCTCCGCTGCGTTTTGTATACTGACCTCAATTGTATGATTTCACTAGGGCCGTGGATTGATGCCTGACGGTACCTCCCGCTTCACCTGCAACGGAAAGCAGATCTTCCACTATATGGGCTGCTCTACTTTCAGCGAGTACACTGTCGTCTGCGAAGTCTCTGTGGCTAAGATTACCAAGGAGGCGCCTTTGGAAAAGGTTTGCCTGCTGGGCTGCGGAATTACCACCGGATACGGTGCTGCCACTCGCACCGCCAAGGTCGGCAAGGGGGATAGTGTCGCTGTCTTTGGGTTGGGTGGTGTTGGCCTTAGTGTTTTGCAGGGTGCCAAGCAGGCTGGTGCCACCACCATCATTGGAATCGATGTCAACCCCAAGAAGGAAAAGCTGGCTAGAGAGATGGGATGCACCGAGTTCATCAACTCGAAGGAGCTGCCCGAGGGAAAGACCATCCAGCAGTATTTGGTCGAGATCACGGACGGTGGTTTGGACTATACCTTTGACTGCACTGGAAACGTCAATGTCATGAGGGCCGCTTTGGAAGCAAGTCTTTAGTCATGCTCATTGGCGCGCTTGATCGTGTTGTACAATTGAGATGAGCCGATCTAACTAGTTCCTTTGACAATCCCGTTCAATCTGCATGTATGTAGGCTTGCCACAAGGGTTGGGGCGAGTCCATTATTATCGGAGTTGCCGCCTCTGGCCAGGAGATTCAGACACGTCCCTTCCAGTTGGTTACCGGACGCGTCTGGAGAGGATCTGCCTTTGGTGGTGTCAAGGGACGCACGGAGTTGCCCGGCCTTGTCCAGGACTATCTCACTGGAAAGATCAAGATTGACGAGTTCATCACCCACAACTTTAGTTTAGAGGACATCAACAAGGCCTTTGATGCTATGAGGGACGGCGACTGGTATGCAACAGTCATGAATATGATATGTATATACTCTGATATGGCTATAATCTTTATTCTCACCACACTTCTCTCACATCTTATGGCGCCTATAGCATTCGCGCCGTCATCAACTACTAGGCTAATGTATACACCATTACATAAATACGCAAGTGCTTGCGGAGTCCCTTCCTCCCAATAAATATGGCCATTCTTTTTGTGTCAGCTTTTTTGTATCCATTTCTGCGCGTGTTTTGCCCTCATTTGGTGGCGGCATAATTAGATCGGCAGTCACTTACTGTCTGCCAGCTTTCCCCAAGCTCCTCGGCATTCTCATCACTACACTGCAACAACCATTTCACACTCCCATCGCTGGCACCATCTTAGACACCATGGACGCGCCCCAGCAGAGCACCATCACCCCACAACAAGCAAACACTCTTCCAATAGCAGAGCCGGGAGTCATCATTCGCACCAGCAACAAAGCGAAACGAAACTATCGCACCAAAAAGAGCGACAGCGACAATGAAGACGACCTGGACCACAGTAAAAACGTGGATAAGCATGACTGCGGCCAGGAGACAAAAGATTCCATAAAAAGTATGAACTCTGCGAGTGTCAGCTCGCTCCCCTATGTGCAGTCGCAGAGCGCTCAGAACATCGGCGAGGTGTATCCAGGACTAGCGCGACTTAGTTTTCTAGATCAGGAGCAAGGATCCAGCGATGGCGGCGATACCCCATTGAATACCAAAAAACCGTATCGTCCACTTCATCAAACGCCGCGTTTTCAGACTGCAAAAGATAACCTTGCGTCAAGTGCAGAGGACATTACCCAAGCAAAGTCGTATTCAATCTCCATGACAACATCTGCAACATCAGTACCTCCTGCAACATCGCCATCTGCATTGTCTTCGGGAACTGGATTACAAACGAGTTTGGTGGAGATTAAAGAAACCGGCTCTGCTGGCAAGGGGAGGGGTCTCTTTTCAGCTGCAAAAGAAATTCTCAAGCCAGGAATTCTTGTCTTCAAGGAACTTGGATACTGCCAGGTGGTCAACGATGCATCCTTGTCGCAAGTGTGCTCTGCATGCTTCAAGGATGTGAGGGAGGAGTTGGGGGAGGGCGATGCCGCTTCTTCGTCAGGATCTGTGCCTACTGGCGGTCAGCGAAAGCTGGTCCGATGTGCTGGATGCAAGATTGTCTGGTACTGCAACAAGGCAAGTATTATAATAGGCTGCTGATCCTTCAGTTTCATGGATGATATTTGCTTCCGCGACTAATGCATCTCATATTATACTCGAACATATAGGCGTGTCAAATCAAAGATTGGAAACTTCATCATCAGCTGGAATGCCAGGGCATCCAAAAATCGATGGCCAACCCCACCATGAAGGATGTTTGGGTGAAACGCACTATGGATACAACCACCGTTCGCGCACTTTGTCGAATCATTCGGAGGCAGGAGCGTGCAAAGTCTTCAGTCGCATACAAAGCGGAGCATGGGAAACTGCATGCGGCCCAGAAACAGGTCAGCGAGGTTTATGTCTCAGGACTGGATCAAAAAGAGGAAGAGTGGCTCGACGAACACGGATCAACATGGATCGAGCAGTACCTCAATACATACGAGGAGGAACGCGAGGCAGCCACTGCTGCAACTTCTACTTCATCGTCATCTTTAAAGGGCGCATTGGAGGAATCGAGTCATCTTGCCAGGACACTGGCGGTGGCTATGTCTTGTGTAGTCATACCAAAGGAGGATCGACACACGTTTCTGATGGGCACTGGCGAGGTGGACATGGATATCGTGGCATCTGCTCGTGCAGGAGGTATCGATATTTGCAGAAAGCTTGATTCCTACGGCTTTACTATCACTAACATAGAAACTACCACTGCCGTTGGTCTGGCGCTGTACGTCCAGTGCATGCCGTTCATGAATCACTCGTGTATTCCAAACTGTGTGTACACATTCAAGGGTCCAAGGATTGAGTGCAGAGTCATCCGCGACATTCAGCCGGGCGAGGAGGTACATTACTCATAGGCGGATTGTTTGACAAGCCGATATTGAACAGTGAAGAATTGTCTTATCTGACGACAGTGCGTTCATCTTTGTATAGATGACTATCAGCTACATTGACCAGATCAGTACCACTCAGGAACGGCAGAAACAGCTGAAGGCGCAATACCGCTTTACATGCCACTGCCCGCTCTGCAAATACTTTCCCGCCAATCCACTTATCCAACCAGAAACAGAGGCACTTACACAGATCGTCCCAGGGCCATTGCCTGAGCCATCCAAGGACCCCAAGCAAGGCTTTATCTGTCCTAATGATGCGTGTCACTCAATCAATAGGCCTCAATCAATCCTAGCCATTGAGTCCCAACTTCGAATCTACAACAAGGTGGAGCTAAGATGCGATAATTGCGGTCAAGTTACAGAGCTCACTCAGGAACTCGTCAAGGAGAACGAGGAAGAAGCACAGCGACTCATTTTGGGATTTGTGCGCGAAATGAACGATAGTTCGTCACCTTCCAGCGGATCGAAAGCACGCTCCAGGAACTTTGAATTGGCAAAAGTAAAGTTACTAGAAGCAACAGAGGGAGGCGCCGCAAAGCCAACTATCGTAGGAGGCATCAAAACGGTCCAGGAACTGTCACCGCGAGCATTGCGGTACTTTGAGGATGCGTACAAAACCCTGACAGGAGGAAGAGCGACAATTAATAACGACTCCAGTTCAATTACAGAGAATCTGATTTGTCGCAGTGCACTTCACCACCTTGTTCGTCAGCTAGAGCAAAACGGGTTCGATGAGGCAGTGAGTCACAAAAACTGGACGTTTGCATTGCGTCGGTCGATCGAACTGCAGCGGATACTGAATGAGACATACGTAGGCCACCACCCCTTGAAGGCGATCCAAGGATATTACACCTGCAAGATTGCCAACCTACTGGCCAATCTGCTTTTGGAGGAATCGACGATAGAAATCGAGGAGAGTGATCAGGAAAAGTCCGACGAGGAGGATGCGGATATGCTGGACAGCGACGACGAAAGGGATCTGAAAGCTGTACGGGACGCCATGCGCAAGGGCGGTCGAGCTGCAGCTGCAGTTGCAGCTGCAGCTTCAAGTAGCAAAGCCGCGCAGAAACAGCTGCAGAGAACGAAGCGGACGGGTGAAGAGGAGGAGTCTGCAGGGAAGATGAAGAGGCGGGCCCAGGCGGAATCATCTCGAGAGCTGCTGCAATATCTCAAATCTTTGATCCCTATGGTCGAGGACCCCAAAACTCTGCAGGAGCTCAGGGTGTGCTGGGGCAAGGATGGCAAGCTGGCGAGTCGATATCGGCATCAGGCCGATTCGCTTAAGCAGGCGCTGCACTATGCAGAGCTACCATTTTCATCTCACTAGATAAATAAACTCCCAAAGATTGTACGCATCACGTGTGTTTGTATTTGTGTGACTTTGTTCAATCAGTCGGACGTTAGGTTGGTTCGGATTGCACCTCGCGGAAAAAGGCATCTCATCTCTATCCCCACGCCAACATTTAACAGTTACACCATGGCCAAATCCGCCTTTTGGAACTCGGTCCGCAAGGCCCTCACTGTGGTACATTCTACCTTGTCATTGCTCTTCCTATCTTCGCTACTCTCTCTTCGTTTCCGGTTTGTTCATTGTAGGAAAAACCCTCACGGGGAAATAACGCGCCTTAATATCTTTTCTAACTATGCACCTGGTCCTTCTAATAGAACCCCAAAGTCTCAACTGGAATGCCCGACGCCAAAGAGTTTCGTTTTATCGCTCCTGGGTAAAGACAATCTTACTGTCGAATGCGATTTTTGCAGTCAATTCACCAATGTTCGATTATACAATATCAGGAACATGGTGCCGTATGAGCCGGAAGTACACAGGATTAAACCCCCTTGATTTTTTGCTGTAATGAATGAATAGCGGCCAGCCCAAGCCCCATGTCCCCAAAGATCCCTTGGCTAGCGACATTGCACAAAACCCTTACTATGGACGTGATGTCAGGAGAAACTATCCTCGTCTGGCTGTCTACTCTCAGGAGGAGGTCGCTGGATTGATCGCTGCCAAGGAAGCCCTGGCGTAAACAGCTTTTTTTTTCTTGCTTCGAATCGGCAAAGTACATGGATGGCAATGAGAAAGCGATACTAATCATATTAATGATTGGCTTTGATTTGATTTGTAGTATTGGATCTGGAGAGTCGGCTCTTGCCAAGACTGGCGAGAATATCTCCTTGACTGAGGTTCTCCAGAATGCAAAGTCACCCCTGTACACACCCACCAACTTGCCCCCTACGCCCGTCATCCGTAACTACAAGTGGACCGCTTCCCCAGACCAGCCTCCCGTTGCCAGTGGTAAGCCAATATGACATATTTCGTATGAAAGCTAAACCATTGACGGTGATACGGATTAATTAACGCGTTATTTTTTAATAATGCTTCTAGGTACCTACTGGACCATGCGCAACATGAAAACCGCCAAGTAAATGGGCAGACCATAACGAACCACGGCAACTACTCATCAAACAACCAGGAGAAGAAGGAGGATATTACAACGGAAAAACTTGATCGGATTTCATTGGAGGCATGCTTCTTCGTCATCCTTATCCTGGTTTCCCACTCCCCACTCGTAACTATATCCGTCAACAAATCAACGCGAAACACTAAACAACAAGCACGAAAAATAATGAAATTCAACGGCGGCTATCAACTCTAGACGATATCAACTGTCAGCATTGTTTTTTGAGCAATTGGAATAAATGGCTATAAAAAAATTCTACGCCAGACCATGTAGAAGATTGAAAGAGGGGATAGAATACAAGTTAGATATAGCAGATGTGCAGATGAGGGATAACTGAAGATAAAGCGACCGGGATCAATTCATCACCGCATTATCTCTTGCCTAGCTGGGTACCAAAAGGGAAAGGCATTTCACCCGCTTCAAGCATATAAGAGCACAGGACCTCTTGGGGAAAGACATATTCGCCCCATGATATTCGTTCACCGTTTATCATGCGATTTTTCCGGACGGCGCGTTTATCCTACTCCCTGCTGCTGGCAACCATTCTGAATACTATACTTGCGGAACGCTCAAGGACCTTCACAGCGTACGATATCACTGTTACAATCCATGAGGACTTCCACCAGTCCTACCCACCATATTTCCTACTGTTATGATTCCGCCTCAATCTCAGTCTCCTGGTGACGGTATTGGGATGTCGCAGGCATATTCGCTGTTGCCTAATCCTAGCACGCAGCGATAGGTTCTGTCATCGATCTCGGTCTTTATTCTCTCGATTGAAAAGCTTCAGCTCGAAGAAGGCAGTGGTGTTGACATGGAAATGGGCTTGAGGTCGTCGTCGCTCTTGACGCTATTGCTTGAATCCTGGTGTATGATACATGTACGAATTTAAAATGCCGAGGTACCGTTTGGTAATAGAAGATGACTATTTCGCATGGTTAGTGGAGGGAGAGAAGGAGAAGGAGAGACGTGAGGAAGCGGAATAAGTGGTGATGGTGTGGAGGATGGAACACACAAGGAGAAAGGGCGACGCATTTATTAGCATTGTTTATGTAGGAAGGACATAGCCGCTCAACAAACTGTACGTCAGCTTCAACATGTATGCAAGCAGGGCCAGAGGTTGTGCGGGATGCATTCCGCATTGATATCACTTAACATGGCTTAGATGAAGTGCTTGACAAGAATTGTAGGCAATCCGTCTGGGTTGAATCGAGTTTTGGTTACAGGTCGGAGTGTCCCAAGGAAAAAGAGTGAGGAGTAATGAATGTGCTATCGAAATTGACATCGATATCGAGGACGATAACCGTCTGCAATTGTTCAAGAATGCGAGTAGTCTCTGATACACTCTCGCACTAAGGAAGGCAGGAGGTTGGCGCCTGTCCCTGCGCAAGAGTGCTGCCACTTTCTCGATTTGGTTCCAGCTTTGAGGAAAGCCCGCCGGAGTACTGGCGATGACCTGATAGCCTGAACTCAGAATCGTTTTTGATATTCTAGCGGCATCGTTTACACGCAGAATGATGAAAACGCGTGCCATGGCCAAACCCTATCGATAAGCATTTGTAAGAATACCGAAGCAGTACTTTATTCATGCTCTTAGGAACAGCCCCGACAACTAATCTACTCTGTTGCAGTTGATCAGCATGGCGGCTTAAGGGACTGCGACCATATCTTTAGAGCGAGTTGGTTACTCTTCTTCATCGCATGCTATTGTCCTTCAGTGTGTTCCATGTGTAATGCCTGAAATTGTGCTGGAAAGAGAAAGGTGCGAGGTATGGCAACAATCTCGTTTCCTATCGTCAGTAGCCATTAGCGCCCATGCACTTCGGATCTAATATCTGATCAAATCCTGCTCACATATTCAGATTCAACGCGAGCTAACCTGCCATACGAGCTTTGGAAAGATTATTAGTGCAGTAAGAGTTGCACCTAAACTCCAACTGCAATACACAAATTCAAGTAGTACAGGAGAGCAACGCTTAGAACCAAGCACAACATGGCGTTGTGCCTGACCTTTGAGGCGGAGATAGATTCTTTATATCAAAACTGTCTCTATGGGCAATAGCTCCTCGAACTCGAGCCTTACGTTGCTGTGTCACTGCACGTATTCTCATATCAGTGCGGTGTATTCGGCAACAGATCCTGTCACATTTCATCTCCAAAGGACCTGTTCCAAATTCTTGCTCCAAGTTCCTGCTCCAAGTTACTGCTCCTTGCCGGTCGGAATCTCTTACATGAGGACACCAGACGAGCGCACTCCGGCTCTGAAGAAGTTCCGTAGTCATCTGACCTCCCAGGAGGGCTACCATGCCTTGAAGCTTTTCTCCCCTATAGAACGGTCGCCTGTAAGAAAGCCATCCCTCTTGTACAGATCGGCCAGCAAGACGTTGGCGGTTCTGATCTTTTGTGCACGGCATATTTCGTGTATGTAGACCAGAGCATCGGCTGCCTTACGCGATGCGGTAACTTCCTCGAGGCAGGTCAACTCGCTCGAATGCTCGCTCAGGGAATCATCAGTAGGCATGGTGGTTAAAATTATTCGTTATCAGAGAGAGGGAAAAGAGTATTTCTTTGCCAGCCAAAACTAAGGACAAAGAGGATCAAGGTCGCTAAGCACCACTCTTTGTTCAGTGCTGATACTTCTAAATATTCAATGCGTCCCCATTTGATGGCGCTGAGAGCTGCCTAGAATACAGCGGCTTTCGACGAGGAGGGCCATGAGAATTGAAGCAATGATCTTAGGCCTTGGACCAAAAAATAAGCTGTGTTATTTATTTCTTGGGATGCACCCCGCTGTGCTCTCCTTCAGCGAATACTTTTCACGTCCTGGAAGTATCCATGGCCCTTCAAGCATATTTTATTTCTTGACAATCATGCCATTTTGGCTACCTACTGCTCTTTCTCGCATTTACGATACAGCGCTATTCCATCTCGGTCAAAACCAGGGGTTGCTCATCGTATAACTATCCCATGGGCGGCGCCGCCATCCCTTCAGACCTCCGGATTAGAGCGATATAAATCATTGTTGACAATGCCGCCACTCTTCTTGTGCCCGCTGTTCACATCTCGAACTGGTCTGCTTTGGCGATGCTTCTCCTCCTTGCCCCGGTATACCTCTAGCCATATCTGCTGCTGATAAGTAGTTCACGCTGTCATCTGCGCGCAGAGTTTATGACGCCTACGTCAACAGATCTACGTTCAGTGATTTCCGAGGTCCTTACTTTATACATAGGTCTAAGCATGAGCAATTTCTCGAGCTCTTTTGAGGCTTATGGAAACACGCTATACCCTGGTCTTTAAGCACAAGGAACTAGCGAAGTTAATTATCAGCAATGACGCCGGTAACCATCCGTTTCATCTCTACGGACATGTCCTCCAGTTCGTTAGCCTTGGCAATGGCGTGTACAAGGGCTCCAGTCTGTACCCATACTGTAAGGCAATGTATACACTATTTTGCGTGATGCTGTCCTTTTTCGCTCGAAAACTAATACAGCTTCTCGATTTCAGGCCAGCAACCTAGGTGTATGGCTATTCCACTGCTATATCGAATAGAACCTTCAGGCGGCCTGGCAGCGATGGCGATCTAGGCATACAAGCTCACGCATAACATCCTGAAAGCGGGTCCTTCAAGCCTTGGGCAGTATTAGGCTTTTAGTACTCCGTACAAGGGTAATACTGGCGACTAGCCAGGGTTAGATTTGGCGAACGAAAATTGAACATTCAATCTTTAGTAGGCACCATTACAACAAAGGGTATCATCGTGCTAACGCCCATGATAATTACAGCACCGTTGGAGTTATGCACCACTGTTTTGTATGCACAAGATGACGACGCGGTGAAGACGGAACAGAGAACGCGTCGTCTATCGAGTATAAAAAACCTAAATTTCTCGTGTTCTCCACAAACCTGCGTATTGTAAACTATTCAATCAAATCTTCTCGTTGTTTGAACCGCGTCGTTTGCGTTTCTTATTATTGTTGTTATTATCGATGCCAGCTCCTCCCAGACGTACAAGCGTACCAAAGGCTGCATTGTCCAAGCCGTGGCTTGGACTGACAGCCGGCCAAAGCTATCTAATGACAGTTAACAAGCGACTCCGACTAAACTAGTGTAAAATGAAGGAGAGAACACTAATGGTAGACATTCCGAGTCGTATGGTCTCTAATACCTGCCAGGTCCGATGAACTCTCTCCTGGTCGAGGTCACGGGCCAGCAGCCACTTTACCCTGGAAGTGTCCCACGAGATGGACACCCGCTCTTCTCCTCGCTGTTGTATCCAACTTCTCCTGGAGTCGCGGCCTCACAAAGCCCTGGACCGCTTCTCCGGGACGTATCCTAGCCTCCTTTTTTTGCGCAAAGGTATTCAGACCTCTTCCAGTCGTCATATGCCGCTCTTTCTACGATTCCTCCTGTCCAAAATACTCGAATTGTTCTACAAAACATCCAGCCAGATAGCTGCGATACTCTTCGTTGTTTTCAGGAGCAGCGCCCAATCTGTCGTCATGGACCCTAGGGTCAGTCCGTGATATATAACTATCGTGGTCTAGAGTCTCCAAGTACGGCCTCCCTTTCCTAGCTGTCTGCTTTCTCTTCCCCCTCGTAGACAGCCTACCTTCTGCTTCGCTCTCCTTATTGCGCTGTTCTCCTAGTAACCTAATCCAGTCGTCATGCAACGTATCTGTCCATTCATTCCGTCCCTCAAATCCAACATAGGCTCCACTAGGGACATACACGTTTCATGGAGAGAAAGTCGGTTCTGTACATGTGAACTGTCGACCGTTCCAGCTTGTCTCTTCCAGGTTGCTCAACCGCTTTTTTTTTATTGACGCCCCCCCTAAATCTAGACGCGATCACATGACCCAAAAAGTGCTCCGCATTAAAGTGCCCCACTGCATAGTTGCCGGAGAAGGCGATCTCCATCAGCCTTTCCTCCCTCTTACATAGCTCCTTCTCACACAACCCGCCTTCCATCGTTCGCCTGTTGTGTACCCACAGTCTCCCTCTCATATTCACGCGCTCGGCGTATTTTTGATTTTGATCGATCTCGTTCCCTTCTGCTCAACAATTCACACCTCTACACCACGCAGTCGCGTCACTGTCCGCCTCGTATTTTCCCGCTCCCCCCTTGAACTCGAACTTCTTCCCCCCAAGAACACAAAGTGAAATGAGCTCCAGCAGGAGAAACTCAAAGCAGATCTCGCCAGAGGAGGAGTTGAGCATGCAGGTAATAAGAGCGGAATCCACTGTTTTTTGTTCTCGCCCTCTCGTTCCCTTGTCTCGGCTGTTTTCATAACAAGACGATAGCTGTGAAAGAGAGCGTGCAGGAGGGAACCTAGGCAGTCTAGTTCAAACAGACAGACAGAGATCGTTTCCCGCCACGAAAACGCGTTAAGCGAAACAAGGAGGGAGGTGCTTGTGGAGCGATGAGACATGCCTGAGCAGAAGGCACTCCACATTAACACCTCAGCCCACTCTGACAATAAATCTAAGCGGGATTCATTTATGAAGACAAAGGAGGAATTCAAAGAGGAATCAACAGACGAGATTTGATCAGGGCTGAGAAGCTGCCTGAACCTTCTGTGTGGGAGGATCAGGCGGTTTTGATCACGGATTGCGATTCGGGGCCTGCATAACTCCTTCCTTTGTTCCTGTGCGCGTTTTCTCTTTTATTTTGCTTGCAGACGGCTAATACGTTCTTTTTCTCGCCATGCCGTTGATAGACGGTCAAGAGTCCTGAACCTCCCAAGCTCAAGCTGAAGCTGAAGCAGCCTGAGCAGCAGAGTCTCTCTGAGAGTGGTACGTATTGTGCGCAATTGGTACCCGCTTGTATGAATAACACACATTCATTGGCTCTTCCAGGACCTAACATGTACATCTTTCGGTGCTATTTTGCCTTATCAGATGTGAAGAAGATGTTTCTCGCCGTTGAGGAGAACGATGTCAAAGCAATGAAGCCATACCTCACGCAAAAGAATATGAATCCTGACACACTCTTCGAGACGAATATCTTTGACGAGAACACGTTTACGTGGTCCGCACTTCATGCAGCGGCCTACTATGGATCGAAGCAAATTATCAACCTGCTGATGGAGCATGGCGCAAACGTGGAGCTAGAGGATACCTGGTACAGGGGCAGGCCCTTGGCCTGGGCAGCATTTGGAGGTAAGAACAACAATTCTTTTCCTCCCGACCTTCGTTTGCGATATAAAAAAATAGAGGACAAAGACTTACATGACATGTTTATAATGATAAATAGGGCATTTGGAAGTTGCGAAGCTGCTGATGGAGAAATACGGAGCGGATAAGAAGGCGACTAATGAACATGGTCAAGTTGCATTGGAGCTCGTGTATGAGCTGACGCCCGAGTGGCAGAGTGTTTTTGGCGAGGTAGGCCGTAATGCTGCATCTGATTTTGAAAGAATACTCCTGAAGTGCAATTAGAGAGGCCATTGCTAACTAGGTGTCCTCATCTCCGCATACGATTTCATTCGCTCGTTGGTAATAGGGCGCTTCAAACGGATCAAGATCCTCAAGACCATCCAAGATGAAGAAGAGCGCAGAGGACAAGGAGCATGGCAAAGGACATTCGAAGGATGGCAAAGGGAGTAAAGACGGAAAGGAAGGCAAGGAGGGCAAGGAGGGCAGGAACACGGTTACTATCCCTGCAAGCCCTTTGATTGGCGCCTTCACGGAACTTTACAAACTCATCTTGAACCATAAGGACAAAACGTAATCTTGGCGGAGGTTATTCATTTTATCACAATTTCATACGCATGCGTTTTGTGCCTTGACTGGAGCTAATTGTCGTTCGCTATACAAATTCATAGGGGTCGGGAACTCGCAGACATTTTTTTAGCACTACCGTCCAAAGAAGAATACCCAGAATACTATGAGATCATCAAGTCGCCCATGTCTCTTCAGCTTGTCCTTGTAAGTCGCGCATTGCTTTGCAAAACGAAAGACCAGTTGTTGAATGGACCATGAACTTCGCGATTGACCTTGTTCTAAATCTATCGTCCGCATAGGCGAGGATAAAGTCAGGGCACTACAAGAACGTGGAAGATTTCGACAGAGAGTTTCAGCTCATTTTTGAAAATGCACTCATTTTCAACGAGGACACATCACGGATCAACAAGGACGCCAGAGTCTTACTGAAGCTGTTCAACACTCGCAAGAAGGACGTTTATACCTCGTATAGACTTATTCATAACTCCAAGACTGCTGGTGACAAGGTTCGATCTCGAGGTCTTTGCACTGACCATGATTCTGTCAACTATTCTTGCACCTAATGTTGCTATGTTCTATGCATCCTGTGATTAGAGTGACCGGGAAGTAGTGAAATCCCATACGAAAGGTGGTGTCAACTACGTTGTGGGAGAGTTTGTACAACTAAGTGACCCTCACAAGACTATTATGCTCATTGAACGTCTCGAGGTTGACTCAAGGTAAGTGGAAACTACGGAATTGTTGCTGGAAAGCGCCCTTTTTGAGTTTTATGCCTGGCTGAGGACATTACTGACGCCCTTATTTATTTCTACACAATGCTTATCATTCGTAGGAAGAATCGCTACATCGCAGGGTCAAAGTTCCTTCGACCAGAGCAAACCCTCCAGGTTCCAGGGCAAGTATTTTACGAAAAGGAGGTACTCAAGACCTCAGGAGAATGGGAATTTGATTTTGCACTTGTCGACCATAAGGTCTATGTTCAGGCTCACAAGGACTATGTTCGTGGGCTAGTCCTGAACTTCGATCCCAAGGACGTGTACGTTTGCGAGAACCGATACTCAGAGACCGGAAAATCCGCCTTCTTGATCAAGGACTGGAAGAGGGTCTATACGATCGACCCGCTGCCAACACCAGTGAAGCCATATCCCTCGACACTCAAACTTCCAAAATTCCCGGTAAAGAGTCTCGTCACCCCAGATTCACCAGCAGACACCGTCGGGCAGTTCAATGGAAGGCGCGCCTCCTCGACAGCACATCATGATGCTTCCAAGAGGAACAAGCGGCCACGGTCATCGACAAGACCCAAACCAGCAAAACGCAAGAGTCTGAGTACCGGTAACAGCGATGATGCTGAGGAAGACGAAGAGGAAGACGAGGATGAAGAGGTTGATGTTGACGGTGTCACTTCTCCTGATCCACAGAGGCGTCGCTCCAGCCAGTTGCAACGACAACAGACGCTCCAGGTGCAGCAGAACCATCAGCAACAGCAACAGCAACAGCAACAACAACAGCAACAGCAGCAGTTCCAGTCGCCACATATGCAGCAGCAGCAGCAGCAGCAACACCAACTTCAACAGCAGCAGCAGTTTGCCCAGCAACATCGATCTAGGAGAGTATCTTCTCAGATGAACGCTCCCAACGCTCTGCTCCAGCAGCAGCAGCAGCAACAGCAGCTACTAATGCATCAGCAGCAACAGCAGCAGCAACACTTATTCCAGCAACAACAGGCAATCCAATACCAACAATTGCATTCTCATCTCCCGCATCCACATCAACCACCCATGCCTCAGAGCCCCAACAACTCGCAGTCGATGGGCTCGCCTGGTTCCCCTGGTCGGATGCAGATACAGATGCAGATGCCAACATCTGTGGCCGACCCAAGGACAGGAATGATGATGCAGATTTCTCAACAGCCGTATATCCCTGCAGAAGTATCCGCAGTATACGACCCCAACGTCGGACCTAGGAAAGGTACGCTTATTTCATTTATGCATCGATTCTTTGACACTGTCTAGCGACATTCTACCGGACACACATTAATCCACGTATTTTGATATGCAAATACTTGGTTGATATAGGCTATGCGATGTTGCAGTCTATCTCTGTGGATGCTGAGGACAGGTCGTTCATGATGAGCTTGAGCACAGACACGTTCGCACACAGCATTGCAATTAACCATCAGGTGTCGACCATCACTGTGGTACCGCTCTTGGCGCCGCAACTGGCGTCTATTCAGCAGCAGGTCGGTCTGTCTGTGTTTCAAAATGGGAGGAAGCTGCAGCCAACGGGACTCGTGGCGCAACCATCATCCCCTTCGATCGGACATCATGCGTATACGATCCAGTTGATCTCTGGACAGAATACGATCGACGTATGGATCAGCGCTCAGGTTGGAGGACTCTTCCAGGGGGGCATGCCAGGCGGCAAGCTGGAGACACAGCAGTTTTATCTGTTTATTCAGCGCAATAGCGTTTAATTTTTTTTTTCGTCCGAGCAAAGGAGGGACGGAAGGATCGAAGAGGGACCAAGAAAGAAGCAATAATAATGCAGCCATGGCATAGAAGCTCATGAAATAAAAAGAAACAGAAAGACAAAATAGGCGACTTGATCTATGTAAGAGAATCATGTCTGGATGCATCACGTGAAATGATCAATTTTTGCTCGATATGAGAGGTGGCGGGGCTGCAGTGAGTAGCTCTCTCTTTCGATCCAGTCTTTAATCACCATGGTATATTCAGCTCAATGGATGCGTCCGGTGCCATGTCCATCGATCCATCGATCGATTACACACACATATATCGACAAAGCACCACTACTCGTCTTTTTGATCGCCAATTACTTCAAGAAACGCCAATTTGAATGTTCATCGACACTAGCATCATCACTTGAAACACAATGGAATCAGCGCAGGATTCATGATGGCACTTTGATCTTTGCCGATGCATCACCAGACAATGGGACTGGGCACAAAGGAGTAATACGAGCCTCGGCAGTATCAATTCGCCTCGACTCGTTCGTCACACAACAGAGTTTTGCAAGCCAGACTAAGAACTTTTTCACGACTCTGTGATGCCCGAGGGACTTGACAAGGATCAGCAGCTACAAACTTCAGCTCTTTTCAGGAGACAAAACTTTACGACAGCCGGAAATATGCAAAAGGCAGCATGAGCAAACTTTGGCTGGACAGGATCTCTATTCGACCAACTTTCCGGTCTCTCTCGACATCCAACTCAATTCATCATACCCCTCCTGGAAAGCCTTCATGTCAGCGTTCGAATCTAACACCGGAACGTTTCTTGGTTTACTCTCTCTTTAGCCTAAGCAAGTTCAAGACATCAAGCAGTTCCTCGAGATTGCCCGCAGAAAGGACGCCAAGTGTATGTATTCATAACTCTGTTTCAACACCCAGGACAGCCATTCCCGACCACAACGCTTGTTTTTTGGCCCTTTGTACCAACACGAGCACAACCGGGATATCAGGGATGCACGCTCCTGGAAGTGTGTCAGATCTTGGAACTTCGCCGACGAACAGCAAATGTGAAACCGCTTTCTCGCGTTAAGCTGACAGGATACGACGTTATTATAGTCTATTGGCGGCATCTTCGTACTCTTGGACTGCATGATAGTTATCAACTGAGCAGCTCCAACGCTTTTACCTTGCCACAGAACATCATTCCTCGCACTAAAAGGACAGGAGAAGGGCAACTTGCGACCGCGTGTAAAGTTCTTACGGATCAGCATATGACCGCTCGGATCTATACTGCAACAATACCCCTAGCAGCATCTACATGGCGCAGATTAACTCTCCCTACAAGTCGCAAGACGAAAGAGTCAAATGTTTATCAAGAAAAAGATTCTCACCGCTCATTTGGTTTCAAATAGCCGGCCGCATCAAGAAGAACGGCAGCCAGACCAAGTTCAAGGTCCGTTGCTCCCGCTACTTGTACACTCTCGTCATCAACGATGCCGCCAAGGCCGAGAAGCTCAAGCAGTCTCTTCCCCCCAGTAAGTCCTCGTCTCTTTTTTAAATTTAGAATTCAGCATCTAGATTCGTTATTAACCACCAATTTTCCTTGTTTTTACCGTCATTGTCATAGCTCTCTTGATCGAGAACATCAAGAACTAAGCTTGTGTAATTTGACCACAACTGCTTTGGGATCTGATTTTTTTGTCCTCTGAGAATAAAAAATCATGGTTTTTTTACTGCCGTCGCTTGAATGAACGCTTTATTCGTTTTTGTGATGTTATAACTCAAGAGTTTTGGGGAGGAGATGATTATGCTGGCAAAGACACGACTGTGGTTGCTCCAGTGTTCTGGAGTATCATCTGTTCTTCGATTCGTTTCATTGATGCTGTTTTGGGAACGAACGAAAGGCAAGGTCGCGATAGAGCTTGTCTACATCAAGGACGCTCTTGCCGCCGGATCTTCCAAAGAAGCCTCCTAGGCTGGGTGAGGATGGCACCATCGACAGGCCTGCAATGTAGTAGCGTCTAGAAATATAGCCTGATCCGGAGGATGTCCGGTTTGAAGACTCAGAAGACGAGGGTACAGAGCTCGAAGAACTGCTGGGCGAGGGTGAAGTCACGGCTCTGAGCTGCTCAGGTCTGGTCCTTGCCGTTTTGATGGCGATGGTTGTCATGCTATCAATTCTGCTGGCTGCATTATCCTCACGAAGCGTTACATTCTCGAATGATAGCAACATAGTTGGCATATCAGAGCTTCGTTCGAGCTTTGACTGGGTCGCCACTTCGATCCTTTCGTCAGGATCTATGGTTTCACCCACCTCCTTCGATGCCGACATGGAAAATTCTTGTCGAATCAGTTGTAAAAGTTCTTCCAGCTTCTCTGTTCTCGATTTCCAGTCGCCTTGGCAGAAGGGCTGGCCGGGCTGCCTTGCCAAGGTTGCGGACGAAACTGAGGCGTGCATGGCCTCCGATTCTACTCCCATGACCGATAATGATGCTTGCTCAGAAGACTCTAGTGGTCCATCAGAGATACCGAGCGCCAAAATGCTATCCTCAGTATCACTCTCCGTCTCTAAATAATGCTTCATGGCTGAAGAGGAGGATTTCAATGCCGATGCCTGAAGATCAGCCCAATCTAGAATACGACTGAGGATCAATTCAAGTCGTTGATTGTGTTGTGTTAGGTTAGTACCGTGCATAGTAACACCATGGATGGCCCTGTCAGGTTCGTCGCCATGATTCTCTTGTTGCTGCACCGCACCGGCGTCTGAGGCTAGTGCTCGTCCGCTACTGTCTATCTCCTGATCTACGTTACGATCAACTGCCTGGTCAGAGAAGGTTTTTATGGTATCCATATCCTCCTGTGCTCGTGGGTTCTCCATGCACATTAGCTCTGCCAGCCTCGTCTGCAACTCCCTCTTCTCCCCTGCCAGGATCTCAACGCCCTTGACGCACTCCTCCAAGAACGTATCCGCCTTGAACTTTCGCCATATAAACACCTCCTGACTTCTGTAGGTATCTAATTCCGGCCCATCCTTTCCCTGACCATTCCTCCCTAGTTTCGTACTACCACTGAGGGCTGACAAAGTAGAATGCGCAGATCCGGTACTCCTCCTATGTTCGTGGTCACTAAGGTATGTCCTATTACCGTTGTCTATCGAGACGTTGCTGCTATGAGCACTAATGTTTTTGACTGTTGCCGGGTTGATGGTGGTAAGATCCATCATTAGTTCGCGTTCCTGTGTTTCTTGCTGAGTCCTCAAGGCATTCACCAAGTCCTCCATCACCTCCCCTACAGCGCGTTCACACTGCACCCACTCTTCCGCAATACTTGGGACCTTCAGGAGCTGAATTGTCTGAGCTAATGGCTGCATCACACGCGACAGCTCAGCTCTCGTCTCCACGATGTTCAAGAACCACCGTTCCAGCATCGAGAGACTGGCTTCGAGTAAGGACGCGATTTCCTGCTCAACCTGAGCGCGCACAAAGCGTTCTCGACACGAATCGGTCGTCAGGGTTTCGATATCGACTGCTTGAGCACTAATAATCGTGATAAGGGACTGGATCAAGGATTCGCGAGATTCCAGAAGGTTTCGGTGCTCTTGAACTGTGCCACGCAAAAACTCGATCTCAAATTGGGAAACTGCAAGCGCGTTAGATTGCTTCTTTTGGATGCTTTCGAATAGAGACATGTAGCCCATGCTCTGCAGGACGGTTAGAAGTAACAGAAAGAAAGTGTTAAATACATGGAAATAGATGGCAACAATAAAATTCGTAGTTTCTTTCGTGACACATACAGAATCCTTCTCGGAGCGAAGGTGGTGCCTAAGATCCTGCAGTTCTATATTCATGGCCATATTTTCGTCCTGCAGCTTTTCATATAATATCTTCTGCATATCAGGTATTTCCCATGTCCTTGGCGGCAGCGGCTGTTGGGTCGTGTTCTGGCCTCCTTTTCCCCCTTGATCTTGGTTCTTATCCGTCTCCTGAAAAACCTTGATTTTGGCCCCGTTGTTGTCCTTAACTCCCTGACTAGATGGCCACTCATGAACGCTCAGAATATCGTCTGCGATGGATATAGGGATGGAGACATTTCTCCTCAAGGGGGATGTACCTTCTCACTTCTTCGTATTGATGCCAATACTACTCCTGTTCTTGCGATGTCCTACCCTCCAAAGCGACGTGAATGAAGATCGTACAGAGGCGGGTAAAGCAGGTGGCTGTGCAGGTGTGTTTGTCGACTCTGATACCGTCCCTGTGTGTGCTGATGCCGCTCCATAGGCGGTTGCGACAGCATAAATCGATTTGTACTGCAGTAGCTCCTTTTGCAATGCGCCATGCTCCTACTCCAACGCTTTCCTCGACCCATTTTCCAGATTAAGTTTTGACTGGAGCCCTGCCACCTGCTGAACCAATGCCTCTCGTTCTGGGTGATGGTCAACGTGTTTTTTTCTAAAGAGTAAGAGGAACAAGATGTGTTAAAAAACACAGTTGGTCTGTGCGAACAACCACAACACACATTGTTCTCTTAATCATGATCCTTACATTAATATGTCCATACGAGTCCTCAGTTTATTAGCGGCAGTCTCCTGCGTCAGTTTAAGCTTAGTCTGGAGAGCCGAATAGTCTGATCGGAGTGCCTGTAATTCGCGATAGTGTGGATCTGTGATAGGTCTAGAGAGTACTGAGAGTGTAGCACAGGTGGATGTGGAGCCAACGCTGGATCTTCGTTCCTGCGTGGAAGCCGATGTGTTGTCGAGCGTGGGGTCCATGTTAGTAGCACAGGGAAGATGCATGATGTTCATGAGGAGTTAAAAGGAGCGTGCTGTGAATTGTCAAGTCAAGAAAACTAAATAGAAACTAGCGGTATATGGTGACGAAGGTGTTGAAACGAAGCGTGAGGGAAGGACGAATGGAGAGAAGGGTTGAAGAAGAGAGGAACAGCAAAACGAACTGGTTAAGAACTCAAGGAAGATAAAATGGCACGGCAATATTCACTCAACTTAAGAAATCATAAAGGGGCGGAAGGGGGAGAGGACAAGGATCAGAGAAATACGATGGTGTGCACTGCCCGATAGGAGACATAACATGCACATGGTATATAGTATCCTAGCAAAAGGAATAAAATGTGTGGAAAACATAGTGTAGCCACCATGGGACGGAGCCGTGGGACAATGGGACACATAAGGGTAGGTGACAATAGTCAGTCGAACCATCATCGGTTATCATTAAGTGCCGGCGGTGCAGGAGATGCACCTTGGAGGTTTAGATGCTTCGGATTACACTAGGACAATGGAGACCGCGCGAGACGTTATAGTATTGCATTTTTTCTGGCCGATACCTTTGAAAATAGGTCCTGTTTTATCCGCAGTGCCAAATACTAACATGAAGGAGAACCACCGCAAGTTACGCGCCTGGATCGTCATCTCTGAAGCACTGTGCCTTTGAGAGGCCGTCTTTAGAATGGCTAAAGGAAGAACGGATCAGCCCTTACATAATCTCCCTGTCCCTTTTGAGCATCGGTGGTGACCTTGGCATGTATAACCGCAGCGCATAAAAAAATGATATGGCTTATGATATTAGGGACTGGAAAGCAACATGCGACGTACAAAAAAGTAGCAAGGAGACAGACTCATTGACCGAAGGACATAGGAACGTAGGGCATTAAGTACATAGGAGCGCAGTAGAGGTACTATAAATGGCTTCCTTGTCTCCAATGTCCACGGAAAGCACTAAGGCAGGACAAAGGACAAACGTTTACCAAGATTGTCTACAATGTCGTCGTCTGACAGCATGTACTACCAACGACACTTACACAAAACCATTAATGGTTACAAACGTATCCTCTCCTCCACATGTTCGTGCGAGTGGGCACCAGGGCTGCAGCTTGAGAGCATTTTCAATCTGCAGCCCATCGTCCATCCCGCAGCAGCAATTAATGTCTAGAAAATCCACCAAGCAGGGCAGTTCATCTCTAGTAACAAATACTTTAGTCCTCAGGAAGCACACATGGTCCAGCACTTGGATGTACGATAGCCAGGCACCCACAACAAGCCCGCGGGATTAAAAAAAGGGAGCATGTCCGTTTCGGCAAAAGGGTTGACCTAAAATGTTACTTTTAGAGCAAGCGGTTGAAGAGCAGCTGTGTCCAAATACGCCAGAACGCCCGGAAACGGACTACACTTGTCATTAAAACAGGTTGTTGGACTTTTAACGCAGACAATTTAGAGCCAAAAAAAAAAAAAAAAAAAAAAAAAAGCGCTGATACTTGATCAATCGTAGCTCGCCTATGCCGATGGTCTAGTGTAAGCATGGCACATACAAACTACATGTGCAATTAAAAAATGAAAGCACGCCACCATTAGGGCCTAGCCGGTTCAACGACTGGGCCATCCTGCTGAACCCCCGGTAACTTGATATTGATTCTTTTTTAAGATCGGAGCTAGAGAGCATTTAAGAGAGCACAAATCGCAAGGCACTGGCAAAGGCTGTTTATGGGTGTTTATGGGAGGCAAGAGTAACGAGGAAGACGAATCAGGAGCTGGCCAAACCCGGCTCCCAGCATTCCTGCACCATTTTTACAATCCTTTATCGCATAAGATAGGGGATTTGGATAGTGTATGCTATAGGCAGACAACCTGGAGTACAGCTACCTGCCTTGCCTGATGATGAGTAAGCTGATCCCCGTCCTTTAAATACCGGCCCTCGCCCACACCCCGTTTTTCTCTTTGTCCCTCTTTGTACCTCACTCCACGCGCACCGACTTTGGCTGCAGTACCTTAAATCCCTCCCCTCCCCTCCCCTCGACCCGTCTTCACCACCAGGCACGCTCTTCTACAAGCCCTTCTCCATCTTCTACCTCGATACTTTTATCACAACAAAAATGCGTGCTACCACTCTCGTCCTGGCTTCGGCCGCTATCCTCGCCATGGGCGCACAGGCACAGATCACCGGCCAGATTGCCTCCGTTGACTCTGCCGACAACTACTGCTTCTTCTTGCCACCCATGGTTGGAGGTGATATTGCCGCCAACGAGGACAAGGCCATTGCCTTCTGCAACAAACCCAACACCCGCGCCCCTGGTGCCAAGATCTTCCCTCCTGGCTTCGTTCTTTCTACCCACTGGGCTCAGGGTCCTGACTGGGTCCAGATCTCTGTAAGTACAATATAAAAAAAAATACGAAAGCGCGTTCATGCACTCCAGTCATTGCGGCATTCGTTCATAACATCTTTTAATTTGTTCTCGATCGACAGGGTCAAATCGATCCCGCTCAGTACTCCCTCAACCCTTGCGATACCGGTGGACAGTATGACATCAAGGCCCCTGTCGGCGCCACCTGCGCCGGCTTTGCCCATTTTGTCAATGTTATCGAGCCTGAGATCGGTGTCTATGGTATGAAGTGTTGCCAGCAGAAGGCCGACTGCGATGTCTCTCACTCTACTTACGGTATCAAGCGCATCTACGGCGACAAGACAGACATCACGGGCCCTCGCGCTGACGGTCCCTTGCCCCTGTCTCTCAAGTGCGTCAACGGCGCCCTCCCTGCCGGCGTCTCCACCTCTGCTCCCTCGAGTGGAAATGCTACCCCCACAACAGCCTCTGGATCTGCCAGCACCGTCCCCACTACCAGCAGCGCCTCGACCGCCTCTCAGAAGACCACCGAACCTGAGGGCAAAGTTGAGTCTGACAGCAAGGCCGCCCCCAATGCTGCTTCGGGCAACAATATCATGATGGCTGCTACCGCCGTCATGGCTGCTGCTGCCGGATTGTTCATGGCTTAAGGGATCCGCTACCGCATACAAGGGACAATAAAAAAATGAAGCGAATAAACTGCGATTGCACCAGTGCAGCAAAACAATGGATTGTATTAAATACTATAGACGAGCGGTATATGCGAGAACCAATACAAACATGATCAACATCCCCAGGAACATGCCGACAGTAAACGTCCATGGACCCGCCTGTACGAACGGATACCTCGTCGATATCCTTCTTATGTTTCTATTATGGAGCGCAAACACGGGCAAAGTCGTCAGTGATATAAATGACCCTCAATTTCATAACCCTCTTTTCTTTTTCTTTTTCTTTTTTTCATCCTTACCTCAGATACTTGAGCAAGCTGTAAATAGTTGCAAGACAGGCCGAGATGAAGCAAACATACCCGATGACATAAGATAGCCTATCCTTGTGCTGCCCCTTGCGCCCTTCCTGAGTATTCTCAGCCAGGGTCTCCAGTGTCAATGAACGCGTAATAAATGTAAAAGAGACCAGGCACAGCGCATTGCATGCACTCAGCCAGGCAAGGTATGTGCGTTCATTGGCTATTAATCCATCCAACAAAAAAAAAAAAGAAGGGGAGTCAATAGCCATTCTCTGGCGCAAAACCATCATCCGCTTGCTTCCTCAAGTTGGTCCCCCTTTACCGAGTCCATCCCGAGTCATGGTGTTGCTACATATCACACTTGTCAGAAAAAACCGCGACTGAGGGATACATAGGCCCGATAGACAGTTGTCATTTTCGTCCTCGATCTCGATCTCCTCTTCCTCTTGGTCAAAGGCGGCCCCCAGATCCTGAGAAACATTTGATCCACTCCCGATACGAGCAGCTCCATGGATAGACACAGCCCGGGCTGCAGCCAGCCTTGCGCCGTACTCCAGTGCAATCTCTTCCTCGTCGATAGCGCGTGGCCCATAATCAAAGGTATCAATATGATCTGTGATCTCCTCTTCTGGTTGGACAGCAAGGCAACTCCTGGCCCTCACCCGGAGTGGCCGAGGAGTGAGCGATTGTGAAAGGGCCGGCGAAGAAACAGATCGCACTCGGCAAGATATTGGCGGAGACATGCATCGAGACATGTTAAGGTCGAGACAGCGGTCGGCGTCCGCTTGCTGTTGTTGGTGGTTGAAGATGTCCTGGTGGTATTGGAGATAGTGTTTATGGCGTGCGATGGCATCATCGTCATTCGAAATTCTAGTATCCGTCTGAGAGCTGAGCGTAGAGTTGGCATCCATTGAGGGCTCCAGCCAGTTATTCGGTGCTTCCATGGCGAGATGGGTGGTCGGGGGATTTGTTAGCTGTGAACTCGATATCTCTGTCGTTCGTTGCTGTTGTGCTGGTGGTGATAGGGATGGGTTATTGACGGCCATGATGTAGTAGATCTCTGATTGCTTTAATCCTTTCTCGCCTTTGTTGTATCTTGACCAAGGTTGAACAGCTGTTAATGTCCACTCTGCTGATCCAGACGGGGAGCTAAAAGATTGATTGTTCTTTGTCGACGAGGACTCTTCGCGGTGGACAGGAGGATAGGGGTCTGCCTTCAAGGGCTCTTTGAGGAGTGTTCACAATTTTTCCAAAATGACGGCAGTCAACAGCAGAAGAGTTTAGCTGGACGTTTATAATAATCGAATGAGATGGAATGAATGTCTAAGAAAGAAGATGAATGAAGCTCGCCTGATGGTGATGAGGGAGCTGAGAAGCGATGTTGATGCACTACCAGGGCGTCGATACATATGATTTGAGTCCGATCCAGGAGATCCTTTATTCCTCTCCACAGACAGTAAGGTTTTGTCCCGGCGCCAATACAGAAAAAAAAAAAAAAAGAAAGAAAAGGATGTTGTGGTCTAGGACTCAATGTTATTCCTTGCAGAGTCACTTCATCTTACTGCAATCATCGCTGTTGGGTCGAATACTGCGGTTGATGGGTGCCGCCGAGTTCAAGTGAACGAGTGTGATAGGTAGCTCGGTCATGTAGTTGCACCGAGACCTTGAATAGGCAATCGTTCTGGGTATTTTTACCAGCATCAGGCCGTTCAAATGTAAAGAAGATATCTTGTTGCAGCAGTGGAATGGAGTACTTCTCTCGCCATAGTCCTCCGCGTTTCAACAGCCATGACCTATTCTGATGGTACCCGTTGGGTCGTCATTGACCTTTACTGAATCATGTACAGGGACAAAAGGGACATAATTGCTACTCTGGGCATCTCAGCGATAGCCACAAGAAATGGGCACACATTTTATGCTCACGATTCTCTGTCCTTCTCAGTCTTGACATATTTCTAACATTAACACTATTTGTTATAATTTTGTTTAGCAAGCAAGGGCACGTATCCAAAAATGTCGCTCGCAACCTTCGCGACGTCGATCTTGAATAGGGTCAAGAGGTATACGATCTTGTGCGCAAGTACATCGTAGAGCGTTTTAATTTATTGCTTGAGAATCTACAAGCGGTTATTCGGACAAGTTTCTTAATATAATGAACATAACCGGGTCCATCCTTTATGGAGCCGTCCATGAACGACCAGGCCAAAGTTGCGGAGAAAATCTAGACAGTCGCCTTGTCTTAGCTCTACAATAAGACGGCTATTAGTACTCCAGCCGAAACTATGTAAGGAGATCCTGTTTGCAGATTAGTCTCCGACCCCCGCATCGTGGCATCTCGTTTTATGAAGTGCGTTGCATAGACCACTTTGTGGAGAAAGTCCGTAGGATCGTGCGACCCGCCTTCCTCGCAGCCATTTAAAAAAAAAACTCCGATCAGAGCAGAAACTTTGGCGCCAGACTAGGTGTCTGTGGTGATTGAGAATTCGTGGTGTGAACTGGCGGATACAAGCGCATGCTGTCATATAGAAGGAGCCTAAAATGAGGGCTCTTCACCAGAGAACTTAGAACTTCATATTAAACGGAACGATGTATCCATTCTGCTCTCTGCGATCAAGTCCACCTTTCCTCTCCTTTCCTTCAGCACCGTGTGTTTTGACACGGCATTCAAATGACCTACCTACGCTTCCCCCTGTTACTCCCCACGCATTAATATCACCTCAAAGGTCAAATTCATGCGCGACACTCCACAATTTATATAGCCATTGACCATTATACACGGTTGGAATGAGCACATCATCGCCTTGATGGTCTGTCAACACCTATAAAGAGCCTGTGAATGCTCATGGATAAGGAAGTACCAGCGCGATCCCATCGGTAACACAGAAAATCAGAGTAGAGTAGTCCCAATCGTCTATGAAGGTGAACATGAATAAGGCAAGTTATTTCTATCTGTGCAAGTTGAGGATGGGTTTGCTCCGCTTATGATATGTACATCCATGTTCTCTGTCGGCTCACCTGGTGAAAAACTGAACAGTCAAGATTATGGTATGTGCTTGGTCAATGAGGCTGCAATTTGCGTGCCGCTTTTTATTTGGCTGTAAAGGCTGCCATTGATCATCGATAGGAACAGTCCGCGATGGTTAGGATTAAGTTGTAAATATGCATTTGAATGTAACATTTCCATAAAATATTCGCAAGGCGCGCTCCGGCTGAGAAGGCGAACCATGATATAGAGGAAAAGGTTAATCTGACGGATACCAAGCATGAATACCATATTGGGGAAACGATGGTTCCAATTCAAGTTGTGGGTCTCTTTCAGTTGCCTTTTTATGACTCATTGTAATGCACATATGTCGATACATATTCTTGCCTCTATCTGTCTTAGTTACACTACCTTGGATAAAGGTTAGCCCAGTTCACCTCGAGTAAGGAGAGTGCGATCGTACTCCAAGCGATTATCAATCACTACCTAGTTAAACAAGGATAGAGATGAACACGACGCGCAACAAAATTTTATCCGCGTGGAGTAGGACTCTGCCAAGGCTATGGAATATTATCTCAGGACAAGCAAAGGCCAGCAAGACTCTGGTAATATTGCGGAGAAGCAGAAGTGGAGCGTCAGTAATAGTGAAAGGTATAAGGTGGATCACAGCTGCTGCTTATTACTGTGGTTGTGTACTGCGCTTAACACTATAGACAACATAGATCTTCTTCTCACTACCTTGTCTTCTTTTATCAGCGAGGTAGAAATGTAAAGAAGACTAGAAAACTTGAAGAGGGCCTCCAATTATTACCCTACATATAGTTAATTCAAATGAACCGTTAGGATCTGTCTCATCGACATATTCCTAAAGAGCTGTACATACTTTTCAAGTCCACTAAACCGGCTGAATTCAAGCGACCATCAAAGACAGGGCGGCAGGTAATGGTCACAAGTCTGGTATACATACTGAGTCCGCGGCACCTAGCCTTGACAACCGATTTGCGACCTGTATATTGAGGTTAAGTCCTAAAACGCCATGTATCGGAAGAGGCTCTTTCTTCATGGCCGCTGAAAACAGCTTACTTGCATGAAGCATGGGATCGGATGAATGGCCACATGCGGTGCACCTGTGCCATTCTTAGTGGTGATGCAGTTCGAAGAGGCTACACAGCTATTCCAGATCGATTTAAGGCACAGGGATTTATCTCTGTTGATATGTGATGTCCTATTACTACAAATGCAAGTGCCAACAGCATTAAAAAAATAAAAAAGCGTTCTAGTCTTCTTTCTCCAGCTTTCCTAGGTTTAACTTGGATGAGCCCATTAGTGGCCAAGGTAGGCGGTGTAAGCAAAGGTGCAATAAAACCACAAGCAGCTATCCAATCGAATGCCAAGAAATGACACAGTGCTGTGTTGCTTATTATGTGCCAGATTGGAGCCCTTATAAGGCACACTTTCGTTGATACCATCAAGGAATGAACGTTTCGATGTAATCCATTCGAATAAAAACTGAAAACACCATCAATTACGGCCATTTGTTGAGGAGTGAATCCCAATGCCGCCATGGTTGGGTGAAGATATTTGCTTGAAACATCTTTTCGCGCCACCAATTTTGTTTTGTTTTGTGGTACATTGTATGGATCCCCGGTTATGCAGCATTGTTCTTTGGCAAAGGAGGACCGCAGACACACAAGTTTCGCAATGCTCCTTACCTCATACCCTTTTTTCTTTCTTCATTTTAGACGAAGCACATTCCACAGCGCCTTTTGTTCGCCAACATCGTCAACTTGTATCAATTAGTCACTCTATCAAACTACACCAAAAATCCGTATCCTTAATCTAATCAACCGCCATGAAGACATTCTTCATGTTCACAGCCATTGCTGTAGCTGCATCGACAGCATCGGCTTATATCTGCCCATCCTCGCAGGATGCCGCCTTCTCTTGCAGCCAGCTCAATGTGTTTCCCTGTAAGATTTCGTGCATTTCCTGAAGCAAGCTAGATTGCGAGCAAATCGAACTTTACGCCTCCGCTACTGCCATCCATATTTCTGTAATAAGTGGTTTGCCACAACCCTGAGCTGAACAAAGAGGCATGCAACGAAAAGCAGTGTAATCGGCCTTACATTGACAACTATGCCGCATGCCGGTGCCACCGTAACTACTCCCAGTTCTATAGGGTACGGTGCGAGATCAGTTTGATATAAGTCGTATTGGAATTCTATTGCACCCTCTGACAGGAACTCGATTCGCCCAATATTAGAGCTCCAAAAATGTGGAAGGTCTAATCAACCGTTGCAATGGAGGGTTTGTCAATCCCTATGGTGACCCTTCCTAATATAGACCCAGTCATGGAGCTGCAGTGTTCACCGCTACTGTTACTAGTGCTTCTGCCATACGCGTCTACGACGGCGCGCCTTATTTTGACAGCCAGGCTGGTGTTGTTCTCGGCACTACTAGGGTTGCAGGTGCTCCTAATACCATAAGCGGTGTCTCAACGTCCGCTGGTCCCGGTGTCACGAATGCACCTGGCTCATCCTCAAACGCCCCCACAAGCGCGACAGCCGAGCCCCTTCCTATTACAACGCAAAGTCACCACATCTTGAGAGGTGCTATCGCCGGTATTGTTTTCGGAATATTGGCTACAGCCTTCTTGGGGCACTGCTGGGATTCTGCTGGGGTTCTGCTGGCGTGACAAACATGCGGATCATGTCCCACCCTCGACGACGATCCATATTCCACATGGCCCGACCCGTACGACAGTGAGCGAGAAGATAGAGCCGGTGGTCACCAGAGGCGGTTCTGGTGGCCAGCGCTATTATGTGGGTGGGTTATGTGAGCGACAACCATGGTTTCAACACTCAGCCCCGTCATTAAAGAAACAAGCATTGGAACAAAAAAAAAAAAAAAAGACATCTATTTTATTCTTCGCTGGCTACAACGGCTATTTTGTAGATGTGAGCGACTGAGCACAAATAAATATCGACACGACTTTGGCGCGTTCGCTTTCCGATCATTATCATCACCTGATACAGGGACAAAAAGAGTTCATCCCTCCACTACACCATCACCAACAGTTCACCATTCACCTTTGAAGCCGCAGCAGAATCGAATATGGCCAAGCAGTACAAGACCATCGGAGATGAAATCTGGAAGAACAAAGTCGAGAAGATTGTAAGTGCAAGTCTTCCATCACTTACTCCTCTTCTCAGCACGAGATGATGCCAAAAGCACGTTAATTGGATAGAACAAGGGAAATATAGACGCTGGTAGCTACAACTATTCTCACTGGACTCAGGACAGCAGCAATCAATCGCTTGGAGGAACTTCAGGATATTCTTTACCAACACCAGTGACTAACAGTATCATTCTCCCCCTTCTGTCCGTTGTTGACCACGGCTAGAATGCTGAGCTCTTCACGTTAACATATGGCTCCATTGTAGCCCAACTGGTCAAGGACTACGAGGATTTCACAGAGGTTAACAAGCAGCTGGAGAAGATGTAAGACACCGCCATGAGAGTTTTTCATCGTCGTATATGTGCACCAGCTTGAGGACTAGTCTTTTCTCATATTCATTCCCTCGGGATTGTCCGATACTAATTCTCTTTACGATACCAAGGACTCACCCTTTATTTATTTATCATTTGAATATAGGGGATACAATATCGGAACACGTTTGATTGAAGACTTTCTTGCGCGGTCTGGTGTGGGCAGATGTCAGGACTTTCGAGAGACTGCTGAGATGATCTCCAAGGTTGGATTCAAGATGTTCTTGAACATCACACCACAAGTGACCAATATCTCTGCGGATGGAAAGGAGTTTTCGTTGGTGCTGGATGAGAACCCCTTGGCAGAATGCGTTGAACTTCCAGATCAGGCCATCGTGGACGAGCTTTGGTACTCAAACATTCTTTGTGGCGTCCTTCGAGGCTCCTTGGAAATGGTAAGCTGACTTTGAGCTGTACATGAAAACACTGAGAGGCCGATTTTCACTTCAAAGGCGATATCTTCAACCCATTCGTAATGATGAGCAAGGATAGGGATAAGGACAAGGAGAAGGAATTATTACAGATAGCTGGGTAACTGACCATGGCTCTTCCTTCGATATATGAAAATAGGTTCAAATGCAGGTGGATGCCTTCTTCGTGACGGACACGCTTCGGGGAGACGATATGACTGAGATTCGCGTAAAACTGATCCGCTATTTGGAAGAGGAAGTCCCTGCTGGAGAGGATTAGCATAGAGGAAGTTCAATAAAGCCGGTGCGCAAACATTCTGAATCTATCGACACATGTGATGAAAACAAAAAAGCCACTTCAGCTTCAAAGAAAAAAAAAAAAAGAAAAAGGCTACAGCAGCACCTCATTCCTCACCGCCCTATTCCCCACTCTCCTCACATCTTCCCGCCCATAATGTCAGACGCCGATACAACCGAGTTCAGCGCCGAGAGTGCGGATGCTAATGTCACATTCGCAGACCTGGGTCTCGACGACAGGCTGTTACGTGGTCTCGCAAAACTAAACTTTACGAAGCCTACACCTGTTCAAGCAAAATCGATCCCCTTAGCTTTGGCAGGCAAGGATATCCTCGCCAAGGCCAGGACTGGAAGCGGAAAGACCGCCGCCTTCATGCTGCCTCTCATCCACAAGATCCTCGCCGTCAAGGATGTACGTCTATGTCTATTTCTTTTTACTATTGCACTATGCGACCTGAAATATCAGTTGATTTGATGCCTTGTTTTTTCTCTGCCCTATTTAATAGGCACTCCCCGCCAATTCACCTGAAGCAACTGCAACCCGAGGATTAGTTCTTGTGCCAACAGTCGAATTGGCCGGACAGGTCACCACCTTCACCAACAACATTCTCCTTTTCTGTGGCAGGGCTGTCAATGTCCTGAACATTGCCGGAAAACAGAACGATAAAGTCCAGCAGTAAGTTCCAAATCAAGACCGTGCTTCCTGACTTTCATTCCGCGGACATTATACTGAAGCATGCTTACTTTTATTTATTACTGCATAGACCTCTCTTGGCAACACTACCCGACATCATTGTTTCGACACCCTCCAGGATTCTCGCGCAATTGAAGATGAACGCTGTCGATTTGAAAACTCACTTCCAGACACTCGTCATTGACGAAGCCGACCTGGTCTGCAACTACGACTACGAGGAGGATGTCAAAGAACTGCTGACGTTCCTGCCAAAGATCTACCAAAGTTTCCTCATGTCCGCGACGCTGGGCGACGATGTGGATTCACTTAAACAACTCGTTCTCCGTTCGCCGGCGATTCTGAAGATGGAGGACAAGACCATGGACTCGACTTGGGACAACCTGAAGCAACTTTACACCATTTGCACGGATACCGACAAATACCTCATCCTCTACGTATTGCTCAAACTCAAGTTGCTTAAGGGAAAGTGCATCATCTTTGTGAACGACATTGAGCGCTGCTATAGGTTGAAGCTGTTTCTGGAACAGTTCTCGATCCCAAGCGTGGTTTTGAACTCAGAACTGCCGTTGAATTCCCGTGTGCATATCGTGGAGGAGTTCAACAAGGGAAAATATGACTACATGATTGCCACGGATGAGGGCGGACTCAAGGGCGAGAAGGAGGAGGAAGCGACAATCAAAGAGATCGAGGATGGTAAACAGGAGGAGCGGGAGAGCGACGCCGCAGACGAGGAAGAACACGAAAATGAGAGTGAGGACGACGAACAGGATGATGAGGCTGATGATATTCCCGAAGGCGATATTGAGATGGAGTTCGAGGGCTCTGAGGGTGAAGACATCAGCGAGGGTGAGGATGAGTTGGAGGCCATGATGAAGGCTAGCGACAACGAGGACGAGGACGACGAGGCGAGCGCCATGGCTGAGATGAAGTCAGAAGTACCGGCCAGCGAGTCTAAGAAGAGGAAGCAACCTGAGGACGATTCCAGATCAGAGACGACAGCAGAAACCTCAGCAAAATCAAAGAAGAAGACAGGACCTAAGAAAGATCAGGAGTACGGTGTCTCTCGTGGTATTGACTTTGTCAACGTCGCCGCTGTCGTCAATTTTGATTTCCCGCCTACAGCAAAATCATACACCCATCGTGTAGGCCGTACCGCTCGCGGTGGACAGATGGGAACCAGCTTGAGTTTTGTGGTCACGGCAGCAGAAAAGGAAAGGTCGATCAAGACCAGCCAGATCCTCGGAGGTGGTGGTTGGACGGTGCAGGGCGATGATGAGGCGGTCTTCAACCGCGTTGTCAAGCAGCAAGTTGGTAAGTCCTCCATCTGTCGTACTCGTTACTCGACACCTTCTGCATGACTCTGTGCGCCGTATGCTAATGTTGGTCAATACTCTATCCCCCTCTTTTTAAAAAAAATCTCCTATAGCTGCTGGATGCACGATTAATCCCTATACCATTCCAATGCAACAGTTGGCAGGATTCAGATATCGTATGGACGATGCCATGCGTGCTGTCACAAAGAGTGCTATCCGTGAGGCCCGTCTCAAGGAACTGAAGGCCGAGATGTTGAACTCTGAGAAGCTGCGTGCCCATTTCGAAGATAAGCCCAAGGATCTAGAGTTCTTGCGCCATGACAAGACGTTGCATCCCACTAAAGTTCAGCCGCACATGAAACATGTCCCCGACTACATGATGCCCAAAGTGCAGGCTGTTTCGTCGCAAAAAGTTGGAGAGGCGGCTGAGGGACTGGGATATGTAACGTACAAGAAGAAGACACAGAACACCGTCAGAAAGGCACGTCAGGGCAAGGGAGGGAACAAGAGCAGCGGAGGAAAGAAGAATGATCCGCTTAAAAAGTTCAGCTTTGGAGGCGGTGGAAACAAGGGCAAAGGAGGAAAGAGACAAAAGACTGCATAGAAACATCATCCGCATTTTATCACACCAGCATCTCATAATTAAAACAAAACATGCCATGCGCACAAAAATACTCTACTGTTTATTGTCGAAGATTTAGTCCCGCCGTTGGATCACCCGATCTGCATACTCTCTGAACAACAGCTCCCGCTCTGTCGAGGACCCCACAGCATCATACCGCCGATCGCGGTCAATCAGCTTCTTGATCTTGCGCCATTCTACCGAAGAAGAATGCTTGTGCTCGTGCAGAATATCCTTCTTCGTCTCTTTCAGCAGGCTCATAAATTCACCAATTTCGTCCTCGGTTGCCTTGTATTTCTTAGATGAAGACCGCGAAGATGAGGACGAGCGCTTGTTCCTGTCCGAGGAATGCGACTTGCTCTTCGGCTGAATAATACCCTTCTTTAAATCCGAGAGGTATTGCCGGAAGATCGACTCTCGCAGCGAACCAGGCTTGAGTCCCAGGAAGCGCGGGTCGACCCTGTATTTCGTCATGAAATCCAGCCAGGTCGATGTCTTTGTGGTATAATCCTCAACCAGTTTCCTGTACACATCCTCGGGTTTGGATGAAGTCGAGGAGGAAGAGGGGGTCGAGTAAGATTTGGACTCCCGAGGCCGCCTATCCTTATCCCTCCGATCCCCATCGTCCCTGTTCTCCTTCTCGTTGTCTTCCTTTTCCTTGTTCTCCTTTTCCTTCGCTTCCTTGATTTCTCGTGCTCGAATCACACAAAAGCTTTCGAACAACTCTTGCCGCTGCTTCTTGTCCGGGATCAGGTATATACGAGGGTCGAGCTCGATCTTGGCCATCGCCTTTTCCCAGATATCGAACTGTGTAACTCCACGGTCGCGCATCATATCGATGAAAGCCATCTCCCGCTCCTGGACGTTGTCTGGAGAGATATCAAGCGTTGGTACTGGCGCGGTTTTGCCAGGTTGCGAGCCAGATGACGATGATCCCTGAAGCATGCGCAATCGTGCCCGCACGGCCTCATTGTCATCTTCGTCATCATCTTCGTCATCATCTTGGCTCTGCATATCCTGATCTTGGTCTTGGTCCTGATCATCCATCATACCTTCCATAGCGGCCAATTGCCAGGCCACATCGTCCTCCGTCATTCTATCACACAATAAAATAAGAGTATGATCAGCACACAATGTAGAATTAAAGTTGCCTTGTGTCCATTCGCGAAAGGGTTTCTTCTGTAAACATACTCTGTTCCCTGGTTGGTATTGGCTTCGCTCTTTGATCGCTTATCAGAGTCCTGACCGCTGTCGCCCTCGTGGGTGCGTTTGAGTGCCTGCAGACGTGCCTGTTCCTCTTCCTCTTTGGCCTTTCTTTCCGCCTCCAATTTTTCCGTCTCAACCTGACCCATCTTTGCTAGTATGATCTCCAATTCTGGCGTGGGTACCCAAATCGAAACCTTGGTCTCCTTGTTGAAGAAAAATGTGTTTTCCAGATTTGTCACGACGATGAACCAAGGCGATTCCAACACTTGTGTTCTGTTGTGGATGAAGTCAAGAAGACGTGTGTTAATTCAGCTGAAGCAATAACTTCCCGTTCATTGCTAATCTGACGCCTGACGCCTGACGCCCCGATCGACGCGACACTCACTTTTTTATCGCCTTCTCCTTCTTGACTTTCTTCGATTTCTTGCCCTTCCCTAGCTCTTCCTTCGTTACAGTAGCTGTGAAGGGTGGTGGAACTACTCCTGGGGGATGCAAAGGCTGTTGATTTACATATCCTGGCACACCGGGCGGTGGTTGTGATACTCCTGGGGGCGGCGGAGGTGGTGCGATCCCTGGGCCTCCTGGAGGAAGCATCGTAGGTCGAACCCATGAACTCGTTCCTGTGGTAGCATTGTAGAAATAGGACATGCCATCCGGTGCCTTGTGTTCAGTCCATCCTGAAGGTAGCCAGTTGGGGGGATGGAATGGTGGAACTGGTCCGAAAGCTACTCCGAGTGGTCCAGCCATTGGTCCTCCTGGCATCGGTCCCCCTGGCGGTCCGCCCGGATGTACGTTGAAAAATGGTGGTCCCGGTGGTCCTCCTGGATGCGGATTCATGATAGTATTGTGATAAGCAAGATGAAAGAGAGAAGCTGGTTCCAACCACAACGACCATAGCATGCCTCAAAGTTCCCACTGACTGCTTTTCACCAGTAAACAATATTTTGCCTCCATTTTTGAAGGCGCTTGACGCAGCAACTCTCTTTAGACACCCCTCATACGCACACACCATGGCCGATAGCCCAGACGCACCTTCGAGCGAACATGTCAAGCCTCGCGAAGTCCCATATTGCGGCTTCTGCTCGTTGCCGCCAGAGTACTGCGAATTCGGACCCACTCTCGAAAAGTAATGCATTATAAAGATCATCTACGCCCTCACGCTCTCTTTACCGCGAGTGTGCTCTATGAACCTATCTTTTTTAGCACTACTGTGCTGAGCCTCGCATGGATACTGCTGGCATTGGATATTGCTTTGGTTACTGATATCTTTATCTTTCCTTGAATGCATTCAATATCTAGATGCAAGGAATGGTTGAGCAAGAACGACAAAGTGTTATACGCCATTCTTTACAATACCCTGGATGATCAGCTCGCTGCCGTATCACTTGGAGAGGGCAAGCCAGAGGAGGACAAGAAGAAAGCAAAGGGTAACGGCATCATAGACAGCATTTCCACTCTCGCAGCTGCTTGTTGCACTGCTCAAAACTCACCACAGACCATCTCTGGGTTGTTTCAACAAGAATATCACACACATGGCTAATCCCTCTACTGCAATCTCCCTGAACCTCTGGATTTGTAGAGGCCGCCAAGATTGAGAAGCAGATGCAGAAGAAGATGGTATGGACGCACTCACTTTTTCAGGAACAACGCGTCATAATCTTTTGATCCAAGCAATTAACTCAGGATTCACTCCCAAATGAACACTCTTCTCCTCACAGCAATCCAAGGTCCTGATCAAGAGAATCGAACGCACCAAGAGAAAGTGTGTCACTAGCGTCTTTGGGCTGGAGAATTTTGGTATGTGGTCGATTACCAGAAAAATACTGCGGCGCAGAATATTGTTATGAACGAGAAGGACGCAAATGAAGTGTAGATCTTAATATTCTTTTTGTTATATCTTATTACAGATGTCGATCTCAAAAAGGCCGCAAAGTTGTTTGCCAACAAGTTCGCTTGCGGATCTTCAGTCACAAAGAACAACCAGGGCAACGACGAGATTGTCGTCCAAGGAGACGTCTCGGACGAAATCTTTGATCTCATTCTGGAGCATTGGCCCGTGGTATGTTGGCGTTGTTTTCGGAGCATATTCAATGCTATGCTACCAATATGGTTTGACTGTATTACTGATACATACTGATCTCTCTTTCACTTTCTTTCATGTACCGTGTACCGTGTATGCGCCAATATAGATTCCTGAGGACAACATTGATCTGATCGAAGACAAAAAGAAGGGCAAATAGTCGCGTTTAACCATTTTCTGTTTGCGATCTGCGATTTGCAATTTTGCAGCGTGGCAACAGTAGAGCAGAGCACACTAGGGCAGAGCAGGAGTCGTTCTTTTTTCATATTTATTGCGTTTTTATTCCGCATGTAAATAAATGAAGCCGAATCAGGAACACTATTTAACCATCTATTGGATCGTTTGGGCATCCGTGGCTAAGCTGTCTTTACTGCGGACAAAATTAAAAAGTGGACAATATGCGTGCTTTACAGGTGTTACTGTACCGATTGCATTCGAAGGGTGCTTTATTTCATGTCCATGAAGTGCAAGTAAGCATCGGAATGTACATTAGTCGTGTCAAGCAATCCATCGTCTCCTCGCATTTATTTTTCAAAGGTGCAGTTATTCCTACCCCTCGTTAAGCGGCCTACTTTTGGTGGTCAAAATTTTGTCCATGATCCGGTCTTCCATCTCCCTAAACCTCCGTTCTATCGTATCCATGATCCTCTCCTCCATCTGCGCTAATTCTGCCATGGTCACATACAAGGATTGCGACGTTTGCTTCTTCGGCTCTAGGCTCGATATTTTTTGTGAAGGCTCCGTTCCTGGCACTATTGATGATATTACCAGAGGTAGGGGTGCATTCTGTGGTGCCAAAAATCCTTGCTGTGTGCTGGTGATGTTGGTGGCCGTCTCGGTCTCTGTTGCAATTGATTCGGCTGCAGATCCTATCGTACTCGGGTTCCCTTGAGAGATCTCCTGGAACTCCATGGCTTTCATCAAATCCTTGGCGCCCTGTGGTAGATTAGCGAGTTGCATTTGACCCAACATCTCGCGGACCTTTCCTAAATCGACCGTGCCAGATCCGGAAGGTGCGTCGGACGGTAAGGTGGTAGCAGTAGAAAGGCCGAGCATAAGTGAAGAGAGCATGGCAGGTGAGAACCCGCTCATATTGGAAGAAAGAAAGGGCGTGGCGCCCAGTGGGCTGGATGCTGCTTCTCTTGGTTTGCTGGATGAATCCAATACTCCTGCAGACGATGGTGGTCTCAGTTGAACGATAAGCCAGTGTAGATTGAGGACGTTCGGCGACATTTGTGTCTGCTTATTCCGTGGACTTGGTTTTGGAATAAAAAACTACCAATAAACGACAAAAAAATCAATACTTATCCTCATATTGTAATCCACCACTTCCTACATAACGTATGAGTTCAAGATGAAAAGCATACCTTGATGAGCAGACTGCGACCTTTTGCAAGTAGGACTCCCCCGTCAATCTGGATCTTGAACAACGGAACATCTGGCAGGCTATCTGAGCCGTGACCAGATAGCAGTGGTTCTCCACGGAATGTGCTCATGTATACGCCATCCTGGTACAGCTCGATGGTCCGTGCAGATGATACGATCGTTAGATTAGAACAGGAAAACATCGAATTCGAGCTGGACCGACTCATGCCGCTGCCGGTAATGGTGTTCCTGGTACCAAGCGCATTTTCGGCTCCTTGGCCCGTGAACAGGATGGCGGGGTTGGTGGCCGACAGCTGTTCAATCTGTTTCTTGACGCCACCGCACTCTTCACACAGCTGTTGTGCATGTCCTGTGGGTCGGGTTGTAAATGATGGTAGAGACTGTGGCGACAATATGAGATCGGGATTGAGTCCTAGTCGTATAGCGTTTGGGTTCTCTGCATCCCAGTCCTGGCTGTGTGTGCTAGTCTATGGTCAATAATAACATCCCTGTGTGGTTAAAATGCGACCTTTACTCGAGGCGATAAGAATCAATGCAACAAAGCGGTATTAGTTACTTCTGTTAAGAGACACGCGTTTGCGAGCAGGGCATTGCCAGCAGCGGGAGTGTTTGAGTAGAAGTGGAATGACATGAGTGGAGATGATTCTTTTAGGCGTACAGCAACATGCGGAAAAGGATTGCGAAAGCTGCGTGTTTTTCATAAAAAATAAGGTTTTTAGAGACCAGATCAGGGATCTGTGCCCACCTTTTATTTCTCAGGAACCACCCTGCCATCAAAAACTCAGACTCAGACTCAGGCACAGACACAGGCACAGGCGCGAACTTATGAGATAGACGAATACTTTCATCGATGGCGCCGGTCGTGTCTAGATAGCTACCAAGGTGGTAGATTTGACGTATGCGAAACTATTGCGGGAGGACATATGGACAGGGAACTGAGACTTTTGTTACGGGGCAAAAGAGCATGGTCATCGACATAGTCTATGGGAGCCACTGCTTTTGCTCTTTTTTTTTTCAGAGCTGAGCTGAGAGCAGCCCTTCTTCCTCTACATGCCCCATCCTCGTCCATGCAACACGGCAATTGGATATACTCCATCAATTTAGCGAAATAAACGCCGGAAGATAACGAAACGAAGAAGCAATTGTCGCTTCGATTCTCGCACCCTCTTATTTTCTCTCTCCCCGGCGCCTTTCGATCTCCCACTATCTGCGACTTATTTTTAGATATAGGACCGATATTCATACACAAACCTGGTCAACCTTGTTTTTTATTTTGTCCTATCCCACCACATCTCATCTCTTTCTCGATTCACATCCTTCTCATCACATCTCGCTTCCTTCATTTTTGTCTCTCTATGGCCACTGCCGCAACCACCACCACCACAGTGCCGCCCCTGAGGCAGCCCCAGAACTACCATGGATCCAAGACGATGGCCCATCCCTCAGCATCGGTAGCAGCTCCTGTCCAGCAAAGGGCTCCTCAACCACAACAGGAACATATCCCAACTGCCGATGCTCTCTTCGATGATATCGCCCACCAGAACCATCCAGGAACCAGCAATACTAGCCATAACACCAATACCAGTCATCATGCCAACAACAGCTATAATAATGGCAGCAGTAACCCTTTCTTTGATCGGAGCAGTGACCACCACCACAACAACAACAGCAACCATCACACTGGGAGCAGTATAGAGAACCCTTTGATGGTTCATGTGCAACAGCTCCCCACTCCCAGAACCTCCTTCTCCTCCGGTGCGGCCTCACCGCCAGAGAACCTCTCACCTGGCTCCCATCCTGGCCCTGCGTCGTTCAACCCACATCAACAGCACTTCTCACACCTCATACCTCCTTCATTGGCTTCGTCCTCGACTTCCAGCCTCATCTCTGCCCCCACTTTACCAAGCACTGTTGCTTCTACCTCCAATTACACTTCCAGCAACCATGGCCATAACCATAACCACAACCACGGTCATGGTTCGGCTGCAAAGTCACCATTGTCAGTCAGTCACCTGTATCAGCCGCAAACCTACCCAGCTCTGCGCTCAACTTCGCCTGTCCCAAACTCAACGACAGCGGCCTCAGCGTTGCACGGCTCTTCAGTTCCTCCTTTGTCCTCCTCTTCATCGACCACCCACAACCCGACTGCCTTCAATGCGCCCTACAGCAGTGGATCTGGTACCTACAACATGGGTGGAGGTATCTCTAGCTCAATGAATGGGCGCTTGCCTACTCAGGCTCAGCAATACAACAATCAACATCAGCAATTGCAGGAGCAGCTGTACTACGATGATGAAAAGGAGCTACAGAAAAAGAATGCGCGATCTGCCCTCAATGGCGTTGCAGCGTTCTTGCCTCCAGCACTCAACCAAGGACTGAGCAAGGTGGTCCAATCTGCTCAGGCAGCTGTCTCTTCCAACACCAAAACATCCTTGCCCTCAAGTCGTCCCCTCATGGATGGATCCTTCCCATCCTCGGCTACTGGAGTGCATGTGGATGCGGGCTCGATGCGTGGAGTGGTGCTTAAGCTGTACAAGGCTTCCAAGCTACCATTGCTCTGTCTGCTTTGGTACCTGTCCTCGGCCGTGACCAATAACATTGGCAAGCAGATCATGAACCAGTTCCGATACCCCGTCACCTTGACGTTTGTCCAGTTCGTGTTCGTGTCGATCTTCTGCTTCGTGTCAGGGGCTGGATTCAGGATGACGACGATCCGAAGACCAACTGTAGGCATCGTGCAGATGACCGCACCGTTGGTCGGTTTCCAGGTTGTGGGACACGTCTTCTCGAGTGTCGCCATTAGTCATGTCCCTCTGAGCGTCGTACATACCATCAAGGTAAGCAGCGTTCCAAGTGCATTACATCGCCTTTATGGACAGTGAATATAGGACGACAGTGCCTGATGTCATGGGCACTGCAAAGAGTACAAAAAGGAATCGATTTTGGCAACAGGACCCAATTGAAGGAGACTGTTGGAAGTGGACACAAAGGAGCCCTTTTTGTAGATAAGGAGAGGAATACATTCTCAAATCATTGCTCGTACCTGTGTATAGCTGCATACACAGTTAGTTGCATTGGATCGTAGACATGGAGACGCATCGCCTCTTGATTTTCTGGAAAACACTGACGCGCTATCGAGATTTCATAGCAAGCCATTCAATGCCAGGCACTAATATATTGTGGATGAATGAAATAGGCACTTTCACCCCTGTTTACTGTCGTGTTTTACCGCATCATTCTTGGAACGACCTACAGCAGAGAGGTCTATATCTCACTGGTGCCTCTGACTGCAGGAGTGATGCTCGCCTGCCGACTCTCGCTCGAGTTCAACAACCTTGTCGGTCTGGTCTGTGCTCTTGCCTCGACCCTTGTCTTTGTGACCCAGAATGTGTTCACGAAGAAGATCCTGTTCAGCACCAAGGCCAAGCAGGACAAACTTGGGGGACTCGGAAACAAGGAGGCAACCAAGGAAGATCCTGTGGATGAGATTGGACCCAGTAACGCCCAAAAGCTGGATAAGCTCAACATTCTGTTCTACTCATCCACGATGGCCGCCATCTGCATGATCCCTATCTGGCTCTATGCTGAGGGCATGGGGCTCATGTTCCCAGACGAAGCCGGGGTCTACCATCATGCTAGTGGTCACACTTCAGGATTCTGGGGCGTCTCCTGGCTGCTGTTCCTGAACGGCGTCTCGCACTTTTTCCAGAACATCTTTGCGTTCTCAGTCCTGGCGCTCACTTCTCCTGTCACGTACTCGATTGCATCTTTGATCAAGCGTATTGTGGTCATTGTGGCGAGTATCGTCTACTTCCATCAGACGTTAGGCGCCACTCAATGGACTGGTGTCTGTTTGACCTTCTGGGGCTTGTGGTTGTACAACTCGGCCAAGAACGCAGCCAAGGTCGACCCTAAGGCCGGTATTCTTGCCGGCAGCAAAGTTAGCCGGCGTATCAGCCAGAACTTTGGAAGGGGACTCTTGGACTCTTCCAGCATCAACTTGGACCGGAAAGGAGGCTTCTTGGCTTAGAAAGTCTCGTTTTTGTGAGCTCCATTACACATACCATTTGGCATTTCATCCATCCTCCCTCAATTCATTATTCTGTATTATCCTTAGACAACTCTACAGCGCTGTTGACATTAGTACAAAAAAAAGCAACACCCCAGCTTAATATATCGATTAAAGGCACTCCCTACTTTCAGATCAGACATTGCATACTAGGGAATGCCAAGCATCTGCTGATTGGTGTAGCCGCCGGAATTGTGGCAGGTTTCAACCCAATAAGGGAACTCTTTCGGCTCTAGCGGAAATCGACATTCGAAGTGCTTCATCGATGGTTTCATCGATGGTTTCATCATTACCGCTGTGTGTGTGCAACTCAGGAACAGAAACTTTAAGGTTGTTGTCGAGGGTCTCTAACCTGCCCATTCCCCTGAAAGTGGAGGAGGAAAGGGCGCGGAACAGGATGCTACTTGTTGCCTGCTGCTTGTTGATTGTTGTTAAGATGGCCCTGATCTACTCGCATGTGCGCCCACACGGCCAAAGGGTTGTGTATAGGCGATGTTGTTGCATTTAGATCGAGGCACTAGCCGTAGGCACTTCAGCTAAGCCAGACCGTGGAATCTTAAGAAGAAGGGTGAAGCTAAATTGCATGCAGGCCAATCGCATGCGTCGAACTGGGCTGTCGCTTTTCTTTTTTCTTTTGCTGCCCTCGATATACCGATGCCCATCCCCCTTCCTCTTCTCCTAATTCCTTCCTCCTACGCCCATTCCCTCTTCCTTCTTACCCCTCCCCCGTTCCCTCGCTCCTCCTTCTCTTCCTTCCTTCGTCCTCTCATCCCCGGTATCTCCTACGTCCGCTTTCAGGTGCAATGGCCACTCTTCAAGCGCTAAAGCAGCGCCATCTCAGGACCCTATCGGACGACTTGGATCTATCAGAAACAGACTCCAATGCCTTGTTTCGTGACAGCAAACGTATCCATTCACCGACCAAGGTCCACTCGTCCTTCTCCCCCATCAAGACCGTCCTCCGTGCCTGGGGTCTCTTTGTCGGCTTCATGGCCCTCCTGGTCCTCATCACCTACCAGATTCATTACACACTCCCCACCCCCGTCCACGAGCCCTCGAACCCAGTCACCGGTCAGGTCCAGTTTTCAGAGGCCAATGTCCGCAAGGTTGTGAGACATCTCTCTGAGGATATCGGGTACCGTGTCGTCGGAACCGAGCAGGAGTTAGAGACCAAGAAGTATTTGATCAAAGAACTGATGCAGCTCAAGGATGATGCTCGCATCGCACGGTTGAGGAAGCAAGACGAGGCTGCAGTAGCAGCAGCAGCAGCAGGAACAGCAAAAGAGCGCCAAACGGACTTGGCATGGCCAAACTTTGACATGTGGGTCCAGGTTGGAGACGGATCTCATCGATTTGACTTCATGTCGAAAGGCAAGTGATTTATTTCGAATATTCTTGTCAGAGGAAGGAAATAGGAGCAAAAGGGGGCGCGAGAGGAGCTGAATAGGGGGAGAAGCGCACCGGACCCAGTCATAAACTCCATCATGATCGACATTGGCAGCAGTATCGGCAATCAACAGCACACAGTAATACTGTTGTCATTGTGGTTGTCCTTCACAACCACTTGTCCGCCTGGACCAGGAGACCGAGCAGCTGACAGAGTTGTTTATTCGAATTCGTTGTTGTTATTCGACAGTGCTTTTCTTCAAATGCTTGGCATCAGTGGCGCACTAGTTGAACATCATTGCTAGACTTTTGGGGCATTCTTGACAGAAGTTTTAGCCGGACCATGTCTGGGATTGGTCATCTCGAAATATCTTGATCGTGGGCTGAATATTGCTATGGATGGAAACTGACCATACGTCTTCTTCCTCATTTTCTCTGTCCTACTTTCCCTCGACTACTCCCTGCGATTGACTGGCGACCTTTTTTTTTTTTACGCTTCAATCGAATGATTCCGGTGTTTCTGTGCCCTAAACTCTACGCTGATACCGGACTTTGCTGTCTGTGTGTAACGGCCGACTACAACCTAATTTTGGACACTGGATCCAACCACCATCCCGCACATGCACTGAACACCCCCTCGGCCATGGAAACAAACGATAAACTAATCATTCTCCGCTGAATGACGCCAACAACCAAACAGTGGTTATGAAGATGTATACCAACATGACCAACATCATCGTTCGTCTCTCTTGTGGACCAGAGTGCGATCAAAACTCGGTTCTTCTCAACTCGCACTACGACACCACCTTGGGATCGCCCGGAGCCGTCGATGATGCCCTTGGAGTCGGTGTTATGATGGAGATTATCCGCGTCATGTCGCAGCGACCTGCTGCCACGAAGAACAGCATTGTTTTCTGTATGTCCGATCATGGGAACTTCTTCTGTAGGCAACATCTTGGTATTTTGTGTTTTTACCTAACGATCTTTTTGTGTAACATATTCTAGTGTTCAACGGGGGCGAAGAGTCCCTCCAGGATGCCTCCCACTCCTTCATCACTGCTCATGAGCTCAAGGATCAAGTGAGGGCTGTTGTCAACTTGGAAGCCTGCGGAACTACTGGTCCCGAAATTCTCTTCCAGGCAAACTCTCGCGCCATGATCGATGCATACGGAACCGTCCCTTACCCTCATGGCACTGTTCTTGCCAACGACCTCTTTGCCACTGGTCTGATTCTCTCCGACACCGATTTCCGTCAATTTGTCGACCACGGCAACTTGACCGGTCTGGACATGGCCGTGTACAAGAACAGCTATCTGTACCACACTCACCTGGACCTGGACTCGTATATGGAAGCTGGTTTGCCTCAGCACATGGGTGAGAACACCCTGGCCCTGGCGACCTATTTGACCGAGAAGGCAGACCTTGTTGGCCTGGAGCCTACGACCAGCATTGTCTTTTTCGATGTCTTTGGCCAGTTCTTTGTCTCGTACTCTTGGTCAACTGCCTTGCGAATGCACCTGGTCGTCGGCGGATTCGCCCTGTTGTCCATGGTGACTGGTGCCTCGCGTCCATCTTTCCGTGCAACTGTCTCAATCTTTATCTCGTTCCTGGCTGCCCTGGTCCTACCCAACTTCTCTGTCATCCTCTTGCAGTCCTTGGGCAAGCCCATGCAGTGGTTCTCGCACGAGTGGCTATCGTGTCTCCTCTTTGGCCCCACAGCTCTCGCGGGCATGTTCCTCGTCCAGTACTTATTCCATGACAAGAAGGCCAGCACTGGTGCCAACGAGCTCAGCACACTCTCTGCCGTCCAAGCATTTTACACCATCTGTCTGGGTCTCGCCTCGTATACGGGCTTCGCCAGCAGCTACGTCTTTGCGCTCTACTCGTTCAGCTCAACGATCAGTCTGTTTTTCAACCAGCGACGCGTTTCGGAGGCAAAGAAAGATGGACTCGAGGCTACCCGTGTTGACTATGCCGCCTACTTTGTGGGGGCACTGATGCCGACCGCATACTTTTCATTCGTGTGCTTCAGTTTGCTGGATATCTTTATTCCTTTAACCGGCCGCATTGGCGTGGATGCCCCTGTGGATCACATTGTCGCGGTCTTGACAGGATTCATCACTTTTGTGTTCTGTCCTCCGGTCCTCGCGTTCGCGCACCGATTCGGCGCCACTATGCTCAAGAAGATGGTGATATTCTTGCTGGTGGCCCACGTCGCCATCCTGTTCACCACTTCGGTCTTTATCTCACCCTACAACGAACTCCATCCGAAGCGTGTGTTTGCACAGCACCTTCGTAACTTGACCTCAGGCGAGTCTATGATGTACATTGCGCATGCGGATCCCGGTCCGTTCTACGACTCCTATGTCTCGGATCTTGAAGAGTTGTTCTCGACAAAGTCCGTCTTCCGCAGCCCCGGCAACAATCCCGGTGACTGGAATGCGATCTATCCCTTCAACCAGTTCTTGGAGTCCTATGTGATCGATACTACGCCCTACATCAAATCCCAGACTCTGAACCAGACGATCGCTAATTCGATCAGGCCATTGACGGACTATATACATCAGTCGCCGCGCTTGGTTGCAGAGAAGGTCTCGTACAACTCTGAGACGGGCTATCGTCAACTGACGGTGCTGTGCACGCATCCAGGCCATATCTGGACCGTGGCTAGCTTTGACGCACATCTGGTTTCATGGTCACTCTCGTCCTCGGAGCCGTTTCCTCGCCCGTCGCACTATGTGATCCGCCATGTCGGCGGACACATCAGTGACGGATGGAGATTGGACCTGGAATACAAGGCAGCGAGTATCGACGACAAGCTGACGATTGAATTGACGGCCATGGAAACTGAGGGCTTTGGCAGGGACGAGGAGAGGGAGTTGGTTGGAAGCGGGGACATTGGAGTGATGCGCAAAATCCTGGCGAACCGGCCTCCGTGGGTAGCCTTGACGTACTTTGGCACGACGGTCAGTCGATTCCAACTGTGAACAATCAAAATTGTTTTTTTATCCATAGACTTGGACGTTTTGAGCGCGTCCTTTTTTCTATCATCCACTTGTATATCTATCATTCATCCAATGCAATAAAAAGAGTTGGTTTACTCTTTCGCCGTTTTATGAATCTGGGGAGGCGCACACGTACAGGAAGTATAATTATTACCCCACAATATGCTCTTGCACTTTTTTTTTTTTTTTTTTTTTTTTTTTTCCACGGGGCCTGAAAAGGGGAACGTACGTGAACTATGCTGAAGGGTCCGCCATCGTGGGAATGTTGAAGCGATTCCGAATCTCGATTCTCGCTTTTCTTCTTTCTCTCCTTCATCATCCCGTTTCTCCTTCTCATTTGATCTCTCCACTCTCCCATTCCCTACTCTTCATCTCCACTTGCCCAACCATGTTCGCCAAGCCATTCATCCAAAGGGCCGCCACTCGTGTGCCCAGCCTGACCGCCACTGCAGTAAGGAACACCCCCCTCTTCTCTACGCTTTCTTGACCAATTGACTTCAGTAATTGTCTTTTCCCCTCCAATTGGTCTGTACTAATAACCTCCATCCGGCTTGCCGTATTATAATCTTAGCGTATGACCGGTTTGCGTGCAACCGCAGTCCGCTACCACTCTTCGTACAACACTCATGTCGCTGGTCTGACAGAGGAGCAGAACGAGTTCCGTCTTGCGGTCAACCGGTTCGCCAACGAGGAGCTCGCCCCTCGTGCTGCTGATATCGATCGCGAGAACACTTTCCCTATGGTAAGGAGCCAACCAGCGCTCTTAATTTATTTTCTCTATGGAAACCACAGGGCAAAAAAAAAACAGAATAGTTAACCACCAGTTGCTCTTTTTCTTCTGATCCCATTGAACTGAACATTACATCTGCTTCCCCTCCATTTAAAAAAAAAAAAAAAAAAAAAAAAAAAAAAAAACAGGACATGTGGAAGAAATTTGGCGACATGGGTCTTCTTGGAATCACCGTCCCTGCCGAGTACGGTGGTCTGGGCCTCGGATATCTGGAGCACACCGTTGCCATGGAGGAGCTCTCCCGGGCTTCGGGATCTGTCGCTCTGTCATATGGTGCCCACTCCAACCTCTGTGTCAATCAGATCAACCGCAATGGTAACGATGCCCAGAAGAAGAAGTATTTGCCCAAGGTATTTTTTTCGTTAAAGAATAATCTGTTTGTTTGTTATTTTTTTTCTCACGGGGCCGGCTCTAACCTTTTTTTTTTTTTTTACAATTCCTTTTTTTTCCTTAGTTGATCTCGGGTGAGCATATTGGTGCGTTGGCCATGTCTGAACACACCTCTGGCTCGGACGTCGTCTCGATGAAGCTCCAGGCCGACAAGAAGGGCGACCGTTATATTCTGAACGGAACTAAGATGTGGATCACGAACGGACCCGATGCTGACACCTTGGTCGTCTATGCCAAGACCGATATCAAGGCCGGCCCCAAGGGCGTCACCGCCTTCATCATTGAGAAGGGTATGAAGGGCTTCTCCCGCGGCAAGAAGCTCGACAAGTTGGGCATGCGTGGCTCCAACACCTGCGAGCTCATCTTTGAGGACTGCGAGGTGCCCGAGGAGAACGTGTTGGGTGCCGTCGGCAAGGGTGTGTACGTGCTCATGTCCGGTCTTGATTATGAGCGTTTGGTCCTGTCCGGTGGACCCCTGGGTCTGATGCAGAATGCACTTGATATCACACTGGATTATGTCCACCAGCGCAAGCAGTTCAACCAGCCGATCGGAGAGTTCCAATTGATCCAGGGCAAGATCGCGGATATGTACACGAAGTTGAACGCCTCCCGTTCATATGTCTACTCAACCGCTCGTGCGTGTGATAGCGGACATTCGTCGAACCGTGACTGCGCCGGTGTGATCCTGTACTCTGCGGAGCGTGCGACCGAGGTTGCGTTGGATGCGATTCAGTGCTTGGGCGGAAATGGATATATTAACGATTTCCCTACGGGCAGGATCTTGAGGGACGCCAAGTTGTATGAGATTGGCGCTGGTACCTCGGAGATCAGGAGGATGCTGATCGGACGTGAGTTCAACAAGGAGTACAGGAACTAGAGAAGGGATGTCGACTTTCCATGAAGATATCTTACAATACACTGGAATAAAAACAAAATTATAGAATTTTACTTTATCTGAAGAAAAGAAAAATGGTATCTATTGCGAGATGATGATAGGTGGTCGATTGACCTTGTTCCTCTGGACCCGTAGGAATAACCAGTCGACCGCATCCTTGACCCCAGTCCTATAGGCGTCAATAACCCCTCCCCAGAGTATCTCGTTAGTATCCGTCCGTTATCCAACGGGTCCTGAGCAACGTAAAAAAAAAAAATGTAGCGGCCTTACCCCTCCAATGCAGAAATGGGCAGAACTCTGGAATCGCGTGCGCCCAGGCGTTCTGCGATCTGGTTGAAAATCTCCTTGATCTGTTCCAGTTTGAGGGCCGTGGGCATATCCTGCTTGTTGGCCAGCATAAGCACAGGCACACCTTCAACCGTGTCGTCCATAATCACTTTTTCTAAAGTGTTTAGCAAC